TTGAATTGATTAACTGCCCTGGTTCATCGGAGGAACTGCCAGTGCTGCACGAATTTTATTTTCCAGTGCTTCATCTCATTCAACACAATATTGTTAGAATGACTTTCTTGTTCTTGTTGTGTTTTTTTGGTTTGTTTTTGGCCACATGTGGCAATGCTCAGCCTGGTTCTGCACCCAGGGATCATTCCTGGCAGTGCTCCAAGGACCATAGAGGGGTACCGGGGTCAAACAAAGATCAAAAGAGGATTGGCGCGTGCAAGGCAAACACCCTACCGACCTGTGGTACTACCTCTCTGGCCCCTGTTATATACATTCAAAAACCTTTTATTGCAGATTTTTTCAAAACCTTACATTCAGTTATTCAATCCCATCATGGAGTCATGAGAAGCAGTTTTAGAAATTTGAGTCTAATACTATATGAAACATCCTAAGCTGTACATGACTTTTTATTTTGTTTTGTGGCCATACCTAGCAGCTCAGGAATTACTCCTGGTGGGCTTGGGGTACCTTAGGTGGTACAGGAATCAAATCCAGGCTGGCTGTGTGCAAGGCCAGTGCTCTCCCAGCTGTCCTATCTTGCTGTCCCTGTGCATTATTGAGGGCCTTGAGTACCACTATTTGACAACGTAGAAAATTCTTTTTTGGCTTGTCTTTTGGTCTCCTGATAGCCCATGCTTTAGGTTCTCTTAGTGACTTGGAAGAACTGTTCCTTCCTGCTGGTGAAGGGATTCACCGGGTAGCCAAGCTGATCATCCAGCAATGTCAGCATCTTCAGTATCTTCGAGTGTTCTCGTTTTCCCGGAGTTTGAATGATGACAGCCTGATGGAAATTGGTGAGTGTTTACCCTCAGGGAGATCTACCTCCAGGTAAGTTGTTTCAGTTTGTATGAAAGTCATCCAGCATTACTCAGTCTTTTTGCTGCAATGTTTTCATAAGAGCATCTGCCTCTTGAAAAATACTTAACTCACTCACCTTTGCATCTAGCAGGTTTGAGTTTCTTCTGGTTAGATTTCAGGGTGGAGGGGATCTGAGATGATCAGGTGCTCAAGTCTATGTTCTTGATGTTTCACATACCTGACCACATACCTCCAGGTTTAAATAGTCCTTTATAGTTTTTTGCTTTTTGGGCCACACCCAGCGATGCTCAGGGGTTACTCCTGGCTCTGCACTCAGGAATTACTCCTGGCGGTGCTGGGGAACCATATGGGATGCCAGGGATCGAACCCAGGTCGGCCGTGTGCAAGGCAAATGCCCTACCCACTGTACTATCACTCCAACCCCAAAAAGTCCTTTATAGTTTTAAGCAATCCTTTAAAATGAAGACTGTTGGGCCAGAGAGGTAATACAGTAGGTAGGACATTTGCCTTGCATGCAGCCAACCTGGGTTTAATCCCTGGCATACTATATGGTTCTCCAAACACCGCCAGGAGTAATTCCTGAGTGCAGAGCCAGGGGTGACCCCAGAGCATTGCCGGGTATAACCCAAAAAGCAAAAATTAAAAAACAGAAATAAATTAAAAAAATAAAATGAAGATTGTTATAGTTACTGAAAACACACACAAGCATACGTGCAATGAATTTTATGATTTTTGGTTTTGGGCCTCAGCATATGGTGCTCAGGGCTTCCTCCTGGCTCTGCACTCAGGAATTATTACTGGCGGTGCTCAGGGGACCATATGGGATGCCAGGGATCAAACCTGGGTCAGCTGCGTGCAAGGAAAATGCCCTACCTGCTGTACTATCTCTCTAGTCTGGATTTTGTTATTTCAGTTGTCTTGGAGTTTTTTGTACTTGGATTTATTCTATCATAAAGGAATTCTTTGAGCTCAGATCTGAGGGTCTCAATCCTCAAATTAGGAAAGTCTATAATACCTTAAACCAAGTTCTTCATAATCTGTTCCCCTGAGGTCTTTGATAATTCAGATATTGTTCCTCTTACAGACATCTCATGGTTCCCTGGCTCTTTCTTCACTTCTTTTCACTCTGATTTTTCTCCATCTTTGGTTCTTTTTTGGTTTCTCACATTTACCTTGAGCACGCTGGTTTATTTGCTGGCTTGTCATGTGACAGAGGCCATCTGTCCCTCTGTCTTGAGCTTTTAGCTCACCTCCCATGCTCTGCAGTTCAATAGTTTCTGGGTGAAGTTTTCTCAAGCTGGCTCTCATACTTTTCCTTTGAAGTCTGTTTTTTCGTTTCATCTTGTTAAACAGCCTCCCTATGGTCACGCTGAAGGGTCATCTAGATTATAGGGGTGGTGAGTTCTAGGGGATCCTTTTGACTGGTTGTCACCTGTTAATTCTTGTACTTATGTCTTCAGCACGATGAGGACTATGCGTGAGTATCTGATTTTGTGCAGCTCATGTAGCTGTTTCAGGATTGTGCTCAGGAATAGCACCTGGAGTCACACACACACACACACACACACACACACACACACATCCAGTTTTTTTTTTCATCCAGAGTTTTTGTGCCACTTAGGAATCACTCTTGGCAGTGTGAGGGGAAACATGTGGGGCGTCTAGGATAGAATCGGGTCAGCTGCATGCAAGGCAAGTGCCTTACCCACTATACTATTGTCACTGTGTTCCCACTGATCTTTTTTCCTAAATCACCTAGTTCTGAAATGAGGTAGAAGCCTAGCTGCAGTCTCAGGGTATGGGAGAGGTACTGGCTTTGCCTGACGTGCACTGCCTTTGGGGGAGTCGTCATCTAGGTCAGTGTGTCTCAACTTTCTCCAACTATAGACCCCTTCCAACCTCCTTTTCTTTTTGTGCCCCCTCTTACTGGTTGTCTCCCTAGGTTCAAGCCATGGCCCATTTATACAGTTTTTACCTTTAAGCCCCCTTGGAGCATCTGGGCGGGGGTGGGGGGATGGGGCGTGTGGGGAACGCCATCAGGGAAGAAGACCTGGTTGAGAATCAGCATGTTCTCTGTTGCCTTCCTTGCTGGGTCCTGGTCCGTCTGGAGCACCTCAGGTTCTCTGCTTTCCACTTCGCCTAGCGGTCTGAGTCTCCATTTGGTCCTTCTGTCATGCTTCCTCCCACATGCAGTCTTTGGCTGAGTGAGACCTAAGCCCACCTTCTCAGTTCTCTCATGGAGGGCACCTCTGCAAGTCCTTTTCTGCCCGCCTTCACCCAGCGCTGCTCAGATCTCCACTGGCCCTCCTAATGCAGTCAGCAGAGGTCTCAGGTTTCCAGGGTGCTTCATCTTCAGCCCATGTCATAAAAATATTGTTTTCTTTTTCTTTTCTTTTTGGGTCACACATGGCGATGTACTCAGGAATTTCTCCTGGCGGTGTTCAGGGGACCATATGGTATGCTGGGAATTGAACCTGGGTCGGCTGCTTGCAAGGCAAACGCCCTACCCACTGTACTATCGCTCCAGCCCATTTTCTTGTTCTTTAACTGTGTTAGGTAATTTATTCTTCCTCACAAAAACAACTATAGCTGCCTGTTGATGTTATTCTGGAAATCTAGAAGCTATTTAAAAATACATTGGTATTTTCTGCTTTTGTTTTTGGGCCACACTTAACGCTCAGGAGTTACTCCTGGCAGCACTTGGAAAACCATACGGGGTGCCAGGGATTGAACCTGGGTCAGCCACGTGTAAGGCAGTGCCCTTCCTGCTGCATTGTCTCTTCAACTCCAAATTTTGTTTTTTTGAGCCACACCTGATGATGTTCAAGCCTTCCTCCTGGCTTCTATGCTCAGGGATTACGACTGGCAGGGTTGTGGGGATTCTGTGGTACCAGAGATTGAACCATGGTCAGCTGCATGCAAGGCAAGTGTATTTCCTGCTGTACTCTGTCTAGCCCCCATTTTCTACTTTTGGTGGTGGTGGGAAAGAAGGTTGGTTCAAAGAACCCAGTTTACCATACCTGAATTAGAAATCTTGACGATTCCAGAGTGATACAGTATAGCAGGTAAGGCGCTTGCCTTGCATGCAGCTGACTGGGTGTGATCCCTGGCATCCCATATTGTCCCTTGGGCCAGGAATAAGCTCTGAGCACCGCCTTGTGGCCCAAAACAAAAAACAAAGAAATCCTGATGACTGATTTCATGCGCATTTTGATTTTACAGCTAAAGTAGCCATCAATGGAGGTTTTCAGAAACTTGAGAACTTAGATCTTTCCATGAATGATAAGATTACAGAGGAAGGATATAGAAATTTCTTTCAAGCACTGGATAACCTGCCAAATTTGCGAGAGTTGAATATTTCTAGGCATTTCATAACCTGCATCAGAGCTCAAGCCACAACAGTCAAGTCCCTGAGTCAGTGTATATCCCGCCTGCAAAGCCTCACCAGTCTTGCCATGGGAAGTTGGCTCCTGGATGCGGAAGACACGGCACTGCTTAATGCCATGAAGGAAAGACACCCGCAAATGAAATACTTAACTCTGCACCAGAAATGGGTGCTACCGTTCTCTCCGATCATTAAGGAATAGATTTAGCAAAAAAAAAAAAGGAATCAAGAAAGTGTTTACCATGCCTGGAGGAATACTACTGAGACTTGGAGTATCTATCTGCCTTACAGAGTCTGAGGGGACCCATCAAGTCTACCAAGTAAGGATGGGGAGTGTGTCGAAAGAGATAGACAAGACTCCAAGGAAGAAAACAAGACTCTGGTTCCGGACTGGATAGGTCTGCTCCTATGCCAGCCCTGAGGTTTTGTTCTCTCATCTTGGATCATCAGTTAATAGAGTTAAGAGAGTTTTACATTATGACTCTTTGCCTCAGTACTTTGCTTTCATCTGTAGACAAATTCTTTTTATTTTCTGGGTTTTTTTTTGGGCCACACCCAGCAGTGCTCGGGGGTAACTCCTGACTCTGCACTCAGGAATTACTCCTGCTGGTGCTCAGGGGACCGTATGGGGTGCTGGCAACTGATTCTGGGTTGGCTGTGTGCAAGGCATACACTCTATGTGCTGTACCGTCTCTCTGGCCACTTTAGACATTCTATCTAACCATACTTTTTTCAAATAAAAAATTCAAGTCACACATAAAAAATTATCATTTATTTTTTAAATGTATTAAAAAAAACTCAATGTACTAACAAAGTTACAATGTACAAATGTGCTCAACCGTGATTTTGACAGATGGGAGTCTTCTGCACTACATGCGACCCTGAGCTCCTGAATAATTCACATTTCCACCGTTCAGTCACTCCAAGACATTATGCCCTGGAAATACCTGACTGGTCACTTAAGCGTGAGTCACATACAATGAGAGGAATGCAGACGATCGTGCACTGAAGAGGAGGCATGCTTGCTCCCATCACCCAGGTGCGCCTTGCTGCCATCCTCCTTGGGGGAGAACTCTTCCTGAATCGGAAAGAAAGCCGGGCTAGAGTCAGTTTAGAAATTTAAAAACTATTTTCCAAAGGTTATTAAGAGAAAATGCGTAAAACATGTTCCTTATAAAATGAAATGACAAGAAAAACAAGCTAATATAAAGACATCCTAATTCCAATTTTGTGAGACAAATAATGGAGAGCAATGTGAAATTTATCTGGAAAACAAAATGGGCAGGAATACTAGGCTGGAAAAAGCACTTGCCTATTAAAGAGTATTACACAAATTGCCTATAAAAATTTAAAAAGTAAAGTTTAACAAAGTGATGATAGATCTACATTTACTAGATTTAAAGACGGCTTTTTGGGGGGCTGGAGAGTGAGCACAGCAGGTAGGATGTTTGCTTTCCACATGGTCCACCCAAGTTCGATCCCCAGCATCCCATATGGTACTCCAAGCACCACCTGGAGTGATTCCTGACCGCACAGCCAGCAGTTAAGCCCCGAGTATCACTTATGGCCCTAAAACCAAAACCCCAAACATCAGTAATGTAATTTAGGCTGGAAAGGATAGTAAGCAAGGAGCCAGGAGAATGGTCTGGCGCAGCAGTGTGTAACCCAAAAATCAAAATCAGAACAAAATAAAACTTGAATTGAGTGCAAATAATCTAATCCATTAATGAAATGAGTAATTCCACTCTTAACCTTCTGAACGCCACAGGAAATGAAACCTGAACACCCAGGTATGGTTCAAACATTGAAAGACAAAAAAAAAGGAAAGAAAGAAAAATGGTATTCACTGCAATGTTATCTATCCAGAATGCTGAATGTTCTAAATACTGGCATAACACACAGCAACTGAACTAAAGAAGTGTAAAACCATTAAAAACACAATGTTAGGAATTTATAGGCACTAAAGTCAGCATGTAGCTGACTCCGTTTCAATCCCTGGTACCACAAATGACTGAGCACCACACCATCCAAAAAAAAATTTTTTTCCGTACCTACACCAACAAATATTTGTGAGATAATTTTTTGGTAACATGCAAATTCTATTAGGGAGGAGAAGATGAGCCCTTTATCAAGCTGTCTCAGGTCCAAAATGTCTTTATGATGTTTTCCATACTTTTTAATACTTTATCATTTGAACATTTTAGCATTTGATTTCTACAAACTAAACAATTCAGACAAAAGGGTAATTATGACAATGGCATACTTACTCTTTAATTGAAATGGGAAGACCTTCCTTCTTTTTGATTTTGTTTGAAACCCTACGAAGAAAGCAAGAATTTTTTAAAAAAAGGCACACTTTGTATAATTTGTGTAACATAAAGGCAGGACCATAGTGTTTCATAAGACATTTTTACCAGCTCTTTACCAAAACATCAAGAATTAAGTTTATAGCCTTTGACTCTGCATTAGAGATGCCAGAATATGCAGGATTTTAAAATGCACTACAATATGCTTAGTAATACAAGAATTATTAAAATTTTAAGGAGAGTGTATTTTTTAATTTTCTAACCCTTTAGATATATGATATTCATCCGCATTTTAGTCACCCACACAAAACAAAATCACAGAAGCACCTACCTGTCAGGAAAAGATTCTGAGTGGTAACTTACCATATAGTAACCAGTGTGATAGCCGCTCATATACCACGAGATCAACATACTGCCCAGTGCCTCAGCATCCTCAAAAGACTCAGGACATATGGGAGGTGGTGGGGGAATTAGCTGGAAATGCAGAAAGAAAAACTTTATTATTATTATTATTATTGCTTTTTGGGTCACACCCAGTGATGCACAGGGGCTACTCCTGGCTCTGCACTCAGGAATTACCCATGGCGGTGCTCAGGGACCATATGGGATGCTGGGAATCGAACCCGAGTTGGCCGTGTGGAAGGCAAACAGCCTATCTGCTGTGCTATCACTCCAGCCCCAGAAAGAAATATTTTAAAGAGAGTAAATGGAACTATGAAGTACAGAGAGCCATTTTACACAGAGAATACTGGATGTCAGTTCTCTTTCCCCATATTCCGTGTCATTTCCCAAGTGAGAATTTTAAAACATGGGGCAAGTGAAATAGTACAGGGGTTAAGGCACTTGTTTTATATTTTGATCCCCGGCATCGTATATGGTCACTTGAGCACTACCAGGAGAAAACTCTGAGAACCCAACCAGGACCTGAGCTCTGCCGTTTGTCAGTCTCCCCTGCCAAATAAATAATAAAACACAAAGCCACTTAAGGTTGCAGATCTGATTCAATGATAGTGCACATGCCTGGCATGGGTGAGACCCTCAGTCTAATCCAGGTACTACCCCGAAGTCCAGAACAAGCCAAAAAACTTGACATTAGAAGGATACCAACCAATAACAAGAGGGGTCAAGAATGGCGAATGGGGCCTCCAGGCCCCCTGAGCACTGCCAAAGATGCTCTCCTCCCCTCCTGCCTCAAAAGAAATTCCTGTGAATAGGAGATACCTCTCTGAGGAATGATACACAACATCTGCCAGGAAGTGGGTAGGCAACAGAGGTCTCAGTTTGGGTGATATAAGGACTGAGCCTGGGAAACAAAGCATAACAAAAAAAGGAAGGGGGGAGTGGAGTGATAGGACTGTGGGGAAAGCACTTGCCTTTCAAGTGTCCAATCCAGGTTCAATTCCTGGCACTCCACATCATGGTTTTCTGAGCCCGCTGGGAGTAACCCTGAGCACAGAACAAGGGGGAAGTCCTAAGCGCAGCTGGGAGGGGTCTAAAAGCCAATAAAACAGCTTGAGGGAGCGTGAGAAATAGTACAAGGCTGAGGCACTCACCCAGCGTACAGCTGTACAACTGCGGTCCCAACTCTGGCCTGAAGCCCAGCACCACACAGCACATGGTCTCCCACTGACAGTCTCCCAAACTCATCAGGTGCAGGTCTGAGTGCAGAGCCAGGAGAGGCCCCAAACAAAAATAGAGCTTGAGCTTTAGTTTTGGGTGTTTGGGCCACACCCAACAGTGCTGCCCTCATATACCTTGCTCCGTGCTCAGATATCACTCCTGGTGGGCTCAGAGGACCACACAGGATGCAGGAGATCAAACTTGGGTCAGCAGCGTGCAACAGAAATGCCCTACCCTTTTTACTCTCTCTGATCCCAGAGCTTGAGGGTTAAACTTTTTTACCTGTTATAATCAACTTCCAGGGGGTGTTAAGAAATCTTTTTTTCCTCTCCCTGGAAAGAGGACAGTCAAATAAGGCAGGTCACAGTAGTCTAGGAACCTCTGATCTAAATGATAGTTCCTAGGCAACTAAATTTTGCTAAACCTCAAAATAAATGTAAAAGTCAAATTTCATCAGAATCCTTTTACACTTACTGGTGGTCCAGAAGGAAGTGGAGGCATCCAGCAGGAGAGGAAGTGTGGTGGCAGTGGAGGTGGCGGGGGACCACTGAACTTCATACCTGGCTGCAAAACACATTTTATCGATTGAATTTTTGTTCTGGCCACACCAAGCAGTGCTCAGGGCTTCCTCCTGGCTTTCTGAACTCAGGGATTGCTGTTGGTGGGGCTCAGGGAACATATGGGATATGGGAAATTAAATCCAGGGCAGTCAACTGCAACCAAAGTAAAACACACACACACACACACACACACACACACACACACATATTTTGTATGTGTGTATGTGTATATATTTGTTTTTTCAGTTACACCTGATGTCAGGGGTTATTTCTAGCTCTGCATTCAGTGATCACTCCTGGCAGGGCTCGGGACAACATGGGCTGCTGGGGATTGAAACTAAGTCAGCTCTGTGCCCTGCAAGTGCCCTACCCCCTATACTATCTTTCCAGCTGTGAAAACATTTTAAAAATAAATTAACAGACCAATTTCAGCATGAAAGCAGAAAAATGATCAATGCCCAGTGTAATTGTGTCCAGGATGATACACAAATTATGTAATACAAAATAAAGAATTTCATGTACTAAATAAATAAGTCGAGTCAAATAGACCCAGAAGTCTAAATTGTTCTCATTTTTCTTATAGACATCCGTGGAATAGAATCCAAGAATTTCTTATTACCAAATGAGTTACAGAACGAATATTTAGCAAGGTACTTCAATCATAAAAGATCCCATCTCTAGGCTGGAAAACTGGTTCCAAAAAACCAGTGGAGTATGTGTTCTGTATGCAGCAGCTGCAGGCTCAATCCCACAATCCTTTGAGCATGAGGCTCAGAGTATCCCAGAGGAATGCTAGATATGACCCTCAAGCCCCACCCCCAATAACAAAAAAAGACCATGTCCCTTAATTTTACTAAGTTAATTATGTAATTTTTTACAAACCTTTTTGGTTGCACAAACAGACTTAAGAGTATATTGGAAAACTGATAAATCTCTAATGAAAAAAAATTAGTCCCGGGTCCAGTAATATGTGATTACATATCTAAGTTCAATCATTCTAGAAACTACATAAACCTTGATAAGAAACCTATTATAGGCCTGGGGATATTGTTAGGGATAGAACTCTTTCTTTAAATATAAAGCCCCTGGTTTGATCCCTGGCACAAGAGTGGTGGTGGATGGGAGGGGGACACTGAAAAATTGAAAAAAATTTAAAGAGCTTTTGATGAGCATTGCTTGATGCTTAAAAAAAAAAAAAGGAAGAAAATTGCACAAGTACCATAGCTTCCAGTAAATAAAGTATTTATGCAAAAGAACTAGACCCTACTTGGGTCACATGACACATAACCTGTAATAAAAACTTTAAAACTTTTAAGTTCAACCATGTACAAAAGTAAGATCAAAATGGATTAAAGACCTCAACATCAGACCGGAATCCATAAGGAACGTTGAAGGCAAAGTCGGCAAAACCTTCCATGACATTGAAGCTAACGGTGTCTTCCAGGATGTCACGCCACTGGCTAAGTAAGTGAAAACAGAGATAGACAAATAGGACTATCTTAAACTAAGAAGCTTCTGCACCTCAAAAGAAACAGTGACCAAAATACAAAGACAGTCCACAGAATGGGAAAGGATATTCGCCAAATACACATCCGACAAGAGGTTGATATCAAGGATATACAAGGTACTGGTTGAACTCCACAAGAAGAAAACATCCAACCCTATCAGAAAATGGGGCGACGAAATTAACAGAAACTTCCACAAAGATGAAATTCGAATGGCTAAAAGACACATGAGAAAATGCTCTACATCATTAATCATCAGGGAGATGCAGATCAAAACCACAATGAGATATCATTGCACAGCACAAATACTGGCCCACATCCAAAAGAACAAAAGAAACTGGTGCTGGCGTGGATGTGGCGAGAAAGGGACCCTCCTTCACTGCTGGTGGGAGTGCTGACTGGTTCAGCCCTTTTGAAAAACAGTATGGATGATTCTTAAAAAATTAGCAATTGATCTCCCATTTGACCCGGCAACACCACTCCTGGGAATATATCCCAGAGAGGCAAAAATGTATAGTCGAAGTGACATCTGCTCTTGTTTGTTCATTGCAGCACTCTTTACAATAGCCAGAAACTGGAAGAAACCTGAATGCCCACGAACAGATGACTGGTTAAAGAAACTTTGGTACATCTACACAATGGAGTACTGTGCAGCTGTTAGAAAAGATGAAATCATGAAATTTACATATAAGTGGTACTACATGGAAAGTATAATGCTAAGTGAAATGAGTCGGAAAGAGAGGGACAGACATAGAAAGACTGCTTTCATCTGGGGAACATAAAGTAACAAAATAGGAGAGTAACACCCAAGAGTGACCGAGATTAGTACCAGGAGGTTTGCTCCATGGCTTGGAGGCCAGCCACACATACTAGGGGAAAAGGGAGCGCAGATAAAGAAGGGAACACCAAACAAAGGGTATTGGGAGGATCCTCCCAGGATGGGAGAAGCATGCTGAAAGTAGACTATAGACCAAACATGATTGCCACTCAATGCCTCTTTTGCAAACGATAGCACCCAAAAGAAGAGAGAAAACAAAGGGGAATGCCCTGCCACAGAGGCAGGGTGGGATGGGGGGATGGGGGGTGGGAGGAATACTGGGACCCGTGGTGGTGGAAAATGGGCACTGGTGGAGGGACGGGTATTTGATCATTGTATAAACAGATACCATTGGGCTACGCTAGCACGCAACCGGGATGAATGGAGACGTTACTGGCACCCGCTCGAATAAATCGATGAATAACGGGGATTAAGTGATTAACTGATAAGTGATAATTGAAACCCAAGCACAGAGATCTGTAGGTCTACAACTGTACCTCATGGTGTTTCACTAATAAAAATTAAAAAATAAAATATGAAAAAAAATAAACAAAACAAAAAAGTTCATGTTCTTAAAACCAAAAGAAACACAAAAATATTAGTATAGTGGGTAGGGCCCTTGCCTTGCATGCAGCTAACCAGGGTTCCATCACTGGCACTTCATAAGGCTCCTGAGCCTGCCAGGAACTCATCCTGCGCACTGCTGGGTGGGACCCATGTATCCCTCCCCACAAACAACAACAAACAACATTTACACTTAACAAAAGTAACCTGGGAGTTCTTTACCATTTATTCATAATAACTATGAATACTGTGCTCTCAAGTTTTGCTCATCTCATCCAAGTGACATGCGAAATAAGAGCTTATCAGCAGTGGACAATATGTATATCTTCAGCTTAAATTTATTTAAACTCTTAGCCTAAAACCTAATATTCCCCAAAAGCAGTGCGAAGGTCATGAGAAACAATTCTGCAACACCATCATATTCTTTTTAAAGATTTCTCAAGTGTATATTTATCTCTACAGAGAGCTACAAAAGTTTCATGGGAAAAGCTTGCAGTCACTCAATGGAGGGTATGACTGTTGATACACCATTAACAGTTTCTCGAGAAGCCTTTTCTGGGTAGACTCTACCTTTCCTGGTCCTGGTCGTGGCCCCAGCCCTGGCCCTGGCCCTGGCATGGGGGGTGGTGGAGGAAGAAACGCGTTCCATGGAGCAGCTTTTGACTTGATGTGATTGGGTTTATTTCCAGGAGATCTGGAGGAGTTCTCACTTTCATCTGTTGAAATTTGACTTTCATTTTCATTCTTTAAAAAGAAAAGACACGTGCATTTTATATAAAGGTGTCATTAAGAAACAGCTCGTGTCAACGGGTCAAACTGACCATTCAGTTTCTCATCTAACTCTCCCTCCATGGCTCCCAGTGCTCTGTGGCCTTACCTCCGTGGCATTCTGTTCTGCAGGGGGTGCAACGTCACAGGTGGGGGTTAGGAGATCAGACAGATTCTGTTCCTCTCTGTTTCCATAGCCAGTGTAAACCACAACACAGGTCTCCCTCTTGAAATCAATGGAGGCGATGGTAGCTGGGTAAACGCAGCCATCCTCGGACCAAACGGCAGTACATTTATCACCAACTTTCCACTGGTTAGAAAGAATCAAAGACACACATAATTCTTCCAAAGAACTTGATCTACAATTTTGTTCTAACAGGACAAGGACGGGGGGCAGGGAAGAGAGTCTTCAGGTAACTGGCTGGGATGGGCAAAGGATGCAGTACTATATCTCAGGGCTAAAAACACGAATTCCAATATACACAGAATCCTTCCCTTTACTTAATAAAGCCCCCAATTTGTCATATAATTTCTGCTATTTATAAACCATGAACAAGTTTCTTAAGTCTCTGAGTCTTATTTTTTCCTCATCTGTGAAGTGGATATAACAGAATCTACCTCAGCTATTTGTTGTGAAGAAAAGAAAAAAAGAAACGTGTGACAAGCATCCAGCATCGTGACCCGACAAAGAGCAAGTGCTGGGCAAATCCTCACTTCCCCTTCATGACCATCAAACGAACAGGATTCAAGAGACTAGTCTCAACAAATTTTAGTATCCAGGTCCATGCTAGAAACAGAAATCCTTCTACGCTGAACTTCTGGCTCCTGATACTGAGTAGGACACCCATTTCTTAGTTCAGGAAATCAAATGCCGCCGGTCAGTTTGAGCCCTCTGAACTCCTTCCTAACAGCACTGCCCCCACACCCAAGTTGTCTAGCCCCTCCCCGATAAAGTTATCATTCACCTGCATTCCTTACATCTTTATTAACATCTGTATTCCCAAACAATGAAGGATCTGACAGCTGTCTTAGAAAATTAGAATCAAAGCAAAAGCAAGCACAGTATTATTAAGTTTAAAGATATGTCATATAATAAGGATAATTACAAACAGTCTTTTGAAATTAAATCTCAGGATTTAAAATAACTTGTATCGGGGCTGGAGCAACAGCACAGTGGGTAGGGTGGTTGTCTTGAACGAGGCCAATCCGGGTTCGATTCCCAGCATCTCATATGGTCCCCTGAGCACCGCCAGGGAGTAATTCCTGAGTGCAGAGCCAGGAGTAACCCCTGTGCTTTGCTGGGTGTGACGCAAAAAGCAAAAAGAAATAAAATAACCTGTTTCGAAGGAGTTGTAGCATTCTTCTTCTGGCCTTTATTCTTCTTAGGTTTTCTTTTAGGTGTGTTTTTTGGTTTATCTGAAGATTCAGAAATATCACCATTCTTTAAAGCAAGCTGTGAAAATATAAACAAAAGCATCATATTAGAAAGTTCTAGGGACTGGGGCAATAATACAGCAGGCAGGGTACTGGCCTTGCATGTGACCTACCTGGGTTTGATCCCTGGCATCCCATATGGTCCCCGAAACCCCGCCAGGAGTGATCCCTGAGCACAGAGTCAGGAATAACCCCCGAGCACCGCTGCGTATGACGCCCAAACCAAAAAAAGGAAAAAAGAAATCAGAATGGGGCTGGAGTCTTGTTTTAATTAATGCCTCACAACGATGGTATTATGTGATCTCCAACCATCATCAGGGAAGCAACCTCAATTAAAAAAAATTGTTAAGTGCTGTGGCCAGAATGACAGTACAGTGGGTAGGGTCTTAACGCATGCCTGACCTGGGCTGACCCCCAGCATCCCATATAGTCCCCCAAGCTCCAATGGGAGTGATTCCTGAGTGCAAGGCCAGGAGTGAGCTCTAGGCACTATAGGGCATGGCCCCACAACAAGCAAAATTAAAAAAAAAAATCAATAAATGCTAAAATGGCCCATGTGGCTAAAGCACTTGTTTTGCAAAGTTTGATCTCTGGTGCCACATCAAGTCAGTGCAATCCTGGCAGCTCTGCTGCCTGTGATCCTGAGCACCACAAGTGATTGTGGCCGCACTGTAGCCAGGCATGTAGGAACACTAGGATAGAAAAGATGTTTGAGGGCCAGAGCCATAGTATAGTGCGGAGGGCACTGTGAGACCAGCGAAAAAAATCTGAAGTTCAATCACCAGGTAAGTACAAACAAGGGAGGGAGGAGGGAGGGAAGGGGGGAGGGGGAGAGAGAGAGAGAGAGAGAGAGAGAGAGAGAGAGATCAATGATCAAAGTGCTTTCTTAATATGCAGCAGAGGCCACAACCCTGGTTTGAATCTTGGCACCACATATGGCTGCCTGAGCTCATCCAGGCATCATGGCCTCCATGCACAGAGTCAGGTGTGGCCCAAAACCCAAAAGAAAAAGAAAAAAATAGGAGCATGTGTGAACTCCTACTCATCACAACAACTGGTTACAAGCTGGTCTCAAGAGTCTAACACATCAGATAGTCTTCGCTTCCTCTTCTGCCACTGGCTACAGAAAATGTTCTTTAATCATCATACACTAAGGGCTTTAAAATAATCAAATCTCCTCCCTCTAACTTTCTATAATATTACATTCTGTTGATCAATATTCTTCTTGCTATTCTCTATGCTTTCAATTTTAGACTAGATCCCTGCAATATCCACAATCCCATCATATACTCATCTTTTCTCCTGGTCACCCTGCATTAGTACTTCTGTTCTAAATGAATATTGGTATGTATTTTTACCAACAAATCTATGAAATGCCTTTTGGTGGTCAGGTAAGTCCCATGTGGTGATGCTGGGGGGAACCATTCGATACCAGAAAAAGGGCCTGGGTTCCTGTGTGTAAAGTATATGTTTCAGACCTTTAAGTCATTTCCCCAGCTCCTAGAAATCCTCTTTAAGGAGGGCCTTAATGTCTAGTTCTTGCCACATGCTACAGAATGACTATGGTAAAGAAAAGGACTCTGCCACCTGGTATGGATGTCCACTCTGTGGACCACTGCTGGTCCATTCACTGTGATCAATCAGACAAACTCAGACACTTGGGGAAGCAACGAAGGGGGATCCTCTGCAAAAATCCTATCGGAACCCTAAAATCAAAAGTGCAACCCACCTTAAAAGAATGATGGATATCAACATTCAGAAACACTGGACACTCAGAAAGATTTGAAGGAAAATTAAATCTAACACACATAACACTTCAAAGAGTGCCCAGAACACCGTAAATACTCTTATCAGCATTAATTACCATACTATTGCTAATTTCACCAATACTGTAATTCACCAAAAGCTTGTTAAATGTTCAAGGGCTGGGGGCTATGGTTCAGTGGCAGAGCTACAGTCCTGACCTTGTGAATTCCTAAATTCTATCCTTGGCACTGTCAACACAATTTTCAAAAATTCAGACTTTTGTCAATCTGGATAAAAAGGACTTCCACACTTAGATACAATGTGAAAGCTTTAAAATCAGTTAATGTAGGGGCTGGAGCAGTAGCACAGCGGGTAGGGCGTTTGCCTTGCATGCAGCCAGCCCAGGTTCGATCCCCAGCATCCCATATGGTTCTCTGAGCACCGCCAGGAGTAATTCCTGAGTGCAGAGCCAAGAGTAACCCCTGTGCATCGCCGGGTGTGACCCAAAAAGCAAAACTAAATAAAATCAGTCAACGTTTAAACTTCTACTTAAACTACCTTTGCTTAAAGAATGACATGGATAGGGTTCTAATTTATAAAGGAAAATACCTAATTAAATTGACCTTACCTCTCAATATTCAAACCTGAAAGTGAATAATGTTAGTACCTTACTGTAACTTTGCTATGTTTTTCTTCCAAATGATGAGGATATAAAAAAAAAGAATTAAGCAAACATTTTATACCTTAAATGAAGCCACAGCTTTATCGTAAGCTTTTATCAATGCTGTATCATCCCATATGTCAGAATCATCACTCTGAGGAAGAAAAATAAAAACTGCATTTTAGGGTGGATTTTATTTTTTAAAGGTTTATTAGGTATTGCTAGGAGTCATCTTACTCCAGTCCAAACAAGATGACATCTCTACACTCTCAATGCATGACCTCTCTGAACAGTCGCTTCACTTTCCTGTTCACATTGAAATGTGGCCACTGTAAATGTTTTCTCTCCACCATAGTTCTCCAATTCCTGTACTGGAGGTGGGGAAGGTATCATCCTTGCTCCTCTGTTTCATTTCCAGATGATTATTCCTCCTTTTACCTAAAAAACTCAAAGTTCTGACTTGGTCACTTAGCCCTCATAGTGGACCAATGAACGGTTTCCCCCATCCCTGTTCTTTCCTTGAGGCTTACATCCTAGTACCCTCTCACACCTGGCGTGATTCTTGGTTATTAAAAAGCCTGTATAGAAGCTGACCCGGGTTCCATCCTTGGCACCCATTGAGTCCCCTGAACCTGCCAGGAGTGATCCCTGAGTGCAGAGCCAGGCGTAAGCCCTGCAAATTGCCAGGTGGGGCCGGCCGCACCAAAAAAGAAAAAAAAAAGGCAAATTCATTCTGAACGACTCTAGAGCACAGCTCCACTAATTCTTTCCTTTCCTGGCACCATCACAAGTCTCGTCCTAAGTCTGAGATCTTACCAGCCCACAAACACGCTTCACTGTTTCTCTTACTTGAAAACAGAAAAGTATAATCACTCCTCTCACCACCCCCCCCCATCTACTTATTAGTCAATTTCTCCACCTTCCAGTGGCGGGATGAATCTCCCGGAAGCGCTCGTTTACAAATGCTGCCTCAAATTTCCCCGTTCCCTACTACTGGATCCTCTCCAACAAGATTCCACGCCACCATTTCACCCGGACCGAGCCGCCGACCCTCTCCGGCTTCCACAAACCCGTTTTACGTGCAGTCTTGTGCCCTTTGTCGGTAAAGAAGCGACTTAAGATTTTCTTCGACTGTATTTCCGTACCAAACCTGCTGCCACCGACTTAAAAATGCTCCTGGTGGGCAGGAACTAGCAGCGAAGTCTTAGCACCGCTGCCCGCTGCGCGATCCAGGTTCGTGCCTCACTCGCCGGCTCAGGGTCGCCGAGCGCGCCCCAAGCCCAGAGCGGGCGAACACAGCCCGGCGCGATGCACGCGGCTTCGGTCAACGCCACCGGGGAACCGCGCCGGGAAGGCGGCGTCCGAGCCCGAAGCCCCCGAGCGCGCAGACGAGGGACCCATGTGCCGTGGCCCGCGGCGAGTCCGACGACCAGTTCCTGCCTCCTCGGCCGGGTCAGGTGAGGCCAGAGCCTGGAGCTTCCGCGTGCAGCGGGCGGCGACGCGAAGGCCGCCGAAGCCGCGTCCTCACCTGGCCGGTGCCGCGCCGGAACAGCACGGACTCCGCCTGCTCCCGTCCGCCGCCGCCGCCTCCGCCCATCGCCATGGCTAGCCTGCTGCCGGCGGCGTGGCGCCACTTCCGGCGCTTCCGGTGACGACTTCCGCCGCGCCACCGCTCCGGCGACGGAAGCGCGTGGTGTCTGGGGCCTCCTGGCCGGCCGCTCTGCGGGCGCCTGCGGAGGGTCTTTGTGTCTCTTCGCCAACGCTTTTGGGACGCACCCAGCGGTGGTCAGAGCTGACTCCCGACTCTGCTCAGAGACCAGAGACCACTCCTGGCGAGGGGCCGTATGGGGTGCTGGGGATCGAACCTGAGTTGGCCGGCAAGGCAAACACCCTTCTCGCCATCTCGTACCATCGTTCTGGCCCTGCTCCTCCTTCACAAATTTTTTATCTTGTATTTTTTTGTTTATCAAAAGGTGGTTACACCCACCACCTGGCCCCCTGGCCCCCTGGCGCCGTGTAATCCCATCAACGGCCAAAACTCAGAGACTATAAAATCCAGCTCCTGGAACCATACGGCTGCATTTGCGGCAGCAGGACATCTTATCAGGACATCTTTTTATGACGTCTTACTATCTCATTCCTACTTTGGATAAACTTGCAGGTTATCCAATGTAGCCTGCCCACAGGGCAGAGTCTGGCAAACTCCCCTTGGCGTGGCGTACCAAATATGCCAAATACCAGTAACAATGATGGGTCTCATTCTCCTGAAGAGCCTTGAATATAATCTCAGGGCTAAGATGAAAGAGGCATTACTGGGGCCTGCTGGAGGCAATCGATGACTAACAGGATGATGAATGAATGAATGAATGAATTTTTTTGTTTGTGGAATAATTCAACCAAAATGCCTGGTGTTTATGTTTGTGTATTTGGGGGCCACACCCGGTGGTGCACAGGCCCCTCCTCGCGGTAGGGGGAACTATTCTCTGACCGGCGACCTTGCGGGGCTGTAGATGGAGGCAACAGCCCCGGCCCATTGAATCACGCTCTGCCAGGGCTCGCACATTTAGACAGTTTGTGACCCTAACATTTAGGTAATGTCAATTTTCTCTCTTTCTCTTTTTTTTTTTTTGCTTTTTTGGGCCACATCCAGCGATGCTTGGGGGTTGCTCCTGGCTCCGCACTCAGGAATTACTCCTGGCAGTGCTCGGGGAACCGTATGGGATGCTGGGAGTCAAACCCTTTGACCAAATGCAAGGCCCTGTCCGCTGTGCTATCGCTCCAGCCCCTCGCCCACATCTTTTACGTAACACACTCAGCAGTGCTCACGGTTTACTTCTGCCTTTGCGCTCACCCCAGGCTGGGGATGAAGAAATGCCAGCAGTGCTCAGGTCTTACTCTTGGCCATGCGTACTGGGATCACTGCAGGCAAGCTAAAGGGGTCATTTGTGGTACTGGGAATCAAGCCTAGAGGGCTTGCATGCAAGACAAGTGTCCTACCAGTTTTACTCTCTCCAGTCTACAAAGCTTGCACATGCACCTAAACCCTGAACTATTTCGCAGGTTCTTGCCCAGCTTTTTTTCTTTGTTTAATGGGGGTTGTATTTGTTTTTGGGCTACTCCCAGCAATGCTCAGGGGTTACTCCTGGCTCTGCATTCAGGGAATTAACTCTTGGTTGTCCTTTGGGGGACCATGTGGGATGCTGGGGATCCAGCCTTGGTCTTCTGAGTTCAAGGCAAATGCCCTATCCATTGTACTATCTACTCTGGCCCCTTAATTCATGTTTTAAAAAAGCTATAAAAGAACTGAGACTTCATTTTATGTTCTTTAGTTGCAATTCCAGGTGGCTTGTACTAAATCTTAAAGCCAATAATTTGATAACAATTTTAAATTAGATTTTAAATTTGGTTATGCAATAGAGTGGATTTTAAAGATCTACTTAAAATTCATGACAAAGATTCTAAGTTTAGGGCTGGAGAGATGGTACAGTGAGTAGGGTGCTTCCCTTGCATGCAGCTGACTCTGGTTTGATCTCGGCATCCAGAAGAGGTCCCCTGAGCACACTAGGAGTATGAGTGCAGAGCCAGGAATAACCCCTGAGACTGGCCCAAAATCCAAAAAAAAAAAAAAAATTCCAAGTTTATATAAAAGGTTAGCTACCCACATTACTTCTCTGAAAATATTCACTACTGATAAAAAATAGTATTCACCAATATTTTGCATGCATAATATGTGTTTTATTCTTTGAAGATGGTTCTGGAACACACTAAGTCAGGCCCAAGGTTAAGTTGAAAAGTTTATAGAGTTTTGAAATGATATGTTACAGCATATGTTATGACTGTTCACTCTACCAAATCTTGATCATAGAGTTTAGTGTCCACCTTGCTGACAGTAGCACCAGTTTTCCAAGTAGCCAACCATCATTTTTCTCTTGTCTGCATGGACTTCTTCTCATTAGCTGCCTTCTGCTTTTGTTGCATGATCTCAGAGTCCCTATAATAAAGGTGAAGTTTGTAAGTTGTTATAGAAAAACTGATTTTATGTTCTCACTTGTTCTCTATATTATACAGAATTAATATTACATATAAATTAAGGAGTAGCTCTGTCTTCATGACATAGCACATTCCTGCAAAGGAAAAACAAGACAGCTACAAAGAAAATGAGATAATGGAAAAAGAACAGTGCTTTTTAGTTCTCTGTTTGAAATAGGCTTTGCTTGCTGTGTGACCGTAATAAAGTTACTTAAGTTTGGAGCCTCAGTATCTGATTCTATGCATTAGAAATAATCTTTTCACTCATCACTTGTCATCCTGTTGATCATCGATTTGCTCGAGTGGGTGCCAGTAATGACTCCATTTGTCCCTGTAGCATGCTAGTGTAGCCCAATGGCATATTGGGGGCTCTTTCAGGGTCAGGGAAATGAGTTATTGTTACTGTTTTTGGCATATCGAATACGCCATGGGTAGCTTGCCAGGCTTTGCTGTGCATTGGAAATAATACAATACCTTTTACTGGAATTCACTGGAGAGAAAATATTAAACCAATGTTACTCAACTGGAAGTCATTTGTCCCATTCCCCATGTGAACTCCCCCTCTCCAACGATACTCCATAGGGACTACTTATAAAAAAAATTGCAAAAATTGGGCTGGAGAGAATGTACAGTGGGTAAGGTGCTTGTCTTGCATGTGGCCAATCCAAGATGCATCCCTGTCATCCTATCTGGTCCCCCAAGCACCACCAGGGGTGATTCCTGAGTGCAGAGCTAGAAGCAACCCCTGAACATAAGTATAGCCCAACAACCCCCTTCCCTGTCCCCATCACAGTTGCAAAACATGGGCCAACGTTATAGTACAGACAGTAGAGTGTTTGTCTTGCATACCATCAACCCAAGTTTGGTCCATGGCACCCCACCGTGTTCCCCAAGTCCTGCCAGGAATGATCCTTGAGCACAGAGCCAGGAATAAGCCCTGAGTAAAAACCAAAAGAAGTCAAAAATATTGCAAAAATGAGGATCTACAATATGAGAGTAGAGGGCTAACTAGTAGGATGGGCAGAGGGGAGAAAGGAAAAGAAACGGAAAGGAAACAGGGTTAGAAGGGACTACAATCACAAGATGGTTGGAAACGTTGCATTAGTCGAGAGTGACTTAAACTTTTTCTATTTGTGGCTCTTTTCACCCTAAGAACTAGGAATTCATTACGCAAGCTGACTTGAATTAATTTTTGTTTGGGGGCCACACTTGGTGTCCTAGTGCTATTTCTGGCTCACTGCTCCGGGGACCATGTGGTATTGGGGATCAAACTGGGACATTGCTGCACCTTTAGAAACCTTTTATTATTGGGGTCTGAAGTGATAATACAGCAGGAAGGACACTTGCCTTTCATGTGCTCAAGCTGGGTTTGATCCCTGTATTCCATGTGGTGCCCCTAGCACTGCCAGGGTTGATCTAGTGCAGAGCCAGGAGTGAGATCTGAGCACCGCTGGGTGTGACCCCAAAACAACAAATACGAAAAAGAAAACCTAAGCATTAGGTATCTAATTAAACACTTTTATAAAGAGTTATGGTTTTTTTCTTAATCTTTATTGTGATATCAGTGTGACATTTAATTGGATGTAGATTTTTTTCAGCTCTGTGTTCCTGGTTTGCTCCTGGCTATGTCAGGGATGAACCCCAGGTCAGCTGCATGCAAAAGAAATGTCTCAACCCCTGTTAAGGCATACTTGTCTCTGGCTCTTATCACTTTTATTTCATTTATTTATTTTGGGTTGGGGCCATGCTCAGGGAATACTCTGACTGTGTGCTCAGGATCACTGTGACCATGTGTGAAGCCAGGGAACAAACCTGGGTCGGCTGTGTATAAGGCAAGTGCCCTACTGCTATACTGTCTTCCTGGAACCTATCAGTATCTTTTTAGTTTTTTATTGTGGTGCTGGGGATGAAACCCAGGCCCTCACACAAGCAAAGCAAGGGCACTCTACTGCTGAGCTAAAGCCTTGCTAAAACTTATCACAAAAAGTATCATAGAAAGAAGATATGAGCAATACAGGCTTAAACCTCAGCAAACGATACTTTTAATACTAATGCTTTGCTGTTCAGTTCCACACATATCAGCAAAGCATTAGTGTTAAAAGTATCATTGTTTGCTGAGGTTTAAGCCTGTATTGCTCACATCTTCTTTCTATGATACTTTTTGTGATAAGGGCTGGAGTGATAGCACAGCGGTAGGGCATTTGCCTTGCGCGCAGCCAGCCTGGCTGAGCCGGGTCGATTCCTCCGCCCCTCTTGGAGAGCCTGGCAAGCTACCGAGAGTATTCAATATGCCAAACACAGTAACAAGAAGTCTCACAATGGAGACGTTACTGGGCCCGCTCGAGCAAATTGATGAACAACGGGAGGGCAGTGCTTTGCTGTTACTATTTTGCGATGCTGTGGATCAAGCCCAGGACTTCACAAGCATGTGCTCTACTGTTGTCCCACACATGTGACAAAATGATTTTTTTCTCTTTGTTTTTGGGTCACACTGGCAATACTCAGGGGTTACACTTGGCACTGCACTCAGAAATTACTCCTGGCTGTGCTTGGGAAGACCATATGTGGTTTCCGCTTTTTTTTTTTTTTTTTTTTTTTTTGCTTTTTGGGTCACAACTGGTGATTCACAGGGGTTACTGCTGGCTCATGCACTCAGGAATTACTCCTTGCGGTGTTCTGGGGACCACATGGGATGCTGGGTTAAACCCGGGTTGGCTGCATGCAAGACAAATGCCCTACCCGCTGTGCTATCACTCCAGCCCTGGTTTCTGATTTCTAACCCAAGTCAGCTACACGTCGAATTATCTGGGGAGATTTTTTAAAGTCAGATTATCTTAGATATGATAATATATATCTGTAGTACCTCATAATTCCCATTCTTGATTCAATTAAATTGGGCTTGGGTGTAGGACACAGGGTTATGCTGATGGCAAGTTTTCCCTGGTGGTTCTGGCCATTGGACTATACTAGCACGTGACAGGGATGAATGGAGATGTTACTGGTGCCCGCTCGAGCAAATTGATGAACAACGGGGCAATAGTTATAGTGATTTGTTTTGGGACCATGGCAATGCTCAGGAGTAACTCTTGGCTCTGTACCCAAAAATTCCTGTCAGTGCTCAGGGGACCATATAAGACATTCTGGATTGAATCTGGGTCATTCACATGCAAGACAAGCACCCCACCTGCTGAATTATCACTCAGGCTCCACATGAATGCAAATTTAAACTTAAGCTAAGTATTTCTGTGGCAGTTTTATATTGTCAAATAGAGTCATATATCGCTGTATTGGTTGGAGCATCTAATTTCTCCAACCAAAAGATCTTAAAATGTCAATTCAGCTTGGGAACCCTCTACCCCACCAAATATACTTTTTGTCTCTTTCAGAACAGATCTCACTATAATTGAGCCTTTCTGGGAGAAGGGTGGATGTCTCCCAAGTTGTGCTCAGGGGATTTGGGAGCCACTCCTGGTGAAACTTGGCCTGGCTGTGTAGGTCAGATGGTTCAGTGCTTCACCTGGTGACATGCTGCTTCTAGGGAGCATCAGTGTTGGAGACACCAGGTCCGCAGCTAGCAGTGCTCAGGGAGTTTGTGATGGCAGGGATCAAATTTTTTTGGGTCACACCTGGCAATGCACAGGGGTTACTCCTGGCTCTGCACTCAGGAATTACCCCTGGTGGTGCTCAGGGGCCATATGGGATACTGGGAATTGAACCTGGGTCTGCCGTGTGCAAGGCAAACGCTCTACTCGCTGTGCTATTGCTCCAGCCCCAGGGATCAAATTTAGGGATCCGCATGCTAGGCATGCACACAAGGCCATTTCCAGCCCATATAATTGAGTCCTCTGTAATCCAGATTATCTTGGGTAAACTGTTCACTTTGAACATGTTGCAACCCTATCATCTAACTGGGTCTTGCATGTGGAAGATGTTCTTTTACTTTGCTAAAAAAAGTCCTTATAGTTTGGTGAAGTTGTATGAGATTCCCCACACAACAAAAGATAGCCTGAGAGCTTTAAACATTTCATTAGTGGGTTGGAATAATGACTAGTCCCTGTAGTTTTTTTATACTCGACACACAACAAATTTCTGCAAGATAGCACAAGTCTACCATGGATTTCAAAAAATGGTTTCATTCTCTAAAATGAAACCTATGAGCTGAGAATTCCCTTAATGTCACTCACCTCTGCTTTCGTTGGGAGGCAGTCAAACTATCCTCTTTTCTTTTCCCCTTACTAATTTCCTGGGATTTCTTCATATTTTTCTGGCGAGCAAGTTCTCGTTGATTTCCACCTCAGAAAAGAAACAGTGACGCCTTTTCCATCTCCAAAGTCAATAATTACAATATAAAGTTCTTACTGAAATCCATTTTTTTCTTTTGGTTTTTGGGTCAGTGACACTGACCCAGCGATACTCCTTGCTGTGCACTGAACAATTACTCCTGGTGGGCTCAGGGGACCATATGGGATATGGGAATCAAACTTGGGCTGGGTGCATGCAAGGCAAGCCAGTTTACCCATTTTACTATCTCTCCAGCCCCTTGAAATACGTTTGCTTTTTTATAGACACACCAGCAGAGTATAGACTGGGGATCTAACAAGGTCTCTTAAGCATCTTTCCTGATCTGACAAGGAAGAAGCTTAGAAGACAAGCACTTAAGCTCTTAAAGAGTATCATTATACCAAACAAAGTGCTCACTATATATATACATCTACACACACACATATATATACATCTATATACATACTCCCATGCATTTTTTTGGGGGAGTCACACCTGGGCAGCTTAGGCCTTACTCCTGGCTTAGCACTCAGGAATTACTCCTGGCAGTCCCCAGGGACCATCAATGGGCTGCACGCTCTCACTAGCATAGACCCCATCTTCAAAACTGACATTCCAATCGTCTTTTGTGTCATTATTTCAAATTCAAGTACTACTTTTTGAAGAGGGGAAAAAAGAGTCCCAGAGCTCCCACCTCACACAAGTTGGACTATCACAACCCCAAGGAGAGATGCTTGTAAAACACGATCCATGAGGGCAAACAAAAGAAGCAGGGAGGAGACTCAGCTGTCCGGTCCCCATCAGGCCTTAGGACTTTAGGTACCCGCAGAAGTCACCTGAAGATCAGGCTCCCCACGCCACAAATCTCACCTCCAGGGCAGCAGCTCTCTAAGGGCTAAACTCCTACCCGAGGGGCAGACACCCGGCTGGCCCTGACCCGACTGGGGCCGATCATCGTCTCTCCTGAATGAAGCCGGGGTCCGGGCCCGCTCGCTTTAAAGGCATTCACCGGCGGATCCCTGGCTCCCCGCGGGCACCCCCCTCATCCACCCGCGTACTCACGGGCCATGCTGGTCAGCCGCCGGGGTCCGGAGAGCGCGCCTTGGAAAAGAAAGGCTCCGGTGCAAGCCCTGCGCGGTGCCCACCGGTTAGTGCGCAAGGCTGAGCCGGAGCGAGGCCCTCCACCCCGCAGAGCCTCGGCGGCGCGGCTGCCCCGCCCACTGAGCCCTGACAACCGCCGCCGGGGTGACTGCGCGTGCGCGGCGGGCCGGGCGGGGCCGCGGCTCCGGGCGGGTGGGTGCACCGCAGGCCCCCTTTCACCTCGCGAGGGTCTGAAGTCTGTTTGGTTTTGGCGCTACGCGAGGCGGTGCCTAGGGCTTACTCCCGGCCCGGCGCTCAGGGACCGTTCCTGGAGGGGCTCGGGGGACCAGTGTGGTGCGGGGGAATCGAACCTTAGTCGGTCGCGTTCAAGGCAAGCGTCCTGCCTGCTGTTCTGTAGAGCCCCTATCGCTGCTGAACAGCTGAGACGGGCTCATTAAAAGCTCGGGCCAGGCTATAGGTAGACGATCTCCGTACAATATGTCTCCCAGGGACCCCATTCTCTCTCTAGCAAGAAATCACGTGCAGTTTCTTCACCCGAGTTTTAAATCTATCTCCACAACTTAAAATTTCTACGGACTTTTGTTTTGAGTTTTGCCACACCCGGCGGTGCTCAGGATTTACTCCTGGCTCTGCGTTCAGGGGTCACTCCTGGCGGGGTTCGGGGACCTTATGGGATGTCAAGGATGGAACCCGGCTTAGCCGCTTACAAGGCGAGCGCATTTCCCGCTGTACTATGACTCTAGCCACACAAGTTAAAATTCCAAGCCCTGCTAATGCTCTACAGACCCCTTTACAAACAATCGAAGAGCGATCAGATAAGAGAAAGAAGGAAAACGGAAGAACAGTTCCCGTAAACCTAGAGGCTGAAGAAGAGCGGGCCGCGGGTTCCTGGGTCGAGCGAGCTCCCGCGACCGGAGCGCGCCTCGTTCCGTAGTTTGACAGTTACCATGGCTCCGGTCGCCGCGCCTCTGACGTCAGCCCGCGGCGCTCCCTGATGACGCGCCGGCCCCGGCGCCGTGGAAGGGCGGGGGGACAAGGTGCAGGGAGACTTGGCTCTCGGTGAAGCAGGGTCATGAAGAAGAGGCGGTGGCGGGAGAAAGGAGGAGGCGGTGGGGGCGCGAAACTGCGGTAGCTGCCGGCCGGGCGGGTGCGGGGCTTCGTGGGGGCGGGCTTGGTTCCGAAAGCCTCTCTCGGGCAGCGGCGGGGCTCGGGGCTGAGCGCGGCGGCAGGGCCGCCTCCCCGGGCCCCCTGGCTCCGCCATGTTCCGCCGGGCGCGCCTGAGCGTGAAGCCGAATGTCAGGCCTAGTGTGGGCGCTAGAGGCTCGGGCGCCGCCGCCCCGCAGCGTGGACCCGACGCAGCTCGGCCCCCGGAGCCCGCCGCGCCCGCTGCTGCCCCGCGGCCCGCCGAGCCCGCGGAGGAGGCGCCGGCCGATTTCGGGGGAGCGGAGCCCCCGGAGAAGGCTCCCAGGAGCGGGTGAGTGTGCGCGGCTGTGGAGGGGAGCGGCCCCGGCAGCTCGCCGGCTTGAGCCGCTGCTTAACCCGGCGAGGACGCCGCTGTTTGCTCCCGCGCCTTCAGTTGAGGGTTCCTGAAAGCCCCGCCGAAGTGCAGTTGGCCCCTTGGACCATCATCACGTCCCCATGCGGCCAGCGGGGATTTGGTCGGGGACTGCAGATCCTCGGCGTGGGGGCGGGGGGGGGGAGGTGAAGGGAGGAATCCGGGCTTAAGACTCTTGGAAGGATACCCCCGCAGGGTGTGTTCGTTGGAGAAAAAAAGACTACCCAGTCTCCAATCTTGAGCTGTGCGTAGCCGGGGTAAATCGTTTAAACCGTTTTCAAAGCCTCTCTCTCTCTCTCCCTCTCTTTCCCCCCCCCCCCCCCCTTTTCTCAAAAACGAATGTGGCCTTTGGTTCTGCGGATGTGGGTCGCCGGGGAGGGGGACGGCGGTCTGGCCCCTGGCTTTGGTTTGGGAGCGTGCCCCTTTAATGACGGTGACCAAGCTTTCTGAGCGGAAGAAGCACGTGTCACGGACCACAGTTTTGGAATCGGGATTCCTCTTCTGGATTTGACAACTTAGTAGGCTTGGCCCAAGTAGAGTTGACCCACCTGTAAAATGGGCATGGTTCTATTCCCGGCTTGGGAGAGGTGTCGTGGAGATTAGAGCTAGCCCAGAGAGTCTGGCTGGCGCAGGGCTCAGCAGGATAGCTGCCTAGAACAAATTTCTCGTTTCGAATCAATGGGATGGGGCCGGAGCAATAAAACAGAAAACCAAAACAGACAAAGGTGGTGGAGTCCAGTGATTAAAGACGAGGCATGTTGGACTGTTTATGCCTCTGTGTCCGTACTGCGTATGCGAGGAAACCAATAAAAACCATGCCTGTCAAATGACAGCGAGATGAGACTGTATTCTGGGAATTCCTTTCAGGTTGGCTTGTTGACATGAGGAGATCTGGTGCTTGGCAGAAGTTATTTTGATGCTTAGTTTTTCCAAGTTTCTTATATAAGTTTGTTTCAAAATTTCTCCTCAGGTGGAGAATACAAATAGTTCTCACTGTTAAATGGCTACAGTATCACAAGATCGGTGACGCTGGATAATTTAAATAAATTACTCAGTCTGTAGTCTTAAAATCACAGCTGTAATCTTTAGCTAGTAGATATGAAATCTTGTGACATTTCAGCTAGTTGCTAAGTCATTTTATTTTATTTTTGCCTTGTTTTTGGTCCATACCCTTGCAGTACTCAGTGGTTACTTCTGGCTCTGCACTCAGGTGATGCTGGGGAGACCTTATGGGATGCTGGGGATCTAACCGGGCATACTTTTTAAAAATTTTTTGGCTGTACCCAGTTGTGCTCAGGGCTTACTTCTGGCGCTGATCTCAAGAATAACTCCTGGCTATGTTTTGGGGGACCTTATGGGGTGCTGGGGATGGAACTCAGGTCAGCAGTCATATGTGAGGCAAGTACCTCCCCACTGTGCCATCTCTTTAACCCCTATTTTTTCTTTTAACCACACTTTTTTTTTTTTGGTGGTCCTTGACAGTGGAATTTTCTTTTTCTTTTGAGGTGCGGGGATTGAACCCTCTTCACACAAGCAAGGCAAGTGTGCTCCCACTGAGCTAGGTGCTTGGTTCTAGCTATAAAAGTTTTTACTTTATATAAGAATTTATTTTGGGGGCCGGAATGATAGTACAGCGGGTAGGTTGTTTGTATTGAACACAGCTCATGTGGGTTCGATATCTGGCACCCCATATGGTCCTCCAAGCACTGCCAGGAGTAATTCCTGAAACAGAGCCTAGGGTAACCCCTAAGCATCGCAGAATGTGACCCCAAAAAGAAAAAAAAAGAATTTTTTTCCTGTCCTTATGCATTTAACATAATTGTATTACATGTAAATGATGTGTGTGCCACATGACAATAAGGGCTGAGATAAGGGTTTCTTAAATTGAATAATTTTTTTTGGCCACACCTGATTTGCTGGGGCCCACTCCTGGCTGTGGTGCTTATGTACCAGGCGGTGGCTGGCATTCTGCATGGCCAGCATGTGCTCCAGCCCACTGAACCATCAGCCCAACTCAAGTGAGATTTTAAATTGAAGACTTTTTTGTAAAGTTTAGGGTTTTTTTTAATTAGTTTTTTTTTCAGTAATGTTTATTGAGACACTGTGATTTACAAAGTTGTTCATAATGAAGTTGTTTCAGGCATACAGCATTTCAACACCAGCCCTACCACCACCGTCCCCTTCCCTCCTCCAATATCCCTCCCACACCCTGCCTTTCCCCGTGACAGGCATATACCAAATTTATTTCATATCGCTTGGTCCAATAAAACTTAAAGGAATGGCAAATAGAATTGTCTGAAAATAAATCTATAAAAGTCAATTTGTAATGAATTGCTATTTGTTCTTAACCTTTCTTAATCTACTAGAGGACAACCAATTGCCCCATCTGTGAGTACAATACTCAGTGCTACATGATAGGAAGTTTTTCCTGTCCTTTAAGGGAGCTTTTAAGGTTTCTTGCAAAACTGGTTTCAAGGCTTGAACTTTCCTAAACTGTTGCCTGTGAGAAGATCTATATAGTGCCTTAAATCTGAACGATAATCTATCTGGGTAGAATATTTTTGGTTAGGTATTCAATTCATTGAGTTTTTGTACTATATCCTTCCATATTCTTGTGGTTGGAAGTGTCTCATTTGATATAAGATCTGCTGTACATCTAATGGGCTTTCCTTTGTACATAAGTTCCTTTTTTGATCTTACTGCATTTAGTATTCTGTTTTTATCTCTACATTTAATTTTTCTGAGTATAGCGTGTTTTGGAGTTTTCCTTATGGGTCTCTTTTCACTGGGGTCCTTTGGATCTCTTGGATTCTGTGCCTGTAATCGTCAACTCTGGGAACTTCTTAGGTAATGTTTCTTCACATTTGACTTCCTGTTCTTCAGGAACTCCAGTGATTCTTATATTGTTCCTCTTGAACTCATCCCATGGTTCGTTGATAGTGAGTAACTTTATAACTCTAAGTCATGATGATTCAATAAAAAAAAGTCAGTAATTTAATCTAGTCTAGGAAGATATCGATATGAGCAATAAACTGAATTTTAAAAATTCTTAACCAAAGTGTTGAGCCTAGTTCAGGGCTGCTTCCCTGTGCTGGTAATTAAACTTTGGGACAGTAAGACACGGGCTGGGGGAGATGATTGGGTAGAAGGTATTTCTCTATTCATTTCTCTCCCGGCCTACAACACACACACACACACACACACACACACACACACACAAAACCACTAAAGAATTCTCTGTTATATAGTAGTTAACTGTTCTAGTATAGGTGCTCTGTTTTAGAGACAGCATAAATATAAAACTTAAAACTTAATGTGCTTTTTAGGGACTTGGAAGTTTAAGAAATGTTGCAATCTTCATAATGATTTATATGCTTAAAAAAATTTGTTGAACAAAATTTCAACCTTTCCCACAATTAGTATACAGTGATTTTTAAAAATATGGAGATTTTCAGATTTTTGCCATAGTTTTTAAAACTAGAATATTTAAAGGTAGATCCATAAAGGTGCCATTTTTCTCTTCCAATTTCAACAGTGATGAAAAGACCGATGGTGAGAATGATGTTGTTGAAGAATCCAGTAAATCTTCCTCTATTGTTTCACAGAGAAGAAAGCGAATATCAAGTACTTCTAGTGTGGTTAAGCCTAATGTCAGTGTTCCTTCAGAACCTGAGCCCTTGTCTGCAGTTAACTCAGAAGTTCCTACACCAAGCCCTGTTCCAACAGCAGAGAAACAGCCATGCTCAGATAGATATCGGATATATAAAGCCCGGAAACTGAGAGAAATGTTAAAAGAAGAACTGAGAAAGGAGAAGGTAAGTAAGAAAAGTCAGAATTTTTACTCTTAGGTGCTCTATTTCTATTTTCATATGGGTAAGACATCAGAGGAAAAGTGAGCATCTGTAATATTTTGGTAGAGGAATTAAACCAAATAACATTTTCCATGTTCATAGAATATCCCTTTTTGTAAGCAGAATAAGAGAAACTATGGACTTAATAAGCTATTTTTTCATGATATTAATTTTTATTTACTTTGTTTACCTACATTTTTATTGTGCGCTTGTGTTTCTAGAAACAGTGGAAAAACAAGTATGCCACAAATGAAAGTCAGAGGCCTCCAGATCGTTCAAAAATGACCATGAGAGACTTCATATATTATCTGCCAGATAACAATCCAATGACGTAAGTAAATTTTATTTGTTTTAGTTTCTTTACATACATAGTGATTTATATACTTTTATTAAAATAAAAAAATACCATTTAAATTTTTTTGTGGTGTTGGGTATTGAACCTGGAATCTGACACAATCAAGGCATGTAGGTCCACTGTTGAGTTACTTCTTCCTCCCTGATGCATCACTATTCTGGTATAGGCTATTATTATCCAAAAAACTGTGGCAAAATTTACAGCATTGTGTGATGATTTCCTTTTAGATATCCTTACAGTTTTGGGGGCCACACCTGGCAGTGCTTGGGTCTACTTTCATCTCAGTGCTTTGGGGCCATGCAGTGCCATGGATCAGGTGTGTGTTGTAACCCTTTGAGCTATCTACCCAGCACTTAAATGGAATTTTATAGCGAAATCAGTGGTATTTCAAGTAACTGCTTTCTTGGGAGGATAAGTTATGTGGTTTGCCTCTGATACTGAACACGAGTTTTGAGGGGCCCGGGGGCTGCGGGGAATGACTCAAGTGGCAGAGCACTTGCCTGCCTTATGTGACTCCCGGGGTCTGGTCTTCAGCCTGGCTTGGCTGTCCAAGTTTCATGGGGTGTGGCCTTGGGAGACCTTTGTGCATCTCTAGGGTGGCCAGTATTAAAAACAGAAAGGTTTTCTTTTTTCATATTACTAGGATAAGCCAAGCCAACTAAATAACTGTTTTGTAATCAAGATTCCAATTCCGATTTTTGTATATTCTAATATTGCCTGAAGAGGTGATACAATGTTTGTTTCTACCTCCTAGTTAAATACAGTGGTAAATTGATCAGTAAAGGTTTTATGAAGAAAGTTTTCATCAAAGGTAGCCTGGGAGGCCCAGAGTTTTCAGTAAACCGTCTTACGTTGTGAGTGTAGTTTTTTCAGGCCCCAGAATGCATTGGTCTCTTTGAAGGAAGGGTCAGCCCTAAGACTTAGTTCTCCTTTTTTTGTGTGTGTGTTTGACAGTAATTAGTCCTCTGTGTCTGGGCTTGATGATTCCCAGCAGGACTTGGAAGACCACAGAATGTCAGAGATTGTACTCAGGACTCTTGCATGTTTTCAGCTCATCCAGCTCCTGGCTTGTGAGTTGTTTGACTTGTAGGAGTTGGAGACAGTCTCCTTGTTACTTCTTGCCTGAGTCCTGGGAGCCCTTTTTATTGAGGAATTAGATGATAAGAGTGTTCTCTACTTAGCGCTTACCAAGTTCATTGTACCTGAGGATCCTTTTTGGGGGGGAGTTTTGGTACAACCCCTGGTACTGTTAGCCCCTGCATCCAGTTGGAAGTTGCTTCTGAAAGTTGCCGGGACACCATTCGGTGCTTTGGATTAAATCTAGGACTCCCATGTGCAAAGCATGCACTGCAGTCCTTTGAGCTATCTCTGTCATCTCTTGATTATGTAAGTTTTGTTTTTGTTTTGGGAGCCACCGCTGGCAGTGCTTAGGACTTATTCCTGCCTCTGCACTTTGGGATCTCCTGACAGGGCTCAGGAAACCATATGTGGTGCTGGGGATTGAACCTGGTTAGTTGAGTGCCAGGCAATTTCCCATACCCTCTGTATTCTCTCTCTCCAGCCCAGTGATATAGTTCTTTTTTTATATATATATATATAAGTTTATTTATTTTTGCCTTTTTGGGTCACACCCAGCAATGCTCAGGGGTCACTCCTGGCTCTGCATTCAGGAATTACTCCTGACGGTGCTTGGGGGACCATATGGGATGCCCGGGATCGAACCCAGGTCGGCCGCGTGCAAGGCAAATGCCCTACCCGCCGTGCTATCACTCCAGCCCCAGTGATACAGTTCTTGACAGAAAAATTGATTGCTGGACCAGAGTGGTATGGTCTGTAGATCTGTATCACCAAGAAGAAAAACAGCAATTTTCTTCTTGAGTATGAATAGAGTTGAAAAGATGTAAATTAGTTATTAAAACGTGTGCTGTTGTTTGTGTTTAATAGTTCTTCACTGGAGCAAGAAAAGAGAACGGAAAAATCCTTGACAACAGTCCAGAGCAAAGAGTGAGTTTCTCATATTATTCTTTTCTGAATATACTCTGCTACGGGTACATAAAAATAAATGAATAAATAAAGTCTCCTTTGCCTTGCCATGCCTGTATTGTTGCCATGACAGGGCCTGCATTGTGGCTGTGGTGGTCGCGTGCATTTGGTGGCAGTGTGTTGGAGATCGCACACTTAGCTGCGCTGTTCAGCCTCCCAGCCACATGTTTATAAGGCAGACATTCTACCACTGACTCTATTCTGGACCTCTTTCCTCCCTCTTTCCCTCTCTTACTCCCTCCCTTCCTCCCTCCTTCTGTCCTATCTCCCTCCCTCCCTCCCCCCTTCCTCTCTTGGTGGGTTTGGGAGGCCCTTTGGGGCACTGGGATAGAACCTGGTTTTTGGCTATATGCAAGGCAAACACGTTCTGCCTTCTGTATTTTAACTTGGACCCCTCAGAAAAGTCTTTGAGTTCTTTTTTTTTTTTTTAAATATACATTTGAGCTTTTGGGTTACAGTTAGTGAAGCTCAGGGGTTATTCCTCGCTCTGCCCAGGTGTCACTTCTGGTAATGCTTGGGGGACCTTATGGAGAATGGGGGAGTGAACCAGGGTTGCCCAATATAAGGCGAGCACCTTAATTCCCTGTGCTGCCACTCCCACCACCTAGAACCTTTCAAACATCAACAGATGTTTCCAATTTTTATTTATTTTTTGGCTTTTTGGGTCACACCTGGCAATGCACAGGGGTTACTCCTGGCTTTACACTCAGGAATTACTCCTGGCAGTGCTCGAGGAATGCTGAAAATCAAACCCGGATCGGCTGCGTGCAAGGCAAACGCCCTGCTTGCTGTACAATCACTCTGGCCCCTGTTTCCAATTTTTATTTTTTATTTATTTATTTTTTGCTTTTTGGGTCGCACCCGGCAATGCACAGGGGTTACTCCTGGCTCTGTACTCAGGAGTTACTCCTGGCGGTGCTCAGGGGACCATATGGGATGCTGGGAATCGAACCTAGATCGGCTGCATGCAAGGCAAACGCCCTACCCGTTGTGCTATTGCTCCAGCCCCCCCAGTTTCCAATTTTTAATATATCATCATTGGCATCTTAGTTGATGTCAGTATAGGCTAGCATGCATTTTATATACTCTATCCCGCAACAGATACAGTTTTGTTGCCACCAGAGACACTATTTTTTGTTACAAATTGTCTTCCATATTAAGTTAGCTTATATCTTAGAAATGTCTTGGAGAGGTCACATGGGAAGTTACTGTAGCCTTATAGTTCAAGACTCAGGGATGGGTGGGAATATTTTGGAAAATTAGCTGCAACAATGGGATTCTGGTTGTTACTTCAAGGGTTATTAAGTAATGATTACTTAGACTCCACATTTAATTTTTTTTTTTTTTGTTTTTGTTTTTGCTTTTTGGGTAGCACCTGGTGATGCACAGGGGTTACTCCTTGCTCTGCACTCAGGAACTACCCCTGGCAGTGCTCAGGGGACCATATGGGATGCTGGGAATCGAACCCGGGTCGGCCGCGTGCAAGGCAAATGCCCTACCTGCTGTGCTATCTCTCCAGCCCCTCCACATTTTAATTTTTTATAAGTATAATTAGATTTTTTTCTCAGTTGGTAAAATATTTTTATTATTTTTGTTTGTTTTTTTTAGCTATACCCAGCAATTATTGAATATTATCTAAGATCATTTGTTCTGTTTTGGTGCTTGGGGTTTTTCTCGGCTCAGTGGTTGAAGGGGGAGGAGGGCTGGGGTTATAACTGGAAGTTCTTAGGGAGTCTGTTGGTATTAAGGATTGAGCATGGACCTCCCAAGTGGAAAATATGTGCTCCAACCATTTGAAATACCTTATGGCCCCGATTGGTAAAAAATTTAAATACAGAGAAGTGTTTTCTAAAAAATATCTATGTTCTCAACTCTAAGAATTTAATGTTGTTATCATATAATATTCACTTCTAAGTTTTCTGACATAGTAGAGTTTAAAGTAAAGGCTTCTCTGTATAACTCCCTGGAGAAAGCCACCAAGACGAATTTGGTATCTGTAATTCCAAATATTTTTATACTGCTTCTGTCTAGTACTGGTTGAGTCTTGGAATATTGTCTTAAGAAAATCCACATTGCTTCAGTTTATTCCAAACTAAAAGTTCTGGAATAAGTCATATGTTACAGACTTTTAGGTTGTGTTTGGGTTAGTAAAACTTTAAGGAAACATAGCCAAGTGGAATTCATTTACTTGTAGATTTTCACCCAAACCTGAGTGTGGTGAGGTGCTCTCCTGGTTCAGAGCTTAGGGGTTGCATCCCAGGGGTACTTGGGTTACACCCGGTGCTTGGGGCTCCCACAGGCACAGCATCATGCCAGGCCTTTGTGTCATCCTCCCGACCCAGCACAGGGGATTTAGTCAGTTGAGAGATATTTGACTTCTTGCTTTACCCCGCTGGTTGTGTAATCTAAAGCAGGTTCTTTTCTCTGAGCCTCAAATGGGCGTGGAAATACTAACCTCAATGGGTTAATAACAAAATTGAATTAATAACAAGATTGGAAAGCTAAGTAACTGTAAGAATGAATTTTGTAGTTTTTTTATAATATCTAGATATTTTAGTCTAATACTTGATTTCAATAGAAAAGAAGAGTATACTATTTCTTTAATTTCAGAAATAGTAAGGATTTCTTGTTGAATGCTGTTAGGTAAAGTGTAAGAAAACCTTACAACCTTGTGCTTATGTACTTAACAGCACGTGTTTTTTAAGTTATAGGGAAAATTGGAAATAGCTAGAAGGATAATCTTGTTGTAATTTATTTTCGGAATTCTCTATATTCAGGAATACTCCCTATCTATCCTTAGGAATTAATTTATCTTTGCAATTGGCAGGCAAGAAAATAAGAATCCTCCTGATACTGAAGATAATGAAGACATAGAAGAAGAGGCAGATGATGGGCCATTGCTTGTTCCTCGAGTGAAGGTGGCAGAAGATGGTTCTATTATTTTGGATGAAGAAAGGTAAATGAAAAATTAAAGAGGGGCTGGAGCAATAGCACAGCGGGTAGGGCGTTTGCCTTGCATGTGGCTGACCCAGATTTGTTCCCTCGCATCTCATATAGTTCCCTGAGCACTGCCAGGTGTGATTCCTGAGAGCAGAGCCAGGAGTAACCGTTGAGCATTGCTGGATGTGTCCCAAAAAAGAAAAAAAAAATCGAAGTGTGGCTTCATGAAAACAGGTGTGCCTCATCTAAAGAGATTGAGTTTATCTGTCACTGTTAATTAGAGTCTGTTCTTTTATTTGTTTTTGGTTTTGGTTTTTGGACCACACCCGGCTGTGCTCTAGGCTTACTCCTTACCCTGTGCTCAGGGATCTCTTCCAGTGGGGCTCTGGGGACCATATGCAATCTTGGGGATTGAATTCAGGTCAGTTGGGTGCAAGTGCTTTACCTGCTGTAAATCTCTACCCTTCATTTAGACTCTGATGGTTATACTTACCTAATGGACATCGTTAAATAGAAAGGCGGTATTAGATTATTTTAGTTTTTGCATTGCTCTGTTTTGTTTGAGAAGATGGTACTGCAGCAAATGTCTTGTCCATTAGCATCATTGTTTAACTGGACATTAGGCTGAGTCATTGAAATGATCACATATTGCCCTCCGGAGAAGTCAGTATTCAAGTTTTATGTATTTTTTTTATATAATTTCTTTTTGCTTTTGGTCACACTTTGCTGTGCTGTGTTTGGGGGCTGCCCCCAACTGATTGCTTGGGGGTGACTCCCAGCAGTGCACTGGGCACCATGTGGTACCAGGTATCAAACTTTGGGTCTTTGCTCAAGCCCTTTGATGTCTCCCTGGTCCAAGTTTTTATGTTATTAACTAATAATATATTCTAGTGTGTGGTGATAACAAAAATACAATGAAATATAGGTTTAACTTGTATTTATTTTTTTTGTTATGGAAAAATTTAATTATACTTTCTGCTTAGTTTCTTAGTTTGGGCCAGAGAGATAGTAGAGAGGGTAAGATACTTGCTTCACATGTGGCTGACCCAGATAGTATCCCCTGCACTGAAGAAGGTTCCCTGAGTACCACAGGAGTAAGTCTTGAGCATAACCAGGTGTGGCAACCAAATCAAACCAAAAAAAAAAACCCAATAATTTATAAGTTATTGAAGTTGCAGCGGGTAGGGCGTTTGCCTTGCACGCGGCTGACCCAGCTGACCCGGGTTCGATTCCTCCGCTCCTATAGGAGAGCCTGGCTAGCTACTGCGAGTATCTCAAACACACGTCAAAGCCTGGCAAGCTCCCCGTGACATATTTGATTTACCAAACACAGGAACAACAAGTCTCACAATGGAGACGTTACTGGGCCCACTCAAGCAAATTGATGAACAACAAGAGGACAGTGCAGTACAGTGCAGTGTAGTGCAAATTTATGAAATTCAGTTGTTTTCTCCAAGTGTATTTCTTTTCTTTTTCTTTTTTCTTTTTTTCTTGTGGGACACCTGGCGATACTCAGGGCTTACTCCTTTCTTGAACTCAGGAATTACACCTGGCTGTGCTTGGGAAACCATCTGGGATACCGGGGAGATCAAACGTGGACTTATGTTTGCAAGGCAAGCACTGTCCACTGTTCTATTGTTCCGGCCCTTTTATTCTTTTATTTATTTATTTTACTTGTGTCTGGTATTGAACCTAGGGCCACATGAATGCAAGTCCTTACCATTGAGCCACATTCTTATCCCTTCAGGTGAAATTTTTGGAAATAATAAACTAGTAATCATTTCATTAAAATGGTGTTTGTATGTGTCTCCTCTAGTTTGTGATGTTGGTTTTATAGTCATTAAATAGTTAAAAGCTTATTTTAATGCTTTGTGTGTAGGAATATAAAGCATAAAATACTTATTTCTCAACGGCGCCTCGGAAATTGGATGTAGGACAGTGATTATTGAATATAGGAGGCAGGCAGAAGTCAAATATTTTTAGGTGACCCAAAGATATTTTACAAATTTCACATAGCTGTTTATATCTTGAAAATAAGTTGAAATTTTTCTGTTTCTATTTTTTATTTCTATTCCATAATTAGGATTTTTCTAATTGTCACAATTTAAGTGAAAATTAGCAGATTCTTAGAAAACATGCATATGTCAAATATTTATTACAGTTCTTATATGACTATCTTGATGAGTTACAAAATGTAACTGTTCAGATATCATTTATTACCTGTTTCCTTTTATTTTTTTATGGATGTACTTAACGTTTTTCTTTCAGTTTAACTGTAGAAGTGTTAAGGACAAAAGGGCCCTGTGTTGTTGAAGAAAATGACCCCATATTTGAGCGTGGCTCTACAACTACGTATTCCAGCTTTAGGAAAAACTATTATTCCAAACCGTGGTCAAATAAAGGTAACAGATTTTTATTTTAAATTCTGTAGGTTATTTGAAGTGAAGTATTTTTAATCTACCTTGAATTACATTAATTCTCTTAAGTAAAATGCAAACTTGAATATTGTTTTGTCTCTAATTTTGCGGGCATGTATGTCCATTTTGCCTCTGACCACGTAATTATCTAATTTTGGTTTAGAAATCTTAGGGGTGAACATTCTGGGCATTTTGTTGGTTTGATTGGGCTGCTCCTGTAAGTAGTGGGGAGACCATGTTGATTGGGAATCAATCCTCTGTCTTCCACTTACAAAATGTGGTCCCCTGGTCCTTTGAGCTGCCTACTGCCCTCATTCTCATCATTTTGATTACAGTTTTCTTCTTTATTAATTCTTGTATAGTAAATTCCATTTTCATGAAAAAGTAGTATTTCTGTTGCTCATAATAATGTTCTAATTTTGGGACTGGGGAGATAGTTCAGTGGGTAGGGTGCTTGCCTTGCAAGTGGCCAACCCAGGTTCAATCCCAGCTTTCTATATGATTCTCTCTGAGTGAAGAGCCAGGAATAAAACCCCTGATCGTCACCAGAAATGACCCCAAAACAAAACAAAAAAAATGGTTGTACATTAGAATTATATAGCAATATTTCTGTAGATAAAACTATACTGTTATATAATACATGTATAGTACTTACAAACACAGTGTTGCTTATTACTTTTTTTTCCCTGAACCTTCCTGGTGATACTCTACTTGGCACTTGGGGCTTGAAGATCCAGTTAATTGACCCATTAATGTTCTACTCTAGCCTGGAGGTGGACATGGGCCACCCCTATGATGCCCAGGGACCATTGGGTGCCAGGGATTGAACTCAGGTCTTCAGTATGCAATGCCTGTGTTCTAGTCCTTTGAGTCATCCTTAATACTTTTTAATTTTAGAAATGATAAAGTGTGGAGTTGGAGAGATAGTACACTTGTCTTTGCACGTGGGTTACCCAGGCTTGATTCCTTGCACTCCATATGGTTTGCTGAGCCTGCTAAGAATAATTCCTGAGTACAGAGCCAGGAGTAAGCCCTGAGCATTGCCAGGTGTGGCCCCAAAACAAAACAAACAAAAATAGATAAAGTTTTTGGTCTGGGAGATATGTCAGAGAGTTGGTATAAATGCTGTGTATGCAGGACCCCTGGGTTTAATCACTGGTACCACATAGTTTCCTGAGCCACCTGAGTACTGATCTGGGAGTAGTCCTCAAGCAATGGTGGTGAGCCCACCCCCACCGCCCTATATCCCCCCCCAGAAACAAACTTGAATGGTGTTCATAGATCCTTGAGATTCTTGTTCGATGCATAGAAATATAACTATGTACCACTTGGTCAGCCTTGCTCTTCAAGCCTGTGTTCTCCCTGGAACATGTATCTTGCTTGTCTTGATACTTCTTTTATGACCTATTTCTACTCTGGAGAATCCTGGGTTCCCTCTCAAACATGGACTTCCACCTCTCTCCCCTCACATCTTTCTAAATAAGTTTCAGTAAAATCCATCTTGCTTCACTAAAAATACAACACACACACATATATTTGTGCATGATACAGATATTAACAGATATTTATAAGATCTATAAAAGATATTCTATGATTAAGGATTTATTGGCCTTAAATAAAAATGTGTGTTAAGTACTATCTTTTGTTTTTAACTCAACATATACTTTAATTGATTAAACGTTTTTCTTTCGAAATACTGAATTTTTTACTTATACTAATTCTCTTATTTTCACAGAAACCGACATGTTCTTTTTAGCCATCAGCATGGTAGGAACTGACTTTTCTATGATCGGACAGCTTTTTCCTCACAGAGCAAGAATAGAAATTAAGGTAAACTAAACCTATTTTTTTTTCTCATACTAAGTTCATTTTCACTTAAGTTCATGGAGGGGCTGAAGAGGTGGTATAGGAAGTGAAGCTCTTGCTTTATATGTGGCTGCAGCAGCTGTGACCCTCGTTAAAATTCTCACCTCCACATTTGGTCCCTTGAGGTCCACCAGGGACTATTCCTCGGCACAGAGCCAGGAACTACTACCCCTGAGCATCACTGAGTATGGCCTAGCACCTTCCCTCCAAAAATCACCAAACTTTTTGTTTTGTTTCAAATTTTGTCAGTAAGGGGCTAGAGCTATAGTACAATGGATAGGGTGTTTACCTTGCACGTGGCCGATCCAGGTTCGATTCCCAGCATCCCATATGGTCCCCCAGCACCGCCAGGAGTGATTCCTGAGTGCAGAGCCAGGAGTAACCCCTGTGCATCGCCAGGTGTGACCCAAAAAGAAAATAAAAATCCAAAAATATTAAATTTTGTCATTTGAGCCACATTTGATGCTCAGGGGTTACTCCCTGAAAATTTTGGCCCTGCAGGCCATGCCGGGCAGGCATTTGAACCTCTGTGCGAGGCCCTTGTAGTTTAGGGCTTCTGCAGCATGGCTCAGGACTCCTGAGGGCCCCTCCTGTTTGTTCTTGGCCAACTATGCAGGCAGTGATATGTGAGGGCCTGAGGACGTGCCGGGGGTTAGCTGGCCACCCTTGCAGTGCTTGGGGGCCTCAGCAGTGCTGAGCTACCCTGTGGTGCCTGGGATTTGATTTGCTGTCAGCCACATGCAAAGCGTGAGCCTCTGTACTGCCTCTGTAACCCTGACCACCTATTTTTATTTGGGGAAAAAATTTTTTTTTAATTATAGTTTAGGTACCATAGTTACACCTGTGTTAGAATTTATGGTATTGATGGTGCAGAGTTACCGCACTTAACCTGGGCCCCTGTTTTTCAGCTTTTAATTTCTTTTCTATCTTCACTTTTCCCCATTGTCGCTGCTGGAGTTGGGCCCACGAAGGTGCTCACCCAAAGCAGCGTAGGACCTGGGCAGCAGCTCATGTCATAGCTGCCCGCCTGCCTGTGCTTGGCACACTGGGAAAGTGTAGGGATGAGGCACTCGTGCCCCCGAGCCATTGCCAGCCCCCTTCATGCTCTTAAGAAGTGTAATCTTGGTTTGGGTGTGAAAATTACAACAGTTTTGTTTTGTTTTATTGATAGAATAAATTTAAGCGTGAAGAGAAAACCAACGGATGGAGGATTGACAAAGCATTTCGTGAGTATTCAGATCTCTTTCATGATACAGTGTTTTGGCAATCCAAAACAACGGCCAGTCTTTTGTCTTCGATCCTGTTGTGTTTGCTGTTTGTATTGTCCCTCTGTTGTCAAAGGAAGGGAAAAAGTAGAAATTTTTTTCTCACAGTTCAGGGCTGGTAATTGATCACAGATAGATAAATAAGAGGCTACAGAGGAACTAATGGTGCCTTTTCTAGGTGTTCTTTATTCTGAGGGAACTAATTAAGGTGTTGTTTCTGAAAGATAGAATACATGCAGATAATGCCTTTCAGGGTGAGGTAGTTCAGTGAACAGTGCTGACCACTTGCTGCATATGGTTGTTGTTCTACCATTGGGCATTAAGGGTATAGCTATGCAATGCTCAGGACAAGTGGGAATCCTCCTTTTATAGCATGCTAATTTCAGGTAATTTTCCTGAAAAGTGAGTGAGTAGATGTTTTTTTTAAAAAATTTATAGTCGGGAAAATTCTTTGTGAGAAGGTGACATTTGCATTTGTATCTTTTTTTTGTTTGTTTTTTGTTTTTGGGCCACACCCAGCAATGCTCAGGGATTACTCCTGACTCTGCACTCCAGAATTACTCCTGGTAGTGCTCAGGAGACCATATGGGGTGCTGGGGATTGAACTCTTGTTGGCCACATGCGAGGCCACATGCCTTACCCACTGAACTATCTCTCCGCCCCCAGTGTCCATTATATTTTAAACAATATTTTTCCCCAGGGCTGGCGCAATAGCACAGCAGGTAGGGCGTTTGCCTTGCACGGGGCCGACCCAGTCGGCACAGGTTAGATTCCTCCGCCCCTCTCCGAAAGCCTGGCAAGCTACCTGTGACGTATTCAATATGCCAAACACAGTAACAACAAGTCTCACAATGGAGATGTTACTGGGCTCGCTCAAGCAGATCGATAAACAACGGGAGGACAGTGACAGTGATTTTTCCCCACTGTGTTTTTAGCTATAGAGCTTGAGCAAGGATTTGACTTCTGTAGTGGATCATTCTTGTTTGTTCGTGGATTGCTCTGTGTGATACAACGCTGTGGGTGGGTTTTTAGTGGCCCGTACCAGAATTCATTTACTTTTCTCTTGGCTGTTAACATTGAAGAGTATATAGTTGATAGTGAAAGTGTTTTGATAAAGGCTTCTGGTGCTAGATAGGCTTTTAAGGACTTGTTTATCATTCTGGTCCACCCTTCTCCAACTCCTTCTTTTTCTCCCCCTCCCCCTTCCCTTTCACTTATCTTTCCCTTCCCTTCCTTCCTGCCTCCTTTCCTTTCTTCCCTCTCTTTCCACCCTTTCTCCTCTTTTTTGTTGCTCCCTAACAGTCTGGGGAGTGGCTGTATTAGTGTAAATAGGGTTGTCCATTTTCCTGCTGATAAACAGCCCATTTGCCTTGATAGTTACAAAACAACTTGAGTTTCCCTCGGTTTTGAAAGAGTGAAAATTTGAAGTTTCTTTTTCTTTTTCTTTAAACAGAGGAAAAGCGTCCTTTTGACTTCGATTTTTTTGCTCATTTGCTTCAGAAAGTTCTTGCTGAAGAAGAGAAAAGAAAACAAAAGTCTGTAAAAAGTCAGCCTTTAAAGGAGAAGAAATCTTCTAAACCACAGAAAAATGTCAAAGGTACCAATTTCAAAAGAAAGGGTATTCTTTTGCTTAATAGTATCTTTAATTGTGTCCCTCAAGTCTCTGAGCATTCTTCTGTAATTCAGGAAATTGAGAACCTTGGGGCATGCAGCTAAAGGGACTTGGTCTCTTTTTTATTTTTATATTTTTTGGCTACTTTTTTTCCTATTAAAATACATTTGGTGTAACATTGTAGAAATTTATAGTGTTCAGCTTATTAATTAGATACATTTTATAACATTATTATCATTGTTTTACATTTCTTTGGTTGTTTGATTGTGAGGGCCACACTGGTGATGCTCAGGGCCTCAAGGGGCAGTGCTTGGGGACAGGTGGACCTACAGTGTCGGTGCCAGGCAGGTCCCTTACCACCTGAGCCACATTTCTACAAGGATTGCCATTGTAGGAGTCATTAGCTTCTGGTCATGCTGTATAATCCTCCTATGGTATTAGTGGTTGGAATCATTAAGTTCTCTCTAGTCTCTTAACAGATTAATACTGCATTAACTTTATTCACTATATTGTACATTGAGTCTTGCAGCTATTCATTGCAATTTACTTTTTTGGCGTTTTTTTCATTGGGGGTAGGTAGGTGTTTGTTCTTGGGCCATGTCTAGTGGTGCTCAGGAGTTATCCCTGAGCACAGCTGGGTGTGGTTGAAAGGGAAAAAAAAGAACCCGGAAACTATGATAACAAGGGTATTTCAATGGGCTAGAGCACATGCTTTGCATGCAGACAGCCTATATTAATTTCCCAGCACCACATCTGGTCCTCGGAGTACTGCCATAGGCCAGGGCTAGCCTCTCTACATCGTTGGCTGCTGTTGCCTGCAAGCTACAACAAATCCAGCCAAACCAAATTCAACCAAAAAAGCAAATGGAGTACATTAAAATAAGAAACATTTTTTACTGCAAAAGAAATGACAACTAGAATAAAAAGACACCCCACTAAGTGGTATAAAACAGTTTGATTACTACACATTTGATAGAGGGTTGATGTACATATGTTTATAAAGCATTTACAAAACTTTACATCGACAAAAAAACTCTTGTGAAAAAATGGAAAGGGTGCTGGTGCTTGTGGTCCCCCAGGTTCAGCCAGGAGTGAATTCGAGCATAGCTAGGATTAAGTCCTGAGGCCCCAGACTAAACAAAGGGTAGGGTGGTAGTTTTGGCTCTTCTACCCCCCCCCCCCCCCCCCCCATATATTTGTGTGTGTGTTTTTGTGCCACACCCAGTAGTGCTTGGGCCTTACTCCTGCACCTTTGCTTAGGGATCACTCCTGGTGATGCTCGGAATACTATATGTAGTGCTGGGGATAGAATTTGGGTGAGCCACCTGTAAAGCAAGCACCTTATTCCCTGTACTATCTCTCTGGTCTGTATAATTTATTTCATCGTTCTCTGTTGGTCACTTTGGGTTGTCATTTTTTTTTTTTTGAGTCACACCCAGCGATGCACAGGGGTTACTCCTGGCTCTGCGCTCAGGAATTACCCCTGGCGGTGCTTAGGGGACCATATGGGATGCTGGGAATTGAACCTGGGTCGGCCGCGTGTAAGGCAAACGCCCTACCCACTGTGCTATTGCTCCAGCCCCTGTCAGGTTTTTTTGTTGTTGTTCTTGTTGTTTTTTTTGGACCATACCCAGTGATGCTCAGGGGTTACTCCTGACTCTTGACAGTACTTGAGGAAAAATATAGGATGCGAGGCATTGAACCTGAGTTGGTCATGTGCAAGGCAAACACCCTGCCCTGCTTTACTATTGCTCTGGCCCCTGTTTGTCATTTTTTGCACAGATTTCTTAGAATATTTATCGTCCCAACTTTTTAGGATTTTTTCTGTCGGTCATTATCCATATTTATAACCAGTTCTTGTATTTTTAGTGAAGAAAGTTACCAGTGAAGGAGTCAGTGATGATCTTGATGAGTCTGTGGGCAATAAAGTTTCAGACACAGAAGGACTTCAGAAAGATGCTCAGACAATTGAAGAACAGTCTTCAGCTTCATCGGAGCAGGATTTGGAACAGGGTGCACCAGAGGCAGACCTAAATCAAAACAAAAGGAGAAAGAAGAATCAGGAGGAAAGTGGCAAACAGGCAGTCAAAAATCATTCAGAAAATACCACTGCTCAGCCAGCGCCATCTGAAGAAGAGAAACAGAATGGTAAGTTTCTTCCATGTTGTGTTTTTTTTTTTTTGCTTTCTGGATCACACCCAGGATTGCTTGGGCGACCATATGGGATGCTGGGGATTGAACCTGGGTCAGCCACATGCAAGGCAAATGCCTTACCCATTGTACTATCATTCCGGCCCCAGTTTCTTCCACTTTTTAGGATGGCATGGTTGCTCGACAAGACGTGCTATAAGTAAAATGGAGAGTGACCCAAAGGCTTGCCTTCTGAAAGTAGCCCTGAGTGACATTTATTAGTTGGCCTTATGTTCATGGTATTGAATGAAATCATATATATTAAATTGATCGTAAATTGATTGTTATTATTATGTTTGATCTTGAGGCTACACCTGGTGGTGCTGGGGACTACTGTCTCTGTACTTGAGGGAACATGCAGTGCTGGCCATTCAGTCTGAGGACCCCATAGGAAAAACATGTTCTGTCTTCCAACGTGTTGAGCCATCTTCCTAACCCCTTTCATTTTAATATGAAGAGCAGAAGGTTTATTGTTGGGGGAAAAATACCTCCAGAGTTAAATGATAAGACTTTTCTCTCTGGAGTTTGACTCTAGACTTTAATACAGTCTCTGTATTTTCGTTAGCAATGATTAGAAGTTACATGCTTATAATTAAGTGTATATTCTTGTATCTGTATGAAATCACAGACTTTCATTGTATTTCTCTAAACCATTGTGTACCTGTTATAAGTTCGTTTGTGTTTGGTTTTGGGGTTACACTCGGCAGTGCTCAGGGCTTATTCCTGGCTCTGCACCCGGGCGAACCTTATAGAGTGCTAGAGACCGAACCCTGGTTGGCTGCATGTAAGGCAAGTGTCCCACCTGCTGTATTATCTCTCTGGCCCTGTAATCTCTTTAATGTCTGTAGAAGTCATTGGAATAAATTGAAAAAAAAAAAAAGCAACTACTTTAGAATGTAGACATAGTAATACTTAAGAGTTGCTAGGGAGGGGCTGGAGCGATAGCACAGGTGTAGGGCGTTTGCCTTGCACACGGTGAACCAAGTTCGATTCCCAGCATCCCATATGGTCCCCTGAGCACTGAGCACCGCCAGGAGTAATTCCTGTGCATTGCCAGGTGTGACCAAAAAAACAAAAACAAACAAACAAAAGAGTTGCTAGGGAATGAGGATTAAGAATTTGGACAAGTCTTTTTGTTTTGTTTTGTTTTCGGGCAATGCACAGGGTTTACTCCTGGCTCTGCACTCACGAATCACTCCTGGCACTGTTCAGTGAACAGTGAGCAGTTTTGTGTTAAAGATTTGGACTGTTGAGCTTGGGGATATAGTTGGCAGTGTAGAGGAACTGCTCCGCAAGCATGAGCCGGATTGTGATTCCTAGCACCACCCTACATTGCCTGTAGTCCCAGTGAGACTGAGGTGGGTCATCCCCGGTGCCCTAGTGAAAAGTGTGCCATGTCTGGTGCAGCATAATCAAGTGTGTTTGCGCTAAGGCATGTGGTCCCCAGTGAGCACAGCAGCTGGCTCTGTGACCTCTGGTCATCATAGCAAAAGCAGCAAGTCATCAAGGGAGGGGCAAAAGCTAAACGATTAAACTTAAAAGCATGTTTAAAAGATAAAATGGAACCTTTGAGGTCAAGTGAAGCTTGGCAAAGATTTCAGCCCTTGTATTTACCAAAGCATATCCTTGAGCATGTCACGTAAGATTTTTGAGGACCTTTTGCGGACCATTTTGAATATTACATGCGGAAATGTAGCTGATGGAAGTAGCTTCTTTTTGCTGTGAATCAGTACATAATAGCTGCTCCCATGTAATTAATTATGACACAGAAGAGATTTGAGCAATATTGCCAAGTCCACTTTTAGTTGTCTAAGCAAGCCTAAATAACAAGTCAGTTTAAACGCTTAAAATTTAAGGAAGATTAAGATAGTTTAGACTTTAATTAAATCTGATCTGATCCTCAAAACACAAATAATTTGTAAGCTGATTAAAGTTTCTTTCAGAGGCCAGAGAGATAATCGTGGGTAAGGTGATTGCCTTGCACCCAGCTGATCTGGGTTTGTTCCTCAGCATCCTATATAAGTACCACCAGGAGTGATTCCTGGTGTAGAGCCAGTAGTAACCCCTGAGCATTGCTGGGTGTGACCCAAAACCAAAACAAACATACAAAAAATTTCTGTGCCTTGCATATAGTAACTGAAATATGTTAAATAGATTACAATTTGTGGGAAGAACCACTGTTATGTAAAATCTTTCATTTTTGGGGGGGGGGGGGGGATGGTCACACCCAGCGATGCACCAGGGTTACTCCTGCTCTGCACTCAGGAATTACTCCTGGCGGTGCTGGGGGACCATATGGGATGCTGGGAATCGAACCTGGGTCGGCCGTGTGCAAGGCAAATGCACCACCCGCTGTGCTATCGCTCCAGCCCCAAAATCTTTCATGTTTTAAGAAAGGTTTTCTGGGGCTGGAGTGATAGTACACACAATGGGTAGGGCGTTTACCCTGTATGCAGCCAACCCAGGTTTGATCCCTAGCATCCCATATGATCCCCCTCGCACAGCAAAGAGTGATTCTTGAGTGCAAAGCCAGGAGCAACCCCTGAGCATCACTGGGTGTGACCCCGAAAGCCAAAAAACAAACAAAAAAAGGGTTTCTGTTGTCAGTGTTTAGAATAATTACGTTTTTTGTTCATAGATAAATGTCAGCCTTTAAGGCCTGAGATAAATGAAGATGATGGCAATAAGGAACAGGTGCTTTTCTGCATTCAGAACTCAGAAGACATCAGTTTCTCCTCTGAAAAAGTGGAGAAAAGAACTGATCCTATTCTGTCTTTAAGGTATTTATTTTATCTTCATAAGCCTTGTTTATATCTTTATCAATTTCTAAGAAGAGAGGTTGAAATCTCCAACTATGTGAATTTGTCTGTTTCTCTTTCCAGTTTTGTTTGTATTTGCTGGGTTCTCTCTGTGTATAGTACTGTGTTCTGTAGTCCTGTGTTTACTAGAACATACTTGTTGAAACATGCCTCCCTGCTTTATGTAAATGTTGATTAACATAGTAGCATGTCTCCAGAAATGTACAAATCAAATGTGGGTATAAAAATCAAAGAAAGCCCTGTTCATTTTTTGACTTTTTGGGCATTTTCCCAAACCTGTTTATTTGTGATTGCTGATTTCTCTGAAGGTTTAATTTTTCTGTAATGTGGAAGAAAAGTCCAGAAAGATAGAAAAATCCAGAATAGGGCTGGGGAGATTGCTCAACTGGTAACAGCACACGTGCATGGCCCTGTGTTTGGTACCTGACACTTTGTGCCCTCCAGAATTACCAGGTAGCTCCCCAGAATCGCAAAGCGCTACTGGAGATGACCCTTAGTTTTTAAAAAATAGGCCAAAATGCTCATTTTGATTCTTCATAATAAGAGGGATTTTCTTCTAAAATGTTGGTTTTTGTGTATTTGCCTTTACCATCTTGATTCAGGGGTGGGGTTGGGAGGAGTCTATGAGGGCCTTCCTGCAACGGGGTGTGGCCATACAGACCGGGAGTCTTTGAAGGCTATACTACGAGTGGCCCTAGAAGGCTACTCAGTGCCAAGGTCAGACCCAGCGCTGCCACTCAGCCCCACCCCTGGCCACAGTTCTGTCATTTTAAAAATTGTTTAAATAGTGTAGAGGTAAGCATCACTGAGAATCCTTTCCCTCTGATGTGTCTTTTTCCTCAATAGTCAGCAGGATGCTATGTCAGTCAGAGGCGAGACCTTGGAATCACATGCTGCAAATTCCCCTCCATCAGATGTCAATGTGGAAGACTTGTGTGAGCTCAATGTTGCTGAGGGTAGTTCTACAGAAGAAAGAACTGTGGTCGTGGAAAGTAAAACACTGTAAGTATTCTACATGGTAGTTTGAGAAATGATGGTAGCACTGCTTTGAGGCACGTCAACAGCATTATAATGTAAATTCCTTACATTATTAATCAGAAATGTGATATCAAGTTTTTTCGGATTTTTTTTTTTGTTTGTTTGTTTTGGTACACTCCCAGCGTGCAAGACAAGCGCCCTACCTGCTATGCTATTGCTCCAGCCCCAAGGTTTTTTTTTTTTAAATATAGGAGTACTGCTATTTATTGAGCCATTGATTAAGCTGATTGAGTTGGGCATGAACTCCACATTACTTTAAAAATAATTTTTTTTAGTTGGATAGCGGGCAGGGCGTTCGCCTTACAAGTGGCCAACATGGCCAACCCGAGTTCGATTCCTCCGCCCCTCTCGGAGAGCCCGGCAAGCTACTGAGAGTATTCGATATGCCAGACACAGTAACACCAAAGTCTCCAATGGAGACGTTACTGGGCCTGCTCGAGCAAATCCGTGAGATAGACCATTACAAAGCAGTTCATAATTGGGTTTCAGTCAACAATGATCCAGCACCCATCCTTCCACCAGTGTACATTTCCCACCACTAGTGTTCCCCATTTCCCCACCACCACCCCCCAGCCCCTCATCTCCCACCCCGAGCCTCCCTCTGTGGGAGGCACTTTCCTTATTGCTCTCTCTTTCCTTTTCCTTTTGTGCATTATGGTTTGTAGTACAGGTGCTAAGAGATGATGGTGTTTGTTCGGGGCATTGGGTATTTTTATTGGGACATTAAGGCTGGAGTAGCTTTTCAATTGGGTGGCAACTTTGGGATGTGGATGTGACTGCCAAATCTTCTGGAAGTATAGGGAGGTGGGGAGAGGTAGCCCATCCCGACCCCGATAAGGCCTGAAGATTTTAGTCACAAAACCCGCATAACAGAATTTTCAGCAGATTATATCTTGCTGAGCTCTGTCCTGAGATGGTGGAGTCAGGCTGGGAGTATGGTGGCGATTTTGGATCGTGGATGCAAGCAGCTGCTGGGGGCTCTGCTTGGATGGGCACAGGCCAACTTACACCTCAGTCTGTTTAGCCATGCATGGGTATGAGATTAACTGTGGCTTTTGATCTCTTTCGAGATTTATTTATGAGTCTCTGAAGCGAAGGTCAGTTGTAGAGATTACAGGGTAGCAATGGAGCTGGTTTCTGCTGCCAATGCTTCCATGACTATTGGGAAGTAGGGGGAGGTAGCCCATCCCGACTCTGAGAAAGTCTGAAGATTTCAGTCACAAAACCCGCATACCAGAATTTTCAGCAGATTATATCTTGGTGAGGTCCATACTGTGAGATAGTGGAGTCAGGCCAGGGATATGGCAGTGTTTTGGATTGTGGAAACAAGTGGTTGCCAGGGACTCTCTGGGTGGGCCACAAGGCCAACCTGCGCCCCCTCCCCCCACGTCCAATATATCCCAGTCTGTTCAGCCATGTGTGGGTTCGCAATTAACTGTGGCTTTTGATCTCTTTTGAGATTTATCTATGGGCCTCTGAAATAAGACCAATAAGTGAGCTTCTATAGCTGAGCCAGAGGTGGTTTGTGGACATGGCTCCCCCATACCTAACTTTTGGCCACTTAATTTCTTGGTAAACTTGGTGCCAGGTTGTTGGGGTCTAGCCAAAGGCACAGTGGCAATTTTGGGGTATCAGGAAGCCTGAAGGCACCATCAGGCTGCTGAAGCGTTTTTATTTTATTTATTTATTTTTTTACTTCAGATTTCATTATAGAAAGATTCTCTTTTGTATCTGATGTGTAATAATTATGTTTTGAGACCAGAATGATAGTACAGTAGATAGGGCATCTCGTTCGATTCCCGGCACCCTGCATGGTCCCCTGAGCCTACCAGGAGTTATCCCTGAATGTAGAGTCAGGAGGAATCCCTGAGCACTGCCAGGCATGTCCCAAAAACCAAATAAAAATACTGACATTTTAGCAAGGGAGAGTTAGTAACTTAAGATGAATTTCTTTCTTTCTTTCTTTCTTTCTTTCTTTCTTTCTTTCTTTCTTTCTTTCTTTTGCCACATTTGCCATGATACCATAGTGTCATAGTACTGCTGGGGAGATTGAACCCCAGGGCTTTCATGCAGGATGTTTGTTCAGCCCTCTGAACTATCCATTTATCCTTGTAAAATGATTTGAAGCCTAAATATTTGATATGAGATAGATTGTACTTTAACTTAGTTTGAGTTCTTTTAGGCTCTTATTTTTACAGTAGTAAATTCGATATTTGTGACTTTATTTTTATTTTTTTAATTTTTTGGCGTCACACCCGGCAATGCACAGGGGTTACTCCTAACTCTGCACTCAGGAGTTACTCCTGGCGATGCTCAGGGGACCATATGGGATGCTGGGAATAGAACCTGGGTCAGCTGCGTGCAAGGCAAACGCCCTACCTGCTGTGCTATCTCTCCAGCCCCCGATATTTGTGACTTTAAAGGGATGATTATTTTTTCTAGTATGTTGACAGTTATTAATATTTTTAGACAAACAGAATAAAAGCAGTACAAGAATGTCCTCAAGAAATATCTCAAAATATAGCACAGCGGCAGGGCGTTCGCCTTACAAGCGGCCAACATGGCCGACCCGAGTTCGATTCCTCCGCCCGTCTCGGAGAGCCCGGCAAGCTACCGAGAGTATTCGATATGCCAGACACAGTAACAACAAAGTCTCCAATGGAGACGTTACTGGGCCCGCTCGAGCAAATCGACGATCAACGGGAGGGCCTTTACCTTTACCTTTACCTTATTCCCCTCATATGGGCTTAAAAGGTAATGATTTTATGAATTCTTAATTGTTATTTACTTTGAACAAAGCATGTTTATATAGAAAATTATATATTATATTTTTTAGAGCAATAATACAGCAGATAGGGCACTTGCCTTGCATGTGACTGACCCACGTTCGATCTCTAAGCACCACAAGGAGTGCTGTCAGGGGTCAAACCAAGGGCCTCACACATAGAGAACATGTATTCTGTCATTGAGCTATATCCTTGTTTATTGTATAATATATCATGGGTATTTTGTACAAGTCTTCTTCTTTTTCTCTTGTGCTATATTTGCCCATATTGCAGAATAACTCTTGATGTTTAAGATTGGGCCTACTTCTGGCCTTGCGCTCAGAGATCACTCCTAATGGGTTCTGGGAACCTTATCAAGTGCTGAGGATCAAACTCTGGTCAACCATGTGCAAGGCAAGTGCCCTATCTGCTGTCAGGTGCTCTAGCTCCAACTTAAACTTGACATTTTAGCAAAGGGGAGTTAGTAACTTAAGATGAATTTCTTTCTTTCTTCTGATTGAACAAGGTTGTTATCTCCTCACTAGTCACTCTTTTTCAATTTTCTTTTTTACTGTAAGTTTAAAGGTGTTCTTAAATGTCTCTAAATGTTTATATATATTATATTGTAGTGCCAGGAATTGGGCTGGAGCGATAGCACAGCAGGTAGGGCGTTTGCCTTACGCGCAACCGACCTGGCCGACCCAGGTTTGATTCCTCTGCCCCTCTCAGAGAGCCCAGCAAGCTACCAAGAGTATCTCACCCGCACGGCAAAAACCTGGCAAGCTACCCATGATGCTTTCGATACGCCAAACACAGTAACAATAAGTCTCACAATGTTACTGGGCCCGGTCAAGCAAATCGATGAACAATGGGAGGACAGTGCTACAGTGCCAGGAATTGAATTCATGAGTAGGTTTTAAAAACTTTTCGTATGAAAATATCTGTATTTTGAAATAATGTTAAATTTTTTAGGGAAGCTGATCAAGAGGAAAATCTTAAACCCAAGGTGAGAGGACGACTCCAGAGACCTAAACCCAATTTATCAAGGGCAGTTGGGAAGAAACCAGTTCTTACACAAAGCAAAACACTTGAAGAGAGCAAGAGTTTACATCCAGAAACTTCCGTTGAAAAGGTATACAATAAGAGGCTTTATGGAAATTTATATTACTTTATCCCTGAGTAATTTGGAATTAGAATGTCTTAAGTTGTATTTAGGCAAACATTTTTGTAGTTTTTTTTTTTTTGGTCATTAAAATTACTTTTAGACTTCCCATGGGGTCCTGAGCCTTGCCATTAATGGATGAGCCAGGCTCATTAACTGGATGAGCCAGGCCAGGCGGTTCGGTACTCAGTGACACAGTGTGATCGGTGCCTGGCAGTGTTTCAGGATTAAATGGTGCAGGGATGGAACTTCGGCTTCCGGAACGCAAGCCACGTGCTCCTCTGGGCTTCGGGAATGCAAGCAACTGCTTCTTCATTTCCTATACTTTTAGCCTAAATTTATTGTTTCTTATTTAGGCTTTCTTGGTGTTAGTTGATCTTTTCTTATCCGAGGTTGATAATAGCATCAACTTACCTACTAATAACTTCTCTTATTGTGTATATTTGGATTTTCTATTTAAAACATTTTTGTAAATAGGACTTTGTTAGGAAAACAGGTAGTGAGTAAAATTTTGGAGGTGATGGAATTAATGGAGCAAAGACTTTTGAATACTTTTCTGGCTCCAGTTATGCATGGTTGAACTGACATTCAAAAAGGTAACCATTTACTTATTGTTGTGGAGGCCCACCTGACAACATACTTTACTGTTTGAGCCATATCACAGGCTCGAAGTGAATCTATTGCTCAGAGCCAGAAAGAAAGCTTTCAGTTTCCTTATATCTCTGGTAACTTTGTTATTATCATTTTGTTTTTGATAATGTACTTTTCATTTAATTGTAGTTATGTTATTATTATTGGTTTTGGGGCCACACCCAGCAGTATTCTGGGTTTACTTCTGACTCTGCACTCCGGGATCACTGCTGGCGGTGCTTAGGGTACCATATTAGGGTGCTGGCTATGTAAGGCAAATGCCCTCCTCACTGTACTGTTGCTCTGGCCCTGATAAAGAACTTTTTAAAAGCGCCTGTTTATTTTTTCCTACTTAAGTGAGGAAAAAATCATTCTTTATTATCATTCTTTCTATGTGATAGTTATAATCTTAAATAATAATCTTATAAGTATAGTTTAATCATAAATTTTTATATTATTTAAATTTTAAAAAAATGGTGGGGCCAGAAATAGTACAGGAGGGAGGTAAGACACTTGCTTTGCATGTGGCATTTCACTGCCATGACTATTGTCCAAATCCCTGGCATATTTTTTGGAGGTGATTGTCGGGACAGGGGCACATCTTGTGCTCATAGCTTACAAGGATCACTCCTGGCACTGCTCAAAGGACTATATTCAGTGCTGAGTATCAAACTGGGGTCAAGCAAGTACCTTAAACCCTGTATTATCTCTCCAGTCTCCATGAAAATGCACAGTTTTAAGACTCTTAATTTATATTGGCAAAAGGATTTCTAGAAAAGCTATACCAATTAAAAATAATTTTTATTGGTTGCGGTTTTGTGATTTACAATATTGTTAGTGACGGCGTCCTTTGTACATAATTCCAACATCACACCCCTCGCCAGCATACCCAAGGCTAATACCAATTTGTACTTCTGTCAGTAATGTATGAGATGTTTTATAATATTTTTATCTGCATTTAGAATTAAAAGACTCTTCTAAGTAAGAAATACAGAAAAATTTTACTGCTTTAATATCCATTTTACTATAAAGTTTGAACTTTTTCATATTAAATGGATTAAATGTAAAAATTGAATTTATAGAGTAACATGGAAAAGGATGAAGTGAATACAGTTGACATTTCTGGAATGGAGAATACAGAGGTAAAGAATGCAGATGTTGAGACTGTACTGAAGTAAGTATTTAGAAAGTAATAAAAATAGTAACTCTTTGGGATAACTAATTTGTTTCCATTTCATAGTGTTTCAATTTTATTTTCAGCTAATGTACATACATAGTTCTTTTGTGTGTTTATGTGTGTGTGTGTATGTGGTGCCAGAGTTTGAATCTAGGGCCTTATTCATGTGAAGCGTGCATGTCTGGCACCACATTCCCATTTTTTACTATGAAAGTTGTTGAAACATAAATAATGTACTTAATGATTATAGAAATGATGGCATGGGTTCATTGAGTTAGTAATTAAATTTCTCCAATTTACTGACAAGATTTTAACAAAGGCTTGTTAGATAAATTACTGATTAATGTTTTATGTTTCTGGTTAATTTTATTAAGATTAAAGGGGCTTCAAAAGGGGACTTTTGTTTTGGATAGGCTTCTAGAGTAGGCCTTTCTCCAGTATGATTCTGGACTAATGGATTCTGGGCAGTACCTGAGGTTTATGCCATGAACTGTCTTCTTTTTACTGAAGACATAAATTCATAGTAGTAACCTAGTGGGGAATGGTGGTATATGCTTTTCAGGTGTAGATTTTTCTAATCTTATAATGAAAGTTCAATTAAAAGTTGCTCTTTTAAAAAAAATGACAGTTCCAGGATTATATTTAGTATAGTTTCGGAGTAGAAGTAGGAATGTATTTGAAGATGTTTTTGAGGACATTTGAAACTTGCTTCCTGTTTCAAATGGTTTACTTGTACTTTACTGGGATATGAGAGTACTGAACATAAGCAATTATTTGATTTTAATATAAACATTGACTTTATCCCTCTTTAATTTCTGTAGTTCGAGTGAAAAAAATTGTCCACAGGAAGATGACGAACCAAAGGTTTTCAGACCTGCACGACCACTAAGGGGACGATTGCAGAGGCCGAAGCCAAATTTAAGTAAAGCTGCTGAAAGAAAAGAGACTCCAGCATCACAGGATAAAAATGGGGCTGAAAATGTAGAAAAGAGTGAAATTCAACCCTGTGTTGATAGAAATGTAAGTACTTTGCTTCGTTCCAGTTTGTTTTTGCGTGTTTGTTTGCTTGTTTAATAAGTGCACGTTTCTTTTACCCTTCTTTTTAAGCAGTGGCACTATACAGTTTTTTGTACATTTTTATTCCACTATAAGAGTAGTATTCTTAGCTAGTAGGATTGGTGATTGGAAAGCTGTGGGACTCATTTACATGGTGGGCCCTCTGCTTTCACTCCACCTCCCATTTTGGACTTGCTGTCTTCCATCACTCAGTGGGTCTTCGAGTTACCCTTTCCTTTGGAAATTAGCTGTGTATGTATATTTATTAATACTGGCTTGGATAATAAAAATTTAAAAGACATCTACTAAAATATAATTTTGGAAATATGGAGTCTACATTTTAGGGTATTTGCATTGTAATTAGTTTCTGTGAAAAGGATCTAATATGAGATTTGAATTTTCTTTGTTATAATTCCCAAGGGCTATAATATGATTATAATAATCAGAAGGTGTCAGTGAGATGGGCCCCTTGGGATAATTCTAGAATTGAGACTGAAGCAGTTACTTGATTTCTTGTTTGAGAGGAAAAGATGGGGATTTTGAAATGAGACATTAAGTGTGGTTTATGAACTTTCCTAAGAAAAACCACATTAAATAACAAAAAAATTAAATAATATTTATTGAATGTCACTTTTGTAAGTGAAATATCTACCATTTTTTTCTATGCAAGCTGGGAAGAATTTAAATGAAATCTTTTATAAATGAATGATGGGTGTTTCACTAAAACTAAGAAAGCTAAGGCTTAAAAATAAAATTTTTTTGTTGTTGTTATTAAGACTCCCAAGCAAGTAGAAGACCAGTCATGTAAAAATTTTGAATGTGAAAATGTCATGTCACAACCTGAGAAAAATGATCCTTCTCAGAATATACAGTTAGATGATCATGAGGCTCCTAATGAATGTCTGAGGTAAGCATCCTCTTATTGTGCATTTAATTTTTAAAATTTGGATAAAGGTTTTGAAATGTTAAACAGATTTTAGAATAAGGGCAAATAGTTTGATTTGTTGTCATTATATTAGGTTATATAGTACTTGAAAATAATACTGCCTTTGAAGAGAGTTTACATCATAGTTTTTATAGTGTTAAATTGGTCTTCATGTTGATTTCTCAGCTAGAAGTTGTTGGAAAAAAGCTGCTTATTGTAATTTCTATCTTGAATTTTCATGGACAGTTTTACCACTGAATATGTACAATAACTTATATAAGTTTAGGTCCAAAAGTGAAAATGCTACTTAATATTTTAGTTTGTTTCTTTGAGATTAGATTTATTACATATTTAAGGTTTATCTAATTTTTAAGTAAAACTTTGTTTTGGAAGATGGTGGCAGGGGACCATGTCTGGCTGTACTCAGAGATAACTCCAGGGATATACATTGCCAGGGATTGAATTCAGGTTGTCAAAAGTCTTTATATTTCCTGATCTACTGTATGTTTTATTTAAAAATATTTTGGAGGCTTCAAGTCATATCTCATGGTGCTCAGGGCTTAATTCTGGTGGTTTTCGGGGAACCATATGGGGTACAAGGGATTAAATGGAGGTTGGCTGCATGCAAGTCCCGACCCTCTGTACTATAGCTCTGGTCATCTACTGTGTGTGTGTGTGTGTGTGTGTGTGTGTGTGTGTGTGTGTGTTTTAATTTATAAAATTTTTGCTTTTTGGGTCACACCCAATGATGCTCAGGAGTTATTCCTGGCTTTGCATACAGGAATTACTCCTTGCAGTGCTCAGGGAATCATAGGATGTCGGGGATCGATCCTGGATCAGTCATGTGCAAGGCAAATGCCCTGCCCACTGTACTGTTACTCCAGCCTCTCTATTATAGGTTTTTTTTTTAATGTAAGAGTATTGCTATTTATTCAGCCATTAGGCTGATTGAATTGGGAATGAACTCCACTCTACTATAGATTTTAAGCTGAAAAATAATCTACTTTGTATATGAGTTCTAATCACAGATGCTGTCCTTAAGTTGGTACACAGGTGTATGAGCCATAAGAAGAGGTTTGTTTTGTTTACTAGGTTGTTTCTGCTTTCTTGCACATGCTTTCCTTGTAATTTGTGCATGGATTGTCTATGAACGTCTGGAAATCTGAGACATACATTTTTTACCTGTAAAAATTAAGCTTATCAAAGTTTACTATTACTTTTTGTTTTTATTTTTTCAGTGCAAGGGATTGAACCTAAGACCTCATGTGGAGTTATATCCCGGGCCCTAAAGTTCTTTTATTACTTAGCGACTAGCTGAACAGTCAGATCTAATTATAAAGTATGTTTTAACCTTAAAATCTGAACTGGGGGCTGGAGCCATAGTACATGGTAGGGCACTTGTGGCTGACCTGGGTTTGATCCTCGGTATCCTAAGCACTGCCAGTAGTGATACTTGAGCACAGAGCCAGGAATAAACTTTGAGTACAGCCAGGTGTGTCCATAGAGTTGCCCCCTCCAAAAAAAAACCTAAAATATTAAAAATCATTTTCTTAGGGCTGGAGTACAGTGGGTAGGGGCATTGTACACTGTGTACGGGAGTTCACTCTCGCCTTGCACACGGCTGACCTAAGTTTGAGCCCCAGCAACTTATATGACCCCCTGAGCCCTGCTAGGAATGATCCCTGAGCACACAGCCAGGAGTAAGCACTGCTGAGTATGGGTCCCCTGTAATCAGTGCCCTGCCTCCCAGGGGGGAAAATAAAGTAAGACTAAAGGGAGGAAGAGAGGCCCTAATTCCTACTCATAAGGCTGATTCATAAACAGATCTATTTGAGATACTGATCAAGTTTGATTATTTAAATGAAGTGCTTTTTTGTTTGTTTTAATTTTTATTTCAAGATTCCTGGGTGAAATAGGAGTAAAGAGGTTGCAGACATACATTGATTTAGTATCTAGAACTAGAAAGTCTTAGCAAGAATTTTCTAAGGATGATATGAAAATTAAGTGATTCTAATTTATTGCTACTCTAATTGCTGTTAGCTTTTTTAATGTATTTTTATCTTGAAACTTTCTTTTACTTTTTCTTTTTATTTATTTATTTATTTTCTTTCTGGGTCACACCCGGCGATGCACAGGGGTTACTCCTGGCTCTGCACTCAGGAATTATCCCTGTATCCCTGACAGTGCTCAGGGGACCATATGGGATGCTGGGAATTCAACATGGGTTGGCCGTGTGCAAGGCAAACGCCCTATACACAGTGCTATCGATCCAGCCCCTAAAACTTTAAAAATTTCAAAAGATAGCATTTTTCTTTCCTTATTTTATTTTTTTGCCCAGGGATTTTTGAGTCTTTCTTGCAGGTTTTTTGTTTGTTTGTTTGTTTGTTTTTTAACAGTTGTGTATTCCTGGTATTTTGGCACTAATTTCTTGACTGTGTTCTCTTTAGCTGTCAGTTTGGTTTAAAATTTGACTTTGTGCCTTTTATTTATTTTTTTTGTAGTAATATTCAAGAGGATAGTACATCAAATGTATTCAAACAAGTTCCAGTTCTAAAGACTCGATTTCAGAAACCAAAGCCAAATATAGGAAGAGGAACTAGAAAAAGAGAAATGTTCTCTAAGGAGGAGGTAGCAGAGGAGATTCTTTCCTCTGAGAAAATGACAGCAGCTTTGAGAGAAATTGCAAGACTGGAAATCTCACCAAGGGAGGAGGTACCCGTAGAGGTTGATACTACTCAAGAAATAAATTCTTCTTTAAAAGAATCTGAAAGAAGAGATATATCTCCCAAGGAAAAGATTGCAGAGACAGTTGACACCACTGAAGAAATGGAAACAGATTTGAAAGAAACTGGAGTGGAGATTTCATCAAGTCAGACAGTAGCAGAGGTGACTGAAGTCATCGAGGAAGAAGAGTTAGGTTTCAAAGAAACTGAAGTAGAGATTTCACCAAGTGAATCAGTACCTGAGGTGACTGAAATCACTGAGGAAAAAGAGTCACATTTAAAAGAAACTGGGGTAGAGATTTCACAAAGGGAGATGATACCAGAGATGACTGATGTCATTGAAGAAAAAGAGTCAGATTTGAAAGAAATTGTAGAAGAGATTACACTATGTCAGAGCATAGGAGAGGTGATAGAAATCTCTGAGGAAAAAGAAACAGATTTGAAAAAAACTGAAGAAGAGATTACACCATATCAGAGGATAGCAGAGATGATAGAAACCACTGACAAAAAAGAGTCAGATTTGAAAGAAACTGGAGAAGAGATCATACTCTGTCAGAGGATAGCAGAGGTGATTGGAATCACTGAGGAAAAAGAAACAGATTTGAAAGAAACTGGAGAAGAGACTACCCCATGTCAGAGGATTGCAGAGATGATAGAAATCACTGAGGAAAAAGAGTCAGATTTGAAAGAAACTGGAGAAGAAATTACACCATATCAAAGGATAGAGATGATTGGAATCACCGAGGAAAAAGAGTCAGATTTGAAAGAAACTGGAGAAATGATTACACCGTATCAGACTATAGAAATGATAGAAATCACTGAGGAAAATGAGTCAGATTTGGAAGAAACTGAAGATGAGATTATACCATATCAGAGTATATCAGAGATGATAGAATTCTCTGAGGAAAGAGAGACAGATATGAAAGAAATTGAAGAGATTACACCATTTCAGATAGCAGAGATGATAGAAATCACTGAGGAAAGAGAGACAGATATCAAAGAAACTGAAGAGATTACACCATGTCAGAGGATAGCAGAGGAGATTGAAATCGCTGAGGAAACGGAGACAAATTTAGAAGAAACTACACAAAAAGAAATACCTCAAAATGAAAGAGTCTTAAATGAGGTCAATACATTTGGTGAAGTAGAGACAGATTTGAGGGCAACTGGAAAAGAAATTTCCCTAACGGAAAAGGCACCGGTGGGGATCAGTGCCATAGAGGAAAGGGAGGTTTTTATGAAAGAAACTGGAAAAGGAGATATGTCCCTGCTGGAGAAAATACCAGGAAATGGGACTGGCAGTGGGGAAAGGAAGGCAGATTTTAAAGAATCTCAAGAGGACATTTTCTTGATGAAAAGCAGATCAGAAGAAATTGGTGCTGCTGAGGAAATGGTGGCAGATTTAAAAACAATGAGACCTGTAGACGTTTCTCTAAGGGAAAATAGAACCGAGGAGACTGGTACCTTAAGACAAACTGAGACAGACCTGACACAGGACAAATGTGGTGACTACAGTGCCAGTCCTTCTCTGAATGCCAGTGTATGTATATCTGTTCCTCAATTTACTTTTGATTGTTGTTCTTACCCAGCACATTTAAACTCTTAACAGCCTTACGTATTTTCTCTAAATTCTGTGATAAGACCCTTGAGTAAAATAGTATTTTTGGTTGAAATAGGGGTTGTTTGGGTCACATCTGACTGTGCTTAGGATTTTTCCTGGCTCTGTGCACAGGGGACAATATGTGGTGCTGGGGCTCGTACCCCGGTTAACTGCACACAAAATGAGTGTCTTAACTAGTTGTGTTAACTCTTTGGTCCAAATAGATTTTTGTGGGTATGAAAATGTTGCTATCTTAATATCATTTTTTTTTGCTTTTTGGGTCACACCCGGAGATGCACAGGGGTTACTCCGGGCTGTGCACTCAGAAATCACTCCTGGCAGTGCTCGGGGGACCATATGGGGTGCTGGGAATTGAACCTGGGTCGGCCGCGTGCAAGGCAAACGCCCTACCCGCTGCGCTATCACTCCAGCCCCTTAATATCATTTTGATATTCTTTTAGAAAAAGAATATAGAAATTGGAGTGAATGTTTTTTTTTTTTTAAACAAAATCTTTATTTATTTGCTTTTTGGGCCACACCCGGCGATGCACAGGGGCTACTCCTGGCTCTGCACTCAGGAACCACTCCTGGTGGTGCTCAGGGGACCATATGGGATGCTGGGAATTGAACCTGGGTCAGCTGCTTGCAAGGCAAACACCCTACCCACTGTGCCATCTCTCCAGCCCCAAAATTGGAGCGAACTTTTGCGAACTTTTATAAAAACAGATTTTTGAATAATTCATTTCTGTATCAGTTTTTGTCTCTTTCTTGCCTTACTCTATTTTTATTCATTTTACGTAACTTTAACTGTAAGTTTCTAGTTACTTGAAGTTCATGATATATCTTTGTTTTCTCTTTTGGTGTTTGGGCCACACCAGTGATGCTCAGGGGTTACTCTGGGCTCTACACTCAGGAATTATTCCCGGCAATGCCTGGGGAACCATTTGGGATGCCAGGGATCAAACCTGGGTCAGCCATGTGCACTGCAAGTGCCCTAATCTCTGCATTAGTGCTATCTCCATTCCTCTGTATTAGAACATTTCAACGTTCTAATATTTTTTTATAGGGTTTTTGTGTGTGTGTGTTTGTGTGTGTGTGTGTATGTAATGTATGTGTGTGTGTGTGTGTGGTGGTTTGGAAAAATGATAATGTTCAATATAAAAGTAAGAGTTACCAGGGCTGGGAGATGGGTTCCAGGCCTGGAGTGCAGTATTCTGTCTCCAAGATCACATGGTCTCTAGAGCACTGCTGGATATTATGCCCCAAAAACAAAGCAAAGCTGACATGTAAAAAGAGAAAGGAAAGAGTTACCTAAATTTGTGTTTTAGGATTTGTAAATTAAGTTTGATTTAAAATCTTCATTTTATTTAAAACTTCAAAGCAAAACAGTTTTTTTTTTAAGTATGTTTAGAATAAAGAGGTTTTTCTTGGACATATATGAAATGCTTAAGGAATCTTGTATTTGTGCTGATTTACTTTAATTATTTCTCCAGAACATTAGCAGTGAACTTCTTCCCATGGTACAAACTTCTGTAGAAGTAAAAACAAGTTCTGAAATGGAAATGTCAAGTTCAGTGCACTCTTTGCAAATTTTAGACTGTGATATAATAGAAGATCAAGGGACGCAGCCTACAGATACTCAAGAGCAGTTTTCAGATGTTAATATAAGGTAAAGTGCATCGGTCTGTATAACCTTTAAGAAAAAGACTATGGGTCCGGAGCGATAGCTTAGTGGGCTGAGTGCATACTTCACATGCAGGAGGTTTGAGTTCAATCCCAGCATCAGATTGTCCCCTAAGCTCCTTCAAAGGTGACCCCTGAGCATGGAGCCAAGAGTAGCCTCCTACATCCCTGAGTGTAGCACAAGAACTAAAAGTTAAAGAAAATACATATGAAATAATTTGCAAATTATGTCCACCTAGCTACTCACTAGGTAACATGAAATATAGCATAATGTTAGGAATTTTTTTAAAACTTTTATTGAGATAACATGATTTTTAATACTGTAAGACCTACTTTTGAGTTGCTAGAGTGATAGTACAGTGTATAAGCACTTGCCTTGCACATGGCCGACCGGAGTTCCATACCCATCATCCCATATGGTCGTTGTGATTCCTGAGGCAGGAGTAACTCCTGGGGACAGCCAGGTATGACCCCAAAACAAAATTAAAAAGCTAGTTTTGAGAGACTGGGAGAGAACTGAGTCATTTTTGACAGCTGATAGTGAGAATTTCTAATATGCTGAATTGTGTGTATCACATGCTTCTAGTTAATATGGGTATGACACAGTTGTACTTTGTGCAAAAATAATGGGATCTCTGGATTGTACAGTTTATGTGTTTCACCATCTGTCGAATAGTCAGATGTCTTTCTGTTAGGAATTGGAATGTTCACTCCTAGTCTTTAAATTGGTGCCCTGTCCCCATTCCCTTCGCCTCTTCAGTTCATTCTAAAACCTGATAATCTTTGTTCCAAAAGCACATCACTTCCTGAAGAGCAGAAGCCAGCTGAAGTTAAGCCAGCACCTTTTGTGAGGAGCCGATTTAAAAGACCAAAACCAAACTTGGCAAGAGCAGCTTTGAAAAGGGAAACCCTGGCAGCAAAAACACCTGTTTTGGGGAAGAAATTGGAACCTGCTAAAATGGAGGGTGCTGTGCTGGCGCAGAACACAGTTCTGTCTGACCAGCAGGTGAGTGATACACAAGCTCAAGAGTGTGTGGTGACTGAAATCAAACTCATAAAGATTCCTCATGCCTTTTCCTTCGTGTGAGATGTGGCTTGAAGCTCACATCATTGACCGTGGATGAGTGCGTCATGGGGAGGGATTGAGGTGGCCTGGGCTCACCTTCAGCTTTTGCCCTCCGCTGTGTGACCGGTGCAAAATGTTGCAGTTTCTTCATTGGAAAAATGGGAATTTAGATAATTTGGGGGAGATGGGGGAGATGTCTGGTTTTTGGCTTTGGGGCCACACCTGTGGCAAGCTCGGGATCTGCTCCCAGCTCTGTGCTCAGCAGTCACTTCTGGCATGCTGGGGGTGAAACCTGACTTCTCATCTGCTCGGCAGGTCAGAATAGAGAAATCTGTCTTCTTTAAAATGGTTCTATGTTGTTAAATTATAAAGAAATCGTCACTATTTAATTCAGTCTCTTACTAATTGAAATGTCAATTGTTTCTTATTTTTGTTGGGGGGTTTTTATACTACTGTGATTAATATCTTTGTACATGATGATATGCTCATTTGAATATTTTAATAAATTAAATCACTTGCAGTTGAAATGCTGAGGATTTAAATTTTTGAGAGAGATCATCCTATTGTCTACAAAGATGATCCTAGTTTGTTCTGCTAGTATAGATGAGAGTTCCTATTTCAGTACACTGTTACGGAGCCTTGATGAAATATCTTTTGCTACCTTCTAGGACGTGTCTCCTCTCACAACATCAGGAGAGAAAGACGAGTCATATCCCAGGGAGGGGGCTGCTGGGGCCCTGCCTTGCGTGCAGTCTGAGCAGGACCCTCTGCCCACAAGTTCTGGTGACTCTAAAGAGGAGGCTGAGTCTACACCAGCCCGGGAAGAGGATGTCGCTATTTCTCTGGGGTGAGCAGGACAGTATTTGAAATTTTAAAGTGAGAGTGCTTTGACATATTTCTTTCTTCACGATCACGATCCTCCCGTTGTTCATCGATTTGCTCGAGCGGGCCCAGTAACGTCTCCATCACAAGACTTGTTACTGTGTTTGGCACATCGAGTACGTCACCGGTAGCTTGCCAGGCTCTCCGAGAGGGGCGGAGGAATCGAACTCGGGTCAGCCATGTTGGCCGCTTGTAAGGCAAACGCCCTACCGCTGTGCTATAGCTCCAGCCCATTTCTTTCTTACTAAAATATATTTATGTTATTTGGGGGCTGGAGAGACAGCACAATAGGGAAGGTGCTTGACTGGTACCTGTTTCATCCCCAGCACCCGATACGGTCCCCTGAGTCCCACCAGGAGTAATCCCTGAGCACAGAACCTGGAGTAAACCCCGAGCACTGCTGATGTGGCCTGTACCTCCCCCAGCCCCCCTCCCAAAAGATACATTTTATGTATTTTAAAAGCAACTCTAAGAACATTTGATTTATTTTTATTCACAAGACTGACTGCCTAAGTTAGAAAGTCAGATGAGTTCAACACATCCTCATGCTTGTCTGCTTAAATTTACTATTAGTTAAAGATTATACACAGATGGGCTGGAGCAATAGCACGGCAGGTAGGGTGTTTGCCGTGCACATGGCTGACCCGGGTTCGAATCCCAGAATCCCATATTATCCCCTGAGCACCGCCAGGGGTAATTCCTGAGTGCAGAGCCAGGAGTGACCTCTGTGCATCGCCGGGTGTGACCCCCCAAAAAAAAAGATTATACACAGAACCGTGCATTAGCATATATATTTCCTTTTTCAAAATTGTAACGGAATACATATAAAATAAACCCCACTGTTAAACTGGGCTTGTTGTTGCTGAGGTGGGACTGTACTTGGGGTTGATATATCTGTGCTGCATGGCCCATCAAGCAGGATGGTTCAGTGCATTGGCCTTGGGCTGGGGACCACCAGGGCCACACAGTCAGGGTCTCCAGGGCTGTACCTGTCTGTGTATGGAGGAACCATGTGGTATTAGGGATAGAACTGGGGTCCCACACATGCAAAGCACACATCCCTGTCCTCCGTACTAGCTCCTTAACCTCTTGGTTTTTGGGGTGTGTATACTGTGAACTGTGCAGCCACAGCCATCATCCATCTGCAGAACTTTTCATTTCTCAGGCAGAAACTATCTACCTATTTAACCGTAATTTCTCATCTCTCTTTTTTTGTTGTTTGCTTTTGGCCTGGAGCAATGGCACAGCGGTAGGGCGTTTGCCTTACACGTGGCCGACTTGGCCGAACTGGGTTCGATTCCGCTGCCCCTCTTGGAGAGCCCGGCAAGCTACCGAGAGTATCTCACCCGCACGGCAAAGCCTGGCAAGCTACCCATGACACATATTCAATATGCCAAACACAATAACAACAAGTCTCACAATGGAGACGTTCCTGGGTCCACTCAAGCAAATCAGTGAACAACGGGAGGACAGTGCTACAGTGCTACAGTGCTTTTGGGCCATCTCTGGCAGTGCTCAAGACATACTACTGGCTCTGTGCTTAGGGGTCACTCCTGGCAGAAATTGGGGGATCAGGTGGGATGCCAAGGATTGAAGCCAGGTCAAGTTGCCTGCAAATCAGACACCCTGCCCTCTGTATTAACGCTCTGATCCCAGTTTCCCATCCCTCTTTCCCTCTAGTTCTTGCCTGTGCTTTCTATCTCTGGATGTGGTCCCTTTTACGCACTGTTGATACAATATTTCATTACCTTTTGGGAATAGAAATTGCTGTTTTCTTTTATAGAATGAGATCTATTTATTATCATGAAGTGATTTAAGTTTCTTCCAATACTCAAAAGTCTTTCTGGGGCCAGTAATAGGGCCTTGCATGTGTGAGTCTTGGGTTTGGAGCAACAAAAAAGGAAAATGACAGTTTAACTATTATTAGAGATGATTCTTTTTTCTTTTCTTTCTTTTTTTTTAACGCTATCACTTTTTTACAGCACACTCTCTTTTCCTTGTCTCTTTCTAGAACTCAGAGTACGAGCAGTTTGCAGCAAGAGATGAAGGAAAGCACAACCCAAAGTGCTGTACCGGTAAGGGGCCGGCTTCAGAGACCCAGACCAAACATCAGAAAGGCTGGGCAGCGGCAGGTAGCATCAGGAGTTGAAGCCAGAGACGGGACACTTCAGGATCAAAGAACAACATTACAAAAAGAGGAAGCGGAAAAGAAATTGCTGGATGCGGTGAGTTATTACTATATAATTAAATTGAGTCCTTCTGTGCATATTGGAATATGAAATGATAGCTCTGGCTTAGCATCTGTACCTGTTCTCAGTGCTTTCCGGATGTCATTGTTTTCCATTTTATGAATTAAATTGCAGTGCCAATGACGGAACCTGGCTTCTCTCCACGTAAGGCAAAGCGGGGGATGCAGCTCTACCTCTGAGCTGCCCCCCACCCGCCCATGCCTCAACCCTGGCTTTGAATATGAATTTTTTTCTTTTTTGGGTCATACCCCGCGATGCACAGGGCTTACTCCTGGCTCATGCACTCAGGAATTACTCCTGGCGGTGCTTGGGGGGCCATATGGGATGCTGGGAATCGAACCCAGGTCAGTCACGTGCAGGGCAAATGCCCTATCCACGGTGCTGTTGCTCCAGCCCACACGCTTGGATATTTAGAAGTGAAAATAGATATTTTTTCCATCCTAACTATGAACACTTTCACTGTGAAAATCTATACAAAGTAGCACCATTGCGAGCCTCCAGAGCTAACCCCTCTCGTGCTCAGTTTTAGCATTTTTAGTAAAAGACATATTAATGCATGTTGTTCATGTTTGTTAACTTGGAACAGAGATTTTTTTGCTGAATAAGTGACTTTTGACATCAAGAAATACAGAGATCTTCCATTTTAGGTGTTGGATTGAATGTCAGCTTAGCCGGTGGCTGATGGATGGCTCTTGATGTTAGAAGCAAATTTGAGTAATCTAATGCCCATTCTAAATGGTTCTTGTCAGTCCTTTTCTCTACCAAGGGAAAATTTACATTTCAAGTGACCTGCTGTCATCAGTGTTTGTAGTCCTCCTCCAAAACACTGTTGTTTTTGGTAGGGGGTGGATTTCTTTGCATTTTCTTTTTTATTATTAGAGTTTCGGTAATACGCCTATAAGTATGTTAATATTTATGGTTTGATGGACTTAGTTGCTACCCCTTGCCCCCAACCAGCAAAGGCTATTTTACACTGTCACGGTCACTGTCCTCCCGTTGTTCATCGATTTGCTCAAGTGGGCCCAGTAACGTCTCCATTGTGAGACTTGTTACTGTGTTTGGCATATCAAATACGTCACGGGTAGCTTTCCAGGCTTTGCCGTAAGGGCGAGATACTCTCGGTAGCTTGCCGGGCTCTCCGAGAAGAGCGGAAGAATCGAACTTGGGTTGGCCATGTTGACTGCTTGCAAGGCAAACGCCCTACCCGCTGTGCTATTGCTCCAGCCCATTAAATACTAGCAATTTGAAAAAAAATTGTTCTGGGATACACTCAGCAGTGCTCGGGAGTGACCCCTGGCAGTGCTCTGGGACCATAGGTGATGTTGGGGATTCAAACCAGGGTCTATGGAATGCAAGACAAGTGCCTTAACCCCTGTACTAGCTCTCCAACCCCTAAAAAACTTTATTTTTGAAAAAATGTCTTTTTTGTTCTGGTTTCATAACAGATGTTTGTTTTATTATAGTTTCTAAAACATTGTATAGGCACTAAACTTCAATAAAATCTTTTTTGGTTCTTTTGGGCACACGTGATGGTGCTCAGGCCTTATTCCTGGCTCTGCACTCAGGGATCACTCCTGGTGGGCTTTGGGGACCATATGTGGTGCCAGGGATTGAACCTGGGTTGGCCACATGTATGGCAAAGGCTCTATTCACTGTACTATCTCTCCAGTCCAGAACTGCAGTGATTCTCGAAGTTTTTTTCTTCACATTAGGAAATTTAATTTTGTGCTTCAAAACATAAGATGTTGCAAAGTTATTTTGAATCTTAATTTTAGAAAATGAAATACCTGTCCTAATACTGACTTTTAATTACATATGTAGATGTGTTGTTGAGAAAATATTTAATATGGTTGTGTCCCTCTAGGCAAATTCTCAGCTTGGAATTGAAATTGAAGTTGTATCCTCCAAAATTTCAGAATGCAGAATGAATGATATTTTAGATGAACAGAAAAGGTAAGTTTGCTTAATGGGAAAGAATCATGTTTTTGCTTTGGATTTCTTCTTTAGATGAGGAAGGTGTATTCCTAATAGTGCTCAGGGAACCATATGGTTCTGGGGATGGAACCAGGGCCCCATGTGAGAGCAAGTGCTGTGGTACTGAGCTAATCTCTAGCTCTACCTAGGTATGTTTTAGTAAGGGTTTTTGCATCATTGATTTCTTTATACGTTAAAATTTTTATGAAAGGTTAAAGAATAACTAATTTTTAGACTAATCCATTTTAAGTCTAGTTATGCAGCTCTTTTAAGAATTGTATGACTGATGGAGCTGGAGTGATAGCACAGTGGGTACGATTTGCCTTGCAAGCGGCCAGCCTAGGTTCGATTCCCAGTAGTAATTCCTGAGTGTGTGAACCAGGAGTAAACTCTGTATCACTGGGTGTGACCCCCCCCAAAAAAAAGAAAAACTCATATGACTGATGGTCTCTTTGATTGTAATTTTTCTGAAAATCGTGGCAAGGATCTTTAGTTTTTTATTTTAAAACTAAAATTTTGGGGGCCTAGGTCCATAGTCGAGGTGGTAGGGTGCTCGCCTTGCCTGATGCCGGCCCCTGTTCAATCCCCAACATTGTATGGTCTCCATACGCTGCCAGGCATTGACCCCAGTCACTGCTGGATATGGATATGGATATGAAACTCCCTCTCCCCTCAGTCTGAATTTTCTATCATTTTAAGTTTTTTGTATCATTAAAAATGTATTTTTCCAGCTCTTCTGGGCCTGAGTAAGTACCACATTGCCAAACCTGAGCCCTGACCCATCAGGCCTATGTTATATAGCCAAGAGTGACTCATGGGTCCCTGAGGACTGCTTAGGAGTGCCTCTCACCCCCCCCCCCTCGACTGCCCCATTTTATAATTAGCATTAATGTACTAGCTATGACTCATAATACAAGCCTGTGAATATCTGCCATATGTAAAACCTGTGTCCTAGGATAGTAATAGTGACATTTTTTCTTTTTGGGGGGCCAAACCTGGTGGTGTTGAGGTGCTGTATTGGTATATTGGCTTGGGGTTCACTCCTCGTAGTGGTTGGGACCAGTTGGTACTGGGGATTGAGTGAACCTGAACCTCCCATAGGCAAAGCATGCACACTAGCTCTTTGAGCTTTCTCCCCAGTCTAAGAGTGGTACCCTTTACTTATTTCTTAAAAGTTCTTGTTTTTTTTTATAGACCACACTCAGCAATGCTCAAGGCTTCCTGTGAGCAACCTAATCGTTGTACTAGTCTTGCTGAACCCTAAGCTTTTTTCTAAGTTAACAGTCATGTTATGGACAGATTGACTGTAGTTTTTAAGCCTGTCTACTCTCAAGTTTGAAGCACCAAGACTGTTTTGACCATTGTATGTTTGTTTATGCTTCAGAACTCAGTTGAGAGCATTTTTTACATGGGACTGAGTAATGATTACTGAGCACAGAGTCAGGAGTGAGCCCAGAGCTGCCAAACCACCTTCCTCCCAAAGAAAGCATGAAATAAAATTTATCTGATATGCCGCTGTGAAATCTACCTTCAACTCTATTGGCATTTTAAAAACTCACTTGTGGCCTAAAGAGATGTACAGTCGATAAGGCTCTTGCCTTGCACATGCCCAACCTAGGTTTGATTGCTGGCATACCATGTGGTACCCTACGCACCACCAGGAGTAATTCCTGGAGTAACCCCTGTGCATTACTAGGTGTGACCCCCTCCCCCAAAGTGGGGGGAGGGGCTGAAGAGAGAAACAATTGTCAGGGTGCTTGGCTTGCATGCAGCCAACCCGGATTCAATCTCTGGCACCCCAAATGGTCCCTCAAACGTTTCCAGGAGTGTCTGAATGCAGAGCCAGGAGTGAGCCCTGAGCGCAGGCAGGTGTGACCCCCAAACAGAAAATTCGGTGGTTTATCTGAAAGTTAAGGAAGAGTATCTTACATATGCTCGAGCTCCCCCACTCGAGCAAATCGACGATCTTACATATGAACATCAGTAAATGAAAATGAAAAATTTTTGATAGTTTTGTAGGATGATTCCCTAGGCTCTACAGAAAATGAAGTTATGAAAGCTTATATGTTCTTCCTTTCATATTTGTCATGTGTGGTTTCATTTTACATGTTTGGTTTTTATTGTCTTCTTTTACTATAGATATATTTTCCCCTTGAACATAAAATTGTTTATGCCCACAGTGTTTAATAGCTATTAGGTAGCAAGAAGTTCTGATTTTGTTTTCAATGAAATCTATGTTTCATTCCAGTCATGAGCATAAAGCAACTGTTCCCAGTCCAGCACCCTTGGTAAGAAGGCAATTCCAAAAGGCTAAGCCAAATCTGGGACGAGCACATGGCAAGAGAGAGGAGCGCTGTCTAGGAAAAGACAGGGCTGGTCAGAGCCAGGCAAAGGAGCCAGAAGAGAATTGGCTGCAGCAAGGAAAGTCTGACACCCAGCTGCTGGAAAAAGTAAGTGTGAAAGAAGAGTTTTGATTACTGGATTCTGTTTTGTCAGGATGAGGAAGGAGTCCACTTAAAAAAAGATATAGTGTTCCCTTTTGTCAGATAACCTTTTTATGACGGATGTGTGACGTTCAGCATTATAAACAGAGTAGGGATGTGTGCGTGCGCGCGCATGTGTGTGTGTGTATACTTCTAGCTTTAATCAAATAAAGTAAGTCATCATATAGACTTCTCATGCAGCATGTTTCTTCTTTACTTTTAAGGACAAGTCTGAGCTTAAGACGTCTCACGAGATTTCAGCAAGAAAGGATTGTATAGTAGGTTCCGCAGAGCCTGGTTTGATGAAGAAAGGTGCTCAGTCAGAAGTTAGACCATCAGCAAGTATTGGAGAAAAAAGTATAGGGGATAATTCTATGTCTTCCATTATTAAAGAGCAACATCTCAGTAAACCACCCAGGTAATGTTTTATATAATAAATATTTTTAACTTTTATTATTTATTTTTTACTTTTTTTTGCCTTTTGGGTCACACCTGGCGATGCATAGGAATTACTCCTGGCAGTGCTCAGGGGACCATATGGGATGCTGGGAATCGAACCCAGGTCAGCCACATGCAAGGCAAACGTCCTACCCATTGTGCTATCGCTCCAGCCCCTATTTTTAACTTTTAGAATAGGAAATAAAAGTAATTTGCTGTTTATAGATACCATACTCTTAACTTATTGCTAGAGTGAAAAAGATCACTAATTGCTGGTTTTCTACAGATAATTGCACAGCATGAAATTGTAGAGAACAATATTGCTGTGTAATCTTCAAATTTACTAAGAGGCTGCCTTTCAATTATTGCAATAACTGAAGCAAAAGGACAGTTACATACTTTGATAGAGGTACTAAGCAGTCCTAAAATAGCTCTGTCACTGTCATTGTTCTCCTGTTGTTCATGGATTTGCTCGAGCGGGCCCAGTAACGTCTCCATTGTGACACTTGTTACTGTGTTTGGCATATTAAGTGCATCACGGGACGCTTGCCAGGCTTTGCCGTGCGGGCGAGATACTCTCAGTAGCTTGCCGGGCTCTCAGAGAAGGGCGGAGGAATCGAACTCGGGTTGGACGTGTCGGCCACATGCAAGGCAAACGCCCTACCCTCTGTGCTATCACTCCAGCCCGAGCAATCGTAGAATATAAATGTATCAGCTTTATCTGTTACTGAACAGTGTTCCATGCCAAATATTTATCTGGGGAGAGGGGAATTAGGCTGTACCCAGCAATGCTTTGGGATCACTCCTGGCAGTCTCAGGGAAGCATATATGGTACAGGGGATTGAACTGGGAAGCTTCCCTTAACCCCTGTACTCTGTTTTTCAGTACTGGTACCCAAGGTTGGGGACCATCTCTGTCCCCAAGACAGGTTTTGCCACACCTCATAAAGCTCAGGGGTTCCTCTTGGCTCTGCATGCAGGGATCACTCCTGGCGGTGCCGGGAGGACCATGTGGAATGCTGGAGATCAGGTCAGCTGCGTGCAAGGCAAAAATACCCTACTCTCTGTATTATCTATCTGGCCCCCAAAATAGGTATTTTAGAAAGATAGTTTGAGAACTAAATAATTAATGGTACTAATTTGTATGTGGTCATAAATACAAATGAAACATATATAACTGTACAATTCTATAATTCTCAAGGAAAGTGGAAGGGATTCTAGCTTCTGAAAAGTAATGCTGTTGGGGCTGGAGAGACAGCACAGAGGGTAGGTCATTTGCCTTGCATGCGGCCAACCCAGGTTCGATTCCCAGCATCCCATATGGTCCTCTGAGCACTGCCAGGAGTAACTCCTGAGTGCAGAGTCAGAACCCCTGTTCATCGCCAGGTGTGACCCAGAAAGCAAAAAAAAAGAAAAATAAAAAAGTAATGCTGTTATTGTATTTCTGCCCTCCCTCTTTTCTACTGAAGAATCTATTTTTCCTAGCAGGGTACACCATTCTGCACTACAACATGTTCTGGCTCAGTGTCCTTTATCTCTTTTTCCTTCTAACATTTTCCAGTCTTTCATGTTGTCTCTGTTTAATAAGAAAACAAAATGGCCAAGAATTTAAAACTTTTTTTAGAAGGTGGAGTGGGGCACATCTGGTATGCTCAGGGGTCACTCCTGACTCTTCAGTCAGGGTTCACTCCTGTTTGGTGCTCGGGAAACCAAATGGGATGCTGGGGATCAAACCCTGGATGGCTGTATACAAGGCAAATGCCCTGTATTATCTATCCAGCCCCAAGAATTAAAACTTTCCATGAAAAATTTGAAGGTAGATACCTCAGAATCAGCTGAATGAGAAACTAGTAATAATAATAATAATTCCTTTTACAGCATAGGTTTTTGAATAGGTGACGGGGGTGTTAATTTTCAAAGCTTGAAGTGGAATTTCACTGCTTTCATTAGAATCATCCTTATGCATGTAATACCAGCATTGTTCTTTTGCTTAAACATACAGTTGTCCACAGCTCTTAAAAGAGCCAAGTTATTCTAAAACTGCTTTGGATCGAAGAACAGCAAGCTCTTCTATCTCTGAGCATGAAACAGATCACAGCGAGAGGAGAACGCACAGAAAGATCAAATCAAATGCTGCTCGAGGGCGCGGATCAAAACGGGTGCGGAGTAAGGCCCCTAAGAAGGAACCTCGAACTTCAAAAGCCATGCTGGTGACCCTTCGCGCCTCTCAGGAAGAAGAGGACGACGATGATGATTTGGACCTCGACTATGAAGAAGAAAGCTACCATCTTGCTCCCGAAGAAGTGAACAAAGCGCCCGTGTTCGTGCCCATTGGCCTCAGATCTCCTGAACCCGTTGCTGCTCAGATCGAAGAAACAATGGAAGAGGTAGAGGGTTTTTTTTTTCGTTTGTTTGTTGGCGTACACTTGGTGCTTTCCTCTGGGCTCTGGGTCAGGAATTACTCCTGGCTCTGTGCTTGGGGAACCGCATGTGGTGCTGGGGACTGAACTGGGGTCAGCTGTAGACAAGCCCTCTAGCCTCTGTTCTACCTCTGTGGCCCTGGAGATTGGTTTCTGATTGCTTGGAACTTCATCGTATGTTGTTTTGCTTGTAGTAGCCCTTTCTTGGTGATTATTAGGATTTGAAAGGTTTGTTCTCTGAGTAGCCTCTACCAAGGGTATTTATTTGAACCCTAGTGGGTTGCATAAGGTACTAATAAAAATCAGTTTTTGTGATCTCTGGTTGCCATGGTACCAGGAATTGAAGCCAGCTCCCTGCATGCAAAGCACGTGCTTTAGCCAATTGAGCGATCTTTAGTCCTCACTGTTTGGTGCTCGGGAAACCAAATGGGATGCTGGGGATCAAACCCTGGTTGGCTGTATACAAGGCAAATGCCCTGTATTATCTATCCAGCCCCAAGAATTAAAACTTTCCATGAAAAATTTGAAGGTAGATACCTCAGAATCAGCTGAATGAGAAACTAGTAATAATAATAATAATAATAATAATAATAATAATTCCTGTTTTTTCTTTTTTTCTTTTTTCATTCCAGGCCAGTAGGATATTAGCAGAGATCTCTCTTCAACTTTTGAATCCAAGTAGTCATAACACATAGAAATTATTTTAACTTTTTTTTTTCCAGATAAGATTTTATTTGGGCTGGAGCCATAGCACAGCGGGTAGCGTGTTTGTCTTGCACATGGCCAACCCGGGTTCGATTCCTCTATCCCTCTCGGAGAGCCTGGCAAGCTACTGAGAGTATCCCGCCCACTCAGCAGAGCCTGGCAAGCTACTCATGGAGTATTCGATATGCCAAAAGCAGTAACAACAAGTCTTACAATGGAGACGTTACTGGTGCCTGCTTGAGCAAGTTGATAAACAATAGGAGGACAGTGCTACTATGACACAAGATTTTATTTAATTAAATTTTTTAATTGAATCACTGTGAGATACACAGTGACAAAGTTGTTTATGATTAAGTTTTAATATACTTTAAAGGCAGATTTTTTTTTGGTGGGGGGCCGTGTCATTCCTGGTGATGCACAGGGGTTACTCCTGGTTCTATACTCAGGAAATACTCCTGGCAGTTTTTGGAGGACCATATGGGATGCTGGGAATTGAACCGGGTTGGTCATGTGCAGGGCAAACACTATCACTCCAGCCCTGATTTTTTTTTTTTTTTTAAGAAATTTTTTTTTGCCACACCCAGCGGTGCTTAGGGCTTAGTCCTTGCTCTGTGCTCAGGAATCACTCCTAATGGGGCTTGGAAAAACCATATAGGGTGCTGGGTGTCAAACTCTGGTCAGCAAGACAAATGCCCTATACCCAGCACTGTACAATTGCTCCAGCTTGAAGGCAGATTATCCAACTTTTGCTTCTTTACTGTTTTTTATACTAATTTCTTTGTTACTAAGGGAATAGGACTCGGATTAACTTCTGTGTAGCTTAGGATATAGATCTTTTTTTTTTTTCCTTTTTTGGGTCACACCCAGTGATGCACAGGTGTTACTCCTGGGTCATGTACTCAGAAATTACTCCTTGCGATTCTAGGGGGACCATATGGGATGCTGGGAATCAAACCCAGGTCGGCCACATGCAAGGCAAACATCCTACCCACTGTGCTATTGCTTCAGCCCCAGGATATAGATCATTCTTTTTAGCTCTCAAATTAGAGGGCCTTTTTGACTAAATAGACTGCTAATTGGCGAGTTCATGAGCGAACCATTATTTTAAATGATGATTGTTACGGTTATCAAGACTTGTATGGGTGTCTCCAGACCTGTATGGTAGAGAGAGAGTAGATGTCACTGTGGGTAGAGTGAGGTGGGGGAGGTGTGAGAAACCTGTTATATGTGTGTGTGCCAGATTGAGCCTAGGGCCTCATGAGAAGCCCATGTGCTATCTCCCTCTATCTCTGTGGTGTGCTAAACCTTTTGGAGTGCTTTCACTCATCTCTGTTATGACCCTTAGAACAATATATGACTAGTTGCATATGTGCCTGCCTGTGTTTCTCAGATTCTGATTTACTTTCGAGCAGGGATTATATTAAGTCAGCTCTGTATCCTTGTACCCGTGATACTCTAGCTTTGAGGAACCCCTTCTTTAATGTGAACAAACCGATAGGAGAAACAATGAGAAGGTGGGGATAATGAAAAATGGAATGCATGGCACTGAGATTTTAGCTTTGGAGATTTTGCCTACTGGTTATTAAGAATTGCAGTTTAAGAATTTAGAACCTTGGGCTGGAGAGCTAGAACAGTGGGAAGGGTGTTTGCCCTGCATACAGCTAATATAGGTTTGATTCCTGGCACCCCATATGGTTCCCTGAACCCCTGGCACTAATGATCACAGAACCAGGAGTAAGGCCTGACCACGATTGGGTGTGGCCAAAAAACAAAATTAAATCCAAACCTTAATTCTAACTTACGCTGAAGTGATGCCTGTTATTTTAAGAATCAGTGCAGTTTTGGTCTTGTGTGGATGGGCATTATTCAATTTAGCATCTTTGTTTTGAGTATGTCAAAGCAAAATAATGAAATAATGAAACTTCATTTTGACAGCTTGAAATAACCATGGATGTTCCAGATGTTGGATGCATAACAGTTGTTGAACAGGAGCTTCTAAATGTAGAAGTAAATCCTCAGGAAGTGAAACAAGATGTCAGTGAGAATATGCTAACAGTTGTAAGCATCCCTTTTAACATTTGTTGTCTTAATTCTGTTTACTTTCAAGCTACTGGAGGACTTGAAAGCTTTATACTTATCATTAGTTGTGCTGGAGGATTGTATAAGGACTTGGGCCTTTGCCTGCCACTTGGCCAACCTGGGTTTAATATCCAATACTTCATCTCATCCCCTGGTCTCCTCCAGAAGTGATCCTGGACTGCAGATCCAGAAGTAATCCCTGAGCATGGCTGGGTATGGCCCACAAATCAAAACCAAAAAACCAACAAAATAATGAATTTGCAAGGAATTTCTTGCAAGTATCCTTCATAAAGAGAATCATAGTATAAAAAGTAGAAACTTAGTAAAATTTTCATGGGCTTTTGTGAAAAGCCTTGACTTGAATTTTTTTTTTTCTTTTTGGGTCACACCGGATGATGCACAGGGGCTACTCCTGGCTTGCACTCAGGAGTTACTCCTGGCGGTGCTCAGGGGACCATATGGGATGCTGGAAATCGAACCCAGGTTGGCTGCGTGCAAGGCAAACGCCCTACCCGCTGTGCTATTTCTCCAGCCCTGACTTGAAATTTTTAAATGAAAATTCAGTGACTGTCTTCATGACTTAAAAAGTATTTATTTTAAAAAATCTTCATGACTTAAAAAGTATTTATTTTTAAAAAAAGTATGAGCATAGCTCTTAATATTCTTGTAAACTTACTGTTAAAAAAATTATGCTATATTATGTGCTACATAGAAATTATTTAAGATGTATTTTCATTTTGTGTGGCAGGCTTCCTGATTTGGGATAATAGGGACCCTCCAGTGCTCAAGGACCATGAGGTCCCAGGGATTGAACTGTAGCCCTGCTTATGCAAGACCTGCACTCTAGCCCTTGAACCATCTTCCCAGTCCTGGGATCACTGTTTCTAAAAACAGTTTTATTAAGATACAGTTCACACACAAACAATTCACCCATTTAAAGTATGTAATTGGTTATTGGAGTATACTTACAGATATGAGCAAACATTGCCATTTTAAATTATTTTTATCAATTTAAAAAGAAATTCCCAGGATTGGTGGAGGGTTGGGTACTCCATCATTGTATGACTGAAATGTAAGCACGAAAGTTTGTAAGTCTGTAACTGTACCTCATGGTGATTCATTAAATAAATAAAAAATTTAAGGGGCTGGAACGATAGCACAGCAGGTAGGGCATTTGCCTTGCATGTGGATGATCCAGGTTCGATTCCCAACATCCCATATGGTCCCCTGAGCACCGCCAGGAGTAATTCCTGTGTGCAGAGCCAGGAGTAACCCCTGTGCATTGCCGGGTGTGACCCAAAAAGAAAAAAATAAATAAAAAAAGAAAGAAAAAAGAAATTCCTGGGGTTGGTTGGAGCAATAGTTATGGGTAGAGCATTTACCTGGCATGTGGCCAACCTGAGTTCAATTCCTGGCATCCCATATGTGCACCGCCCCCCCCCCCCCCCAGCACTGCCAGGAGTGATTCCTGGGTACAGTAACCCCAGAACACTGCCAGTATGGCCACAAAACCAAAAGCCAAAGAGAAAAAGAAAAAAATACAGAATAAAGCAAAAATAAACTCACATTCTCTGTTAATAGTTGTTCCCCATCTCCTCCCAGCCCTCAGCAACCAATCTATTTTTTGTTTTCGTTGTAGACATTTTATGCGAATGGAGTCATACAGTATTATCGTTTGTCTATTTTCACTTGCCCAAATGCTTTCCAGCTCACCTGTGTTGTGCCAGTGCTCCTTCCTTGTTTTAGGGTCTAGTAATATTCCCAGGCATTTTGTTTATCTGCTCACGGATGTGTTGGTTGCTTCTATCTTTTGGCAACTACCCCTCCCCGTTTCCCACATCCTGCAGAGCTCAGGTTTATTTCTCACTGTATATTCAGAAATGACTTCTGGAGATAACCCAGGGTTTTGTATGTGGTGCTGGCAATTTGAACTGGGATCAGTGGGATGCGAGGCAAATGACCTGACACTTGTACTATCTCTCTGGCCCTCTTGGTAATTATAAGTAATGCTGTTATAACATTTGTGGTCAGCTTTCTGTAAACCTTTCAAATGTCGTGTGTATAGTATGAAGAGTAATATTTCTGGGCCCTAGAAAAACTGTATTTGATCACTTGAGAATCTGTCAAACTGTTCTGAAGCTTCTGTACTGTTTTATATACCCTCCTGCAGTTCTAGTTTCTTCACATTCTCTCCAATTTTTTTTTTTTATTTTGGACTCCTTGGATCCTGTTACTCCAAAACCTCATTATAGTTCTGCATTCCCTTTATACTTAGAATTTTGCCATTTCTCCAGAAGTGCTAAATATCTGTCAAGCAAAGCTTCCCACTTGCCTGGCCTGTACTTTAGTACCTGAGCTAAATCATTTTCTTTGTTTCATTTTTCGGTTCACCTGGTGGTGCTTGGGGAACCATATGCAGTTCTGGGTTGAACCCAGGTGGGCAGTGTGCAAAGCAAGCATCTACCTCTTCAGTCCTCAGAGTGGACATCCTGCCTTGTCCTTGGATCAGGGGACAGTAGCTAGCCCTTTGTCATTATGTCTGACTTAATCTCTGTGTGTGTGTGTGTGTGTGTGTGTGTGTGTGTGTGTGTGTGTATTGTCTTTCAGAGAAACTAAAAATACTGAGGAAACTCCATTTTATTTTTTAATCATGAATAGTTGTTGGAATTTATCATATGCTTTTCCCTCTAAGTCATTAAAATGAGCTATTTTTAAATTTTAAAAAAAATTTTTATTTTTGCAATTTTGGGTTATACCTAGTGATTCTCCCTGTACCCGGTGTTTGGGGGATTATATCGGATGCCAAGGATCAAATCTGGGTCAGCTGCATGCAAGGCAGAAATCCTAACTGCTGTACTATGGCTCTGTCTCCTGACCTGTGATTTTCATTTCTTTTATTCTTTTTTCTTTTGTTCTGGGGCCAGACCTGTGAGGTGCTCAGGGTCTTCTTCAGGCTCTGTGCTGGGGGGTTGCTCCCAGTGGTCCTCAGGAGACAGAGCAGTTCCAGGGATCAGACACAGGCCTCCTGCATACCAGGCATGCACTTGGTCCATTAAACGGTCTCTTGGGTCCCTGATAATTATTTCTTACTGTATTGGTATGTTATATTGCATTGAGTTTTGGATGTTAAATCAAAAGTTGTATCCCTGTCATAAAGCTAACTTGGTCATGATGTCTGCTTTTTATATGTTGCTGGATTTAGTTTCCTAGTGTTCATTAAAGATTCTTTTGCATCTTTATAAGTGATGTTGGTTCGTCGTTTTCTTGTGATGTCAGGAGTTGAAATCTTGTTCTCCTGAGGAAGAAGGGCCTATAGCTACTAGAGGAAGGGTTGTGATCCTTGGTTGCCCCAGGTTTGATACCCAGCATCATCTGTTGCCTCTGAGCCAAAAAAAAAAATAAAATGAATTAATCACAGATCACAGATCAGATCACAGATCATCCTGTTATTCATCGATTACCTCGAGCAGGCCCCAGTAACGTCTCCTTCATGCTAGCCCTGAGATTATATTCAAGGCTCTTTAGGAGAATGAGACCCATCTTGTGTCTCATTCTCAAATCACAGATGAGCACAGGAATCAAATTAGAGTTGACATTTGCATGTAACTCAAGGAAATGGTATAAAAAATAAAAGAATTTCACTTCTAAATTTTTTTTATACTGATTGTGAGGGCTGGAGTGATACCACAGCGGTAGGGCATTTGCCTTGCACGCGGCCAAATTGGCTGGCCCGGGTTTGATTCCTCCGCCCCTCTTGGAGAGCCTGGCAAGCTACCAAGAGTATCTCGCCCGCATGGCAAAGCCTGGCAAGCTACCCATGAGGTATTCAATATGCCAAACACAGTAACAACAAGTCTCACAATGGAGACGTTACTGGGCCCGCTCGAGCAAATCGATGAACGGGAGGACAGTGCTACAATGCTACTGATTATGAGTTTATATTTTAAGAGAAAATGCCAGCATCTATTCTTTTGTGATCAAAACTATAACTATACATTTACCTATAAAATGTAGTGCTTTTTAAAGGAATAGCTTATGTTTGGAAGAATGCATTATGTTTTCTTTTCCTCTTTTTAGGAAATAACCACAAGTGAACATACCCAAAATGAAGCAGGTAACTATTAATAAGGAAAACTGCTAAAACTGGTGGGTTATAGCTCATATCACGCTTTTTAGTGGTGATAGCTGGTATCCAGTCAGTTTGCTAAAGAGTTGAACAAAATAATTTTGCTATTAAATATGACATTTCTAGAAGAAATTTTATTCTTTTTTTTTCTTGTTGGGTCACACCTGGCGATGCACAGAGGTTACTCCTGGCTCTGCACTCAGGAATTACTCCTGGCAGTGCTCAGGGGACCATATGGGATGCTGACAATCGAACCCAGGTCAGCTGTGTGCAAGGCAAACGCTCTACCCACTGTGCTGTCGCTCTAGCCCCAAAATTTTTATTCTTAAACTGTAAGAGTTAAATGTTTAAATGAAGAAGTATAGTTTTCCTCTGATATACAGATGTGTTTTCTTTGATGGTATTAAGTTACTTAATATGGGGAGATAATTTTTTGTGTGAGTAAAAGCTAACAGTCGATTTTGTTTTTTTAATTTATATATTGAACAAAACACTGCTCTAATAATGAATTACTGGTAGAGCATATTGAAATCTTACTGGAAGATAAGTATCTGGGTTTAGAAATAGTTTAAATAAATTAATTTTCAGGTTTCTTCCAGTGTTTTACTGTTGGTTTAATTCCTCACAGGTCCCAGTGAAGGAAACACTGAAGCTGCCGTAGCTTTGCTCACAGTGGGAGACGTGCTGCTGCAGTCAGAGATCAGCATGGAACAGGGGCAAGGTAGGAAGGAAAGCAAAGAAACAGAGTCCTTCTTTCAAGAGATTTGAGGAAGAGTTTTGTATTTAAAATTGGTGTCACTTTGCTCTTTTCCTGAAAAACTGTGTTGATTCATCCCTCTTACTTACCTTATTTGTGTAGTGTCCAGCATTTCATAATGCACTTGACTCATTAAGAACAAGTTGCTTTTATGGAATAGTTGATCTCATGATCTATTGTAATCACTATTGACATACTGAACTCATAGGTCACTAGTCACTTTGTACACACTCTTTTCAGCATAGGAGTTACCACTTTGGTTAGTCTTCACAATCAAATATGATTTGAAGGAGCGGTAGCAGTTCTTGGGATAATTTAGTTTTGACTCTCCGGTAGTTTATATTGAGCCACAAGATCTGTCATCCAAGATTTTGGGGTTGGAGCAGTAGTACAGCAGGTGGGGCACCGGCCTTGCACGCGGCTAACTTGGGCTAACCTGGGTTCGACCCCGGGCACCACCTATGGTCCCCCAAACCTGCTAGGAGTCATCCCTAAGTGCAGAGCCAAGAGTAATCCTTGAGCACTGCTGGGTGTGGCCGCCCAAACAAAAACAAAGGTAAGATCAGCCTTAAAGAAAAGCTGTGATCATTATTAAGTACCTTCAGCTTTAAGTACATTAGTACATTAATAATAATGAACACAATAATGCTGGTTATGTTTCAGTCAGTTATTTTGACTGATGACAAGTGATCTGCAGTTGGTTTTGATGCCAATAACTGTATTTACCAGGAAAGTCTCTCTACTTTGTTCCCTATTGGGCTTTCTTATTAAGGGCTGAGTACTGCACTGGAGACTGCCACAAATCACTAGAATGTAAAATCCAGCTTTTTTAAAATACTGTTAAACAAAGTTTATTCTATCTTGAAATTCATCTGAATATATTTATTTGCTAAAATTATTAGAAGTTTTTGCTTTTGCTTATAGTAACCTAAAAGTTCCACTCCATTATAATTATTAAACTGGGGTGGAGCGATAGTATTGGTGATAATGGTGTTGCTTTGCATGTGTGGTGGATGCTGATTCGAATCCCTGCCACTGCAGATGGTTTCCTGAGCATATAGACAGGCGTAGTCCCTGAGTACTGAGGATATGACCCACAACTTCCAGAAACCAAACAAATAAGGAATTACTAACCTGAGAATAGGCCAGGATCCAGGAAGATACCCAGGTGGTTGAGCATACTCCTAGCGCATGTGAAGCTCCATGTTCCATCCCCTCACCTGAAGCCCCATTGGATCTAGCTTCCATGGCCTCTGAGCACTGTTGAGTACCATTAAGTGCTCACTGCTGGGCCCAGCGTAGCCGAGTGGGCCTGGGCCTTTCCCCCAGCACCACTATGTGTGGCCTGTATTTAAATACAGTAACTTAGAGGGCGGAAGCAATAGTACAGCTGGTATGGCACTTGCCTGGCATGGAGCCGACCCAGGTGGATCCCCAGCTCCAGACATACGGTCCCCTGAGCACCAGGAGGGATTCCTGATGCAGAGCCAGGTGTAAGTAAGCCCTGAGCATCACCAGATGTGGCCCCCAAAGCAAAAGAAACCAAACAGATAAAACCCCAAAACCAGACCATAAATTTTAATTTAAAGTAGAAATGAGCAGATTTTACAGTAACATAGGACTTTATAATTGTTGAATGATGAAGGATTTATTTTATTTGGACATTCATATGTATTGGGTCAGTTTTAATTTTCTATTTTTTTCTGCAGTAGGAATATGTGTACTTCCTGATGTTCAGTCAAGGGATAAAAACCATATTCCTTTTAGCCCAGATCATGTAAATCACAGCATTGTGCACGAATGCCAGGACCTTTCTTCACCTGTGACTACTAATTCTCTCCCATCATTGAAAGAAAACAAGATTGTACTGGACGGGCAAAGTACTACAGAAAAAATTGAATTAATGGAGGAAGCAAAAGAAGAAATTCTTTCAAACAGGTTTATTTTGCCTTATTAAGCTATTTCTTTTAAGTTTCAACAGTTACGGTATTCAGTCAGTGTTGTAGTTGAATAAATATATCAGGGGGCCAAAGAGAGAGAATAAGGGTTAAGGCACTTGCCGTAAATGCAGCTGACTCAGGTTCTACTCCTGGCACCACACATGGTCCTCTGAGTCCTCCAGGATTGATCCCTGAAAGCAGAGTCAGGAGTAGGTCCCAAGTACACCTAGATGGGGCCCCAAACTCGACCTCCCAATGGGCCCCCAAATTCATTTAGTTTAGTTAGCTAATAGCTTTGAATAATATGTACATAGATGTAAAGTAGGCAATACCAATTTCTGATCCTTTAAGGTTTGAGTGATTTTTAGATATTATAATTTAAGTTTTTGAGCAACACTGAATATTGCTTATGGTTTGTTTACTCCTGACTCTGTGCTCAGGGAATCACTCCTGGGAAGCTCAAGGGGCCATATGGGGTGCCAGGGATCAACCCTGACTTGGCAACAATCAATGCAAGTGCCCTATGCACTGTATTATCACTCCATTTCCTTTATATTATTATTTATATTTTATTTATTTATTTTGGCTTATGGTCCTGCTTCCGGCAATGCTCATGACTTGCTCCTGGCTCTGTGCTCAGGGGCCAGGAAGTCATATGTGGTGCCAGGGTTCAAGCCTAGGTTGTCCAAATGCCAGGCAAGCACCCTGTCCGTTGTGCTCTCTGCAGCCCCATATTTGATATTACCTCTTGTAAACTCATCTTATTTTTTTGTGAAAAAAAAATAAGATGTGAAACATCATGAGGTACAGTTGTAGACTTACAAATTTTTATGCTTGGGTTTCCGTTGTACAATGATCGAGCGCCCATCTCTCCACCAGTGCCTGTTCTCCACCTCCACTAATCCCAGTATCCCTCCCACCCCCCTCATTCCTCAATCCCACCCTGCCTCTGTGGCGGGGCATTCCCTTTTGTTCCCTCTCTCCTTTTGGGTGCTGTGGCCTGCAAAAGTAAGGTAAAGGTAAAGGCCCTCCCATTGATCGTCGATTTGCTCGAACGGGCCCAGTAACGTCTCCATTGGAGACTTTGTTGTTACTGTGTCTGGCATATCGAATACTCTCGGTAGCTTGCCGGGCTAAAGTAAACTCATCTTTTAATTTTCTCCTTTCCTCCTTTTTCCCTTTTGTTATGGTGGGGGTTGCGCTTGTGGTGGTATTGCTCCCACATGGGTTGTGGTGCGGGTACACTTTCAGGTGTGGTGCTTGCTGGCTGCTATACTCCTGTTTTTGTTTGGGGCTGCACTGAGCAGTTCTGATGGGCTTCTCTGGCTGCATGAGGGGATTGCTCCCGGCCGTGCTGGGCATGGAGCCCTGTGGTACCGGGAGTTGACGTTCCATACACAAAGCATTGTCTGTCCCACCTCTGTACAGTTTTAAAAAATGGGTGGGCGTTTGGGCAACAACGGGCAGAGCTCAGGGGTTACTCTTGGCTGTGCTCAGGGATCGCTCCTTGCAGCACTCAGCCACCCTATTGGGTGCCAGGGATCAACCCTGCTTGGCTGTGTGCGGTCTCTGTGCACATTTTCAGTTGTGATGCTTGCTTGCACTTCCACCGCAGAGCTTGATGGAGTTGCACATCCTTATGTACCAAGGATCATAGGGGCAGTGTACAGGATTCCCCAGTGACCCTCCCGCTTTCAAGGCAAGCGCTGTACCCCTGAGCTATTCCTGGATCCCTCGTTTAGTTTAGTTTTTTTTTTCTCCCCCTCATTTAGTTTTAATGGTTTATATGTTGGAATTGTCACAACATGCTTACCGTGGAGCTTAGCATCTTTTTTATGATCAGGGTGCAGATTTTCTTGAATTAGTCAAGTTCTCTTGACTCTGTCAGTTGTTAATATGTAATTTTAGCAAGGATAAATAAACACTTTGGCCCCTGACAGTGTGGCCCCTGAGAAGGTGGCACATAAATCTGTTTATGTTCGGCAGGTATATTAGAATGAGAGAGAATTCATACATGCACAAACCATTTTTCTCCTTTCCCATTCCTCTTTTTATAGCAATACAGCTTCTGAAGTGACCAATAATTTGAAAATGAGACGTAGATTTGCCAAACCTAAGGTAAATCTTAAGAAGATTTTAGGGACCAGTAGTGTTGGTGCTCATTCTAATTTGTCTGGAACCAAAGGAGAAGAGGAGGAAATTCACAGAGGTAAATTTTGTTTCCTTGAAAGTTACAAAGTTTACAGTTATTGTGACACTGGAAATTACATTGACATTCCAAGTGGATATTCAGTCATTAAAGATATTTTAACTTAATAAAAGTTTCAAACATGAAAATTCTATTGAGTCCCTAGCACCATTGTAGTCACCCAGCTGTCCTCCCTCCATTTTAGGGCAGTATTGCATCCTAGGACCTTGAACGGTCAGCTTGACTGGCTGAAAATCACTGATAGGATCCCTGGACCTCCTGACCCTTCCCCTTCCCCCCACCAAAAAACACACAAAAAACACACAAAAACTGTCATGAAATGTTCTAGTGGGTATGCACCAGTGTCTCTTTTTTTTCTTTGATTTCTGTTTCCCCACCCTAGTTACAAATACTGATTTTGCATAGCACTCACTTGCTCTCTGAGTCTGTTATGTTTACTTTAAAATTGGGTTCTGTGGGATCAGACAGATAGTTCACCGTGTGAAACTGTCTCTTTGAATGTAGAATTGTATGGCAGCCAGGACTGAATTATGCCTAGTGCAGGATTCACTGTTACCTGTTCAGAAATCTGTTCATAATTCTTTGGGGAGGCAGGTATGATCCTCTGGTCCCCAGCATCCTTGGAGGGTGCATTGTTGAACCATCTGGCTGGACATTGGGCCACATCTCTGGCCCAAGCATTGAACCATCTACCTTATTGGCTGTGAAACACTGGGAGAAACTCCCAGACCCCTTAGCACTTCTCTTCCAATAAAAATAGAGAGGGGGGGGAACCCAAAAATCAGTAGCCAGGATTATCCTTCTGCCATGAGAATCAACTTGCTTTTGGACTAAGTTTGCAAGAGCCGCTTAACAATTCAGTGTTCTCTCTCTAAAGAGAGACTTAGGTTTTTAATATGAAGATTTTAAATGGACTATTAGATTATATCTTAACTTTTTTATTCAAGAAACTGAGAAAAGCGCTTCTGATGCGGCAGAATTAGAAGAGAACCTCGGAGCAGTCGCAGCAACAGAAAACTGGGAGCAAAGCAAATTGGTGGATGCGAGTGGTGTCCAGGGGCCCCCGGAGCATGAAGACCTGACTGAGAGGTGAAAGCGGGAAGACATCCTCGTCTCTTTGCTTTGGGTCCTGGTTCTATGATAGCCCATAGGCTTTATTTGTATTTAATCTTTAAATTTTATTTTCATAAGGTATTCACATTAATTGATTGCATTCAACATTTCAACACCAATCCCACCACCATTATTTTGAATTTTCCCACCACCATGCAATCCTGCCTGCCACAGGCAGATGCTAGATATTTTATTTTCTATTGCTTATTTTAGATATCATGAGAGGTCGTGCGGCCCCTTGTGCGGCCGTGTGCTCCTGGAATTCTAAAATTGTAAATGGTTGAGGTCCAGAGACATCTCTGTAGGGAGCTAGTCCATTTTGAGATTCATTTGTGAGTCTCCGGAGCAAGGCCATTAAAGCGCTGAGGTGGCACAGGAGGTAGTTTGTGGGCGTGACAGCCAGGATCTGGAAGGGAAGTCCTGTCTCTCCCACCTCCGTGTGGCCTAGCGTCTTCAGTCCCTGCTCCCACGTACCTGGGTTTTTCTTCTGAAAGTTGGTGGCCACCAGGGCTCGTTTGGAGTAGGCACAAAGGGAACAACTGCTCCATGTGAGGAGGCCCTGTGGAATTATTAGGCAGGGGGTCTGGAGAGATCTCCAGTGAGCTGCTGTCTTCCGGAATTCCAGGTTTCTATATTTTGAAAGTGTGGAAATCATAAAGTCCGATGATCTTGGATGGATCTAGCTCTAAACCTTATTCTGTGGTGATGGCTTGCTACATGCCGGAACTCTAAAATAGATCACTTTCCTTTTAGAAATGAAGATCAGGAGGCAGAGCACCAGCAGGCTCAGATACTTTCAGTTGCCCCAGTTGTTTCTGCAGATCCAAGCAGTTCCCCGCACACACTTGGCTCGAGTGAGGCTCTCGATGAGAGTCCTATGGAAACACCACTGGCCCCGGGCTCAGAGGGCTGCAATGTGCTCACGCTCCACGTGCCAGAGGTAAAAGACTGTTTCCAAATCACATGATAAAAGAGATGTATGTTAGACGTGGTGCATATGTGTATGTGTACATACATTTGCATCTATAAAAATGCATATATGGAAATACCTTTGGAGGTGTCAGTGACGGATCACACTTGGAGACGAGGGGGTAGAATTGGACATCTTGGGCCTCCTAGACAGGCCCTCTACATGGATATGGATATGGATATATAGAGCCATATCCCTGGGCCCCGCACTGTAAGAGTATAAAGCAGTAGAAAAGTTCAGTGCATGTCGCAGGTTAAGTAAAACAAGGTTTTCTGTCTTCTGTGGAGAACAGATGGGAGGGAGCTGCGCTGGGGGCTGGGAGAGCAGTCGACCTCCGTCTGATGCCAACTACTGAGAAGTGCAGAGGCTGCTGTCTGGGAAGAGGGGAGGGGTCAAGGGATTAAGAATTAAAAAAGTATATTAACTGTGTACTTACATGTAATTATATACTTCTTAATATATAATAAGTATATAATTAATAAGTATATTTCCTGCTTAAAATATCCATATTAATAGAATAAACAGAGTTAGTAATTTTGTCAGAATTTCTTTGAATGTGTGTGCATATATATGTATATATAAATATATTTAAAATAAGAAGTTGTTGGTATGATTAAAAACTACAAAATACATTAAAAAATATGTGGTTATATAAGCCAGTGAGTTTTGTAATAGTGAAACTGTTCACTTATGACATCATCAGAAAAAAATTTAAGACTACGATTTGCTGAATCTCACCTCATTTTAATCATTTTATGGCAGTGTGTATCAACTAGTATTCCGGAAATCCAAGAAGAGAATGTAATCGGTTCTCAAGATCTAACAGGTACAAAATTCTGATTCATTAATAAAGTATCATAGAAGGATTTCATGTTTTGTGTGTTTTTTGGCCTAGTTTATTTTTCTTATAAAATGCAACCAATGTCTGTCTGGCCCAATCAGATAATATTTACTCTTTTTTTGGAAGAGGACACTGATTTTTTAACCTAATTTTACAGTTGAAAAAGAGAGTTGATTTTTGTCTTGGAAGATCTTAAAACTTTAAAAAAGCATTTGCTTATCAATTTTATTCTTTGGTATTATAAGTCTTTTTGTTTGTTCTTGCTTTTGGGCCACACCTGGCAGTGCTCAGAGCTTCTGGCTCTGCACACAGGTATCACTCCTGGCAGGGCTTGGGGGGGCTGAATGTACATGATGCCAGAAATCAGAGCCAGGTTAGCTGCATGCAAGGCAAGCACCCTTCCCACTCTGTTATCACCCTGGTCGCTCTAAGTCCTTTCTGTGGTGAGCGATCTTTATCCTTTATGAAATTACCCTCTGAGTAGTATAATTTTTAAAAACCTGGTAATAAGTTGTCATGATACTATATAGAAATGAAATGTATTGATTTCAATTATCTCATGATTCTCATGCTTTTGTTTTTTCTTTCTAACATCAATGTCCATGTTTCTATTATATTTTTTGTGTAAGCATTTAAAGTTTTCACTCACTGCATGGCTTCAGTTCTGCTGTATACGTTTTCATATCATCTCTGATTTTTAAACATTGATAGTGAATGTCATTGCTGCTGATGGACAACAAGATAATGAGGATGAACACACGTTCATCTTAACTCTGGTGGAAATCCCAGCCAATGAAGTGGAAGAGTTTGCTGACACAACTGCCCAGGTGATGCCAAACCCTTTACTGCCAGCACCCATCTTGCTGAAGTCAGTGAATAATGAAGAAACGGGTGATTTGAGGTAACGAATGAGCTAAACTGTTTTTGCTAGGACGGAAGATGTTTTAAGATGAGGATAGTGTTAATTAAACAAGGCATTTGCAATTATTTGTAATTGTCCTGGAGACAGTTTGTAGTAATTGTTGGTAAATCAGAGAACAGATCATGAATTTACTATCTGAAAAATGTGTCATTTAAGCATCAATTAATGTGATATCTTTTGTTTGTTTTGGGGTGGTACCTGGTGGTGTTCAGGGTTCCTGATGGGGCTCAGAGGGCCGTATGAGGATAAAACCTAGGTAGGCTACATGCAAGGCAAGCACCAACTGCTGTACTCTCAAGCCCCTCATACGATTGATACTATTGTATGAAAACTGGTATGTTGAAAGTTAAAATAGCAGTCTGTTTTATAGGGTGGCTTCTTAATATTTTTATTTGTATATATGATTTAAATATAAAAAATCATAGAAAGTTACAAAAATAGTATCCAGAGGTAGTATTTCTTTATATTTTGGTAATTTTAATACTCAGGGCTGGAGCGATAGCACAGCGGTAGGGCGTTTGCCTTGCACGCAGCCAACATGGCCAACCCGAGTTCGATTCCTCCGCCCCTCTCGGAGAGCCCGGCAAGCTACCGAGAGTATCTCGCCCGCACGGCAGAGCCTGGCAAGCTCCCCGTGACATATTTGATATGCCAGACACAGTAACAACAAAGTCTCCAATGGAGACGTTACTGGGCGCGCTCGAGCAAATCGATGATCAATGGGAGGGCCTTTACTTTTACTTTACTAATTTTAATACTAAAAGCTTTTAAGATGTATTTTAACTCAGTTATGATGCTAAATTGATATAAACTGTCTATCAAACAGCATTAAAAATGGAACCCTTTTCTGGGACTGGAGTGATAGCACAGTGGATAGGGTGTTTGCCTTGCACGCGGCCAACTCAGGTTCGATTCCCAGCGTCCAATAAGGTTCCCTGAGCACCGCCAGGAGTAATCCCTGAGTGCAGAGCCAGGAGTGACCCCTGTACATTGCCGAGTGTGACCCAAAAAGAAAAAAAAAATGGAAGCCTTTTATATTGAACTTCTATTAAAATTTAACTTTGCAGACAAGGAAAGCATTAACATTTCAGAATTGCCCATGCACGTACATACACCCGCTACTTTGACTATTGTGGGTTGTTTTAATTGGAATAGTTCAACCTTTGACCTTGTTAACTTCTAACTGATTTATTATGTCCGTCTTTTCTATGTAGTATGAATTTCCCAGTAACTTCTATCAGTCAGGATGCCATGTGTTTATCTGACTCTGGAAGAGAATCTGAAAAGCCTCCTGCCAACTTGGATGTATCAAGGAAGAGATTTCACTGTAGCCTTGATGAGAGTGACAGTGTTCCTCCTGCTAAGAAAAGTTCATTTGATTCAGTGGATAATTGTGAGAAATATTCCTCTGAGGTATGGTAGAATCAGTAAGGAACATGATGACCATATTGCCAGAATCTCGATCTGCTTTTCCCTTTAGATTCTTCATATATGGTTCTAATACTTCTCTCTGTCCCTTCCTCCCTCCTTTCCTTCCCTCCCTCCCTCCCTCCCTCCCTCCCTCCCTCCCTCCCTCCCTCCCTCCCTTCCTTCTTTCCTTCCTTCCTTTTCTTTTTTGTGGGGAGGCAACACCCATTGGTGCTCAGGGCTTACTCCTGGCTCTGTGATCAGAGATCACCCTCAGTGGGCTCGGCAACCATATGGGGTGGGGGTGCCAAGGATAGAACCCAGGTTGGCAGTGTGCAAAGCAGGCACCAAGCACCCTCCCCACTGTACCATCGCTCTTCCCTGGTTCTAATACTTTGCTTTTCTTTTTTTTTTTTTTTTTCATTTTTGGGTCACACACGGTGATGCTCAGGGGTTATTCCTGGCTCTGCACTCAGGAATCACCCCTGGTGGTGCTTGGGGGACCATTTGGGATGCTGGGAATTGAACCTGGGTCGGCCGCGTGCAAGGCAGAAGCCCTACCCGCTGTGCTATTGCTCCACCCCCTCTAATACTTTTCACCATAAATAATTTAGGTAAAATTGGTTGTATATTTTCACTTTCTACCAGTTCTAGTTAGAAGTTAATTGATAGGTAGATGGTACAGCAGTTAAGGAACTTTCCTGACTCACTTTCTACCGGTTCTAGTTAGAAGTTAATGAATAGGGAGATAGTACAGTAGTTAAGGAACTTTCCTAGCTAACGTCAGAGCCTTGCTTGATTCTCAGCATCACATGGTTCCCAGAGCACTGTAGAGTAGGAGCAGCTACACGTCCTCGGGCCCTCGTGCTGAACGGGCAGTCTGGTTGGCTACAGATCACTATGGGGACCCTTAGACCTCCTGAACATCATCACATTAGAGACCACCATCCCTTCTCCCTGCCAAAAAGTAGGGTGGACATCAATCAGCAAAACAAAAAAAAGCATTTTCAGGGCCAGAATGATAGTATGGTGGCTAAGGTGCTTGCCTCCCATGCAGCAAACCCAGGTCCGATCCCTGGCATCCTATATGGTCCCCTGAGCACTGTCAAGAGTAATTCCTGAGTACAGAGCCAGGAGTAACCCCAGAGCATCGCCGGGTGTGGCCCCCAAACAAAAACAAGGCCATTTTCACCTCTTTGTCAGAGGCCAAAAATAAGGTTAAAATAGTATAGTGGGGCTGGAGCAATGGGTTGTGGGTAGGGCACTTGCCTTGCACATGGTCAACCCAGGTTCAATCCCTGGCATCCAATATGGTCCCCTGAGCCCTGCCAGTACTCCTGAACGCAGAGCCAGGAGTCAGCCAAAGATAAATAAGTATCATATTTATCTAGATTGTAGCTGTATCATTTATTTGCTGTGGGACCTCACATGACTCTGAATGAGTTGCTTTTGTGTAAAATGTCCACTATCCACTGTCCTAACGTTGTTCATCAATTTGCTCAACTGGACACAGTAACGTCTCCATCGTGAGACTTGTTGCTGTATTTGGCATATCAAATACATCACAGGTAGCTTGCTAGGCTTTGCCATGCGGGTGAGATACTCTCGGTAGCTTGCTGGGCTCTCCGAGAGGGGCGGAGGAATCGAACTCCGGTCAGCCGGGTTGGCTGCATGAAAGGCAAACTCCCTACCCGCTGTGCTACACTATATAATAGTACTCTAGAAAAGATAATTTAGAATCTGTGTTTTCTTTTTTTCTTTTTATGGCTTTTGGGCCACATTTGGCTGTGCTCAGGACTTACTCCTGACTCTGCTCAGGGATCATACCACATGGGATACCAGGAATCGAACCCTGGTTGGCCACATGCAAGACAAGCATCCTGTCTGCTATACTATCACTAGGGCCCCTGTATTTCCTTCCTTCCTTCCTTCCTTCCTTCCTTCCTTCCTTCCTTCCTTCCTTCCTTCCTTCCTTCCCCCCTCCTTTCTGCTTCCTGTTTTAATTTGTTTTTGTTTCTACTTTATTGCGGGGGCTGGGGGGCGGGATTGTTGGACCACACCCAGCAGTGCTCAGGGGCTGTTCCCAACTCTGTGCTTAGGAGTACTCCATAGTGGTGCTCTGGGGACTATATGTGATGCTGGGGATTTGGAGTAGTGTCATCGGCAGGATGCACAGCAGGTGCCTTATCTCCTGCACTGTCTCTCTGGACCTACAGTCTGTGTTGAAAGGGAAAGTTGCAGCCCACTAGTTCTTAGATGATGGCAGAGCTGGTGTATCCTTGTATGTCTGATAGAAAACAATATCAGAATGACTTTATGGATTGTTGTTCAATTGCTGAAAAATAATAGTCACACGCAGGGTATATTTTACTGTGTGTTGCAGTCTTTTTATTTTGGAGGGTGAGGGTTGGGGGTTGATGCACTTCACTTTTTTTTTACCAGTAGATGAATATGATTTTTCTCCTCAGATCTGTTGAACTGTATTGGTGGATTTCATAATACTGAATCATCTTTGTATTTCTGGGGGAAAAAAATCTAGTTGACAGAGAGAGAGAGAGAGAGCTCCGCAAGGGAGGCCCAAGTTTGACCTCCACGCCCAGCTCCCAAACACCCCCTCCTACCTGGCCAGCCTGCTCAGGCTCTAGCATTCTGGCTTAGAAGTGCTGTTGTTACCCTCGTAATACTGTATTTGGTACTACTTCACTGACACAAGGATAGAATCAGTAATTTGATTCATAAAGGATGCTGGAACTTCGTAAACAACAGTAGCCATGAATTCCTATAGAATGTGTTTTGCCTTATGGATGTGGGATGTTTCTGAGAGAAGCATGCTGCTTCCGTCACAGAAGAAAGGAAACAGTGATTCTTTTAAAAATACATAATTTTGAGGACTGGAGTGGTAGTACAGCGGGTAGGGTGTTTGCCTTGCACCTGGCCGACCCAGGTTTGATACCTGGTACCCCATAGGGTTCCCCAAGTGCAGACCCAGGTCTAGCCCCTGAGCATTGCTGGATATGACCCAAAAGGCGAAAAAAAGAGAAAAAAACTTGATTTTACCTAAGTTTTTCTTACTATTGTTAGTGAAGTGGCCTGTCACAACTGAAGGATAACTTTTCTCCTGCCCTTAAAAGAGTTTCACAAAAATTTTTGTGCTGTTCTCTAGTTTGTGATTGGAGATTTGGTCTAAAACATGTATGCCTACTATTGTTTAAAGCAGAACTATTTTCGGTGCATTACAGATCCCATGAACAGTGTATTATACTGAATCAGCAAATGGGATTTAGACTTAGTTAAAGATGAATGGTTATTGTAACCACTGTTGAAGAAAGGAAATATAATTTAACTTAATAGATTTCTAATTTATTTTGTAAATTTTTTTAAAAACAGGTGTGTTCAAAGGAATTGATGAATGTTTTTGAAGAAACAGGTGAGTGAAATAAACTCGATATAGTTGTATTTTGTAGGGTAGTCCTCGTTGTTTTTGAAGCATCTTGTTCAAATTTGGCATCAAAGTAGTCTTGCGTGCTTTTTTTTGGAGGTGAAGATCACTTATTTTTAGAGGCGTGTGACACAGCTACATCTGTCAGTACTTAGGTGTTTTTCCTAGAGGTGACCCTGGGTCCTTGCCCAGCAACCCTTACTGTGTCTCTGGCCCACAGTCACGATTTTATCTTTGAAAGTTCTCTGCTGAGACTTTTGATTTGGCAGTTTGGTAGTTTAAGAAGCTGTTTTCATCTTTTAGGGAACTGAAAATGATTATGTACAGGGTTTCTATTAAAGTTCAACTGTATTGTCGGAGTTACAGAATTGACTAGAAGCCAGAGCAGTAGTAGAGCAGTAGTACAGAGAATGGGGCGCTTTCCTTACATGCGTCTTTCGTGTGACCTAGGTTCAATCCTGGCATCCCAAATGGTTCCCTGAAGACCACTGGGAATGACCCCAAAACCTGAAAAAAAATTTTGAGTACAAAAGTGCATAATAAAGTTTCTATCTTTACCCAAAGACTCGAAGGTGGCTCTTTTTTTTTGGTTTTATACATGCAGTCAAAATACATTGATTCTTTTTTGTGTCAGAATGTAGAAGTTGTTGCCATAATCTTTTAACCAAGTGTTATATTTACAATAGGTCAGGAGGCTGCAGTAATTTTTATTTAGGTAGGTTTATGATAGAATATCATGTTTTTTCCCCCCTTCAGATACTGCAGTTCCTTTGGAAATACTAATTTCAGTATGTTTGCTTACAATCTGTTTGCTTCTTTTGGAAGGGGTATCACATAAGGAACAAAACGATGTTCATACTTCAGGAAGTATACCTACCACTCCAAAATCTCAGAAGAGGCAACTTGAACCTTCCACTCCTCAGAGCATAGGCTCCAGGTCGCTTGATAAAATAATAGACAGGCATCTAGAAAAGACTCCACCTCTCTTACCTAAGGACAAAATGGTCGTTTCTGATAAGGAAGAAAGGACTTGCTCTGCTTCCAAGTCTGAGCAAATGCATAACAGACCTTCATCTTCAAAGACCTCACTCTCCAGGTAATATGAGAAAATCTCTAATGAACAAGTTCCTCTCTATTCCTGAGTAGATAGAATCTTTACTGAACATATGTGACTACACACACACACACACACACACACACACGTACACACACATATATATGTTCCTATAGACTAAGTTGATGGCTGATATTACATTTCTATAAAGGAAAGTAATTATATCAAAAGAAATAAGTAATGTTGAGTCATTTTGTTTTTGTTTTGGGGCCTCACCCAGCAATGGCTTCAGAGGTTACTCTTGGCTCTGCACTCAAGGATCACTCCTGGTGGTGCTCAGGTGACCATATGGAATGCTGGAGATTGAACCCAGCTTGGCCGCGTGCAAGGCAAATGCCCTACATGCTGTACACTCCTGCCCCTTAAAGCAGTTTTTTCTAGTACCATTTGATATAAACCCATACACACAGAAAGATTCCACATAACAAGAGATTAATTTTAATGCTTGAATCTTTTACTTTTTAGATAGACGTCTTTAGAGTTTAGCACACTTCCTTTTCTAGATTCTCCAGGATCATTACTTCATGATTTATGCTCTCACACAGTGTAGCTGCCTATACAGATATAGAGCTGAGACATGGTGCCGACATGAGGAATTTTGAGTGGAGTCCCTAGGGCATGTGCCATTTCTCCTGTGTGGCTACCACTACCTGTAAGAGTAAATGTGGGATTTAAGTGAAGAGCCAGCCTTTCCCTTCTGTGTTCCTCATACTCTGGAAAGAGCCTCTGACTCGGGCAGCTTCTGTCATCAGCATTCTGTCGAAGCGGGAGGGTGAACAGAAGCTTGTACGAAGGGAACGGGAGGTTAGGACGTATGTATAGCTGGAAAAGGCGTATTTTATGAATGTTCTTTTTTTTTTTTATAAACTGTAGAAAGGAAAGCTTAGCAAATTTCCATTTTTCCTTTTTAATTTAGGGAGGGGCTATGCTTGGGATCATGTGATGATATTTGAGACATCTCTGATTGATGCTTGGACCTGGAGCTCCTGCAGGCAGAGCTTGTGTCCCAGCCCTTTGAGCCACCTCTTTGGCCCCATGTTGTTCTTTAAATTAAAAAAAAGAAAAAGTCACCTACCAATACTCTTGAACTTGTATCCATTCTTGGCAAAACTTGGCCTGCCTATCATGGGGCCAGAGGTGCTGGTGGGCCATCAGATCATACCCAGTGTCTGGCTCAGCTGTGTTTGGGGACCACTAGGACCACACCCAGTGGAGCTGCGGAGGGGGCCATGCTGTGCTATTGGTTAACTGAGGGTCGTGCAGTGCTTCGCAAGTGAGCACTATCTGTCTTCCTCGATGCCAGATTGGCAGTATCTTTCCCGGTCTTAGCCACATGCCAGACATAAAATGAGGGGTCTTACTGGGGCTTTGGGTTAAAATCAGTTGAGAAGCAGGGTTCTGGAACAAGGGTCAGTAAACTTATAAAACACTCACACATACACACAAACACACACACACACACACAAAGGTTTGTGATTCAAATGTTCTCTTGCAGTGATTCAGCTCTATAGTTATAATGCAACAGCAACTTCATACGACCTTATGTGAACAAATAATCATGGCTATGATCTGGCCATGTTGCTAACACACCTGTAGTGATTGCATTTGTATTGCACTCTGATTTCCCGATGTCTGCTCTAGAGCCTGACTACTCCAACCAAGCACCTGGGACCAACAGCAAGGACTTTGAGGGTGTAGGGCCTTCTGCCTGTGAAGCTTGCGATCCATCACAGCATCACTGTGGGGGCCCCTTACATGTGTAGGCAGCGATTGAGAACTCATTAGAATTCTTATTCAAGACTCCTTGTTAAAATAAGATTCCCCAGTGCTTTGTATGCATTATACTTGAGAAGTACTCCTGTACAGTAAACTTTGTCACAAGTATATGCGATAACCGAGTGGTGTCAGCTCTTGAGAGATGTACCATACATGCCATTTTTAACAGTAATGAAAAGAACTCGCTATTAAGAATACAGATAATTCTTGGGGCTGGAGAGATAGCACAGCAGGTAGGGCTTTGCCTTGCATGCGGCCGACCCAAGTTCAATTCCCAGCATCCCATATGGTTCCCTGAGCACCTCCAGGAGTAATTCCTGAGTGCATGAGCCAGGAGTAACCTCTGTGCATCACCAGGAGTGACCCAAAGAGCAAAATAATAATAATAATAATTCTTGACTGTTTTTAATTTCATTTCCAGACCTGGCAGAAGACCCTTGGGATTTTTGTCTTTAATATGTTCAAAGAGTAGTTTGGAGTCTGATGAACCTACTCAGTTTCATAAAAAGAAGCGCCCCAAGCCTCTTATACCTGTATCAAGACAGAATTTGAAAAGATCGAACTCATCCAGTGAAAGGCAGAAAACAAACACAGAGTCCTCTGATGTGCTTCCATCTTCAAGTGGTGTCAGTCCTGCATCTGAGAACCTCAGCAGTTCGGCTGCAGCTTCTCAGGTCCGTGGTAAACACTGGGTTGGGTATGAAATTGGCAAGGAGGGCTGTGACAGTTGCTGTTTTCCTGTGGATGTCAGAAATTAGAGTAATTCTCATTCACAGATTAACAAGCTCTAGATAGTTTAGAAAGAGCCATTGAGGTAGGCTTGCCTTCTTACTGTTGCTCTGGCCTCAGATTTCTTCACTTTTAATATTCTTCATGGATTTAATGAGCATATATTTTGAGTGAGGATTAAATATCTCTATTTGAATCAACTGTCTTTTCCTATCCTTCGGCCGTATAAATTGGGTCATTTGCTTTTTCATAATGATTTGTAGAACTTCTAATGTAGTAAAGAAAGTCCTCCAGTGATACAGTCTGCAGGTGTTTCCCCACTGCGTGTCATTTGTGCTCCCCCCCACCCCCAGTGATGATGTCTCAGTGCCTGGAGGGTCGCACACGTGCTTACTTGGGATGCTCACACATTTCCTTTAGTTGTACCGCTTGGCTCCATGCTTGTCAGGGATCACACACACTCTTGCGTTGTAGTGCTTGCTGGTGACAATGCGCTTCAGTTGTAGTGCTTACGTGCCTGCTCACCAGAGGTCACACTCGTTGTAGCTGCTCCGCTTACTGGGGTTGCACACTGGAGTTGTGTACACATGCACCTGGCCCTGGTGCAACCAAAAGTCCCGAGGCCTCAGCAGCAGGGAGCAAATGTGAGCCTTCATGCTGGCCAGGCAGGAGTCGGTTCCTGAGCCACGTCTTGGTCCCTTTTTGCGTCTTTGATGTGGTGTGCATGGACTTTGCAATGTAGCCTACTTTTTCTCTTTACATAGATGGATTTAACAGGGCTTTCTTTTGTGCCCTCTGGTTTTCATGTCATTTAAAAATACACTCTTCCACACCCCAGGATTCTTTTCCATGGCAAGGTATAGATTTGACTTTTTCTCTCCCTGAAATGCTCACACTGTTAGATGTTAACATCATTTGCTGAATAATCCAACTTTTCTCATTTTTTGGGGGGGAAATGATTGTCTTTATTACTATAGTTCACCTAATAATGTCTGGTCTATGTAGAGGATTCCATTTGTATTGTTATAACTACTCCTGCTACATAGATTCTTAACTAACTTTAGGCTTATTTCCTTGGTAGTGTAGAAATTAAATTATAGTATCAGTGAACATAACATACAAAGCTCTCAATATTTATACCTTTTTTGTTTCAAACAGCAACAATAAGATTACTCTATGTGTATATACCCTATGTGTATAAAAATGTTATTTCATGCTTATTTCTGTTGTTTTTTAGGTTTCTTGTGACCATCCCTTACTGGAAGAAAAATGTAAAAGTGGCTCAAACCAGACACCTGGGGAGGAGCCAACAACAGTGTCTGAGTATTTCTTTGGTGATATCTTCATCGAAGTGGATGAAACACAATGAAAGCCTTTTTCTTTTTTCTTTGTAAGCCTGAAATTTCCAGGGTCAAGTCTTTCATCAAAGCAGTATTAGAAAAAAGGCATCAAAAACTTTTCTACTTTCCTTTAGGTTGATTTTGACTATTTAATGAGCTTGGTTTAGAAGCTTTTATAATCAGTGAAAAACATTGGTGAAGTTCTCATTCTGATAGATTGAACCTTTTGGAAGCACCAAGCCATGAAGACTGGCTTTCTTAGAAATGGCGACTCTTGTTTACATTTTTACTCTTCCTGTGCTGAGCACACGTGGACATTTTAGGATGTCATGAGTGATTGTCTTTATAAATCATAGTGCTAACATATTTGGAGGTGGGTTGTGTTTAAGTTTTAATCAAAACTTCGTATGTAAGGGTTTTTTTTCTTTCTGTTTTTTTCTGTTTTTTGTTTTGTTTTGTTTTAGTTTTTCTTGACGATGAAGGTCTTTTTAACTGATAAAATGGTAAATGTTAAAAAAAATTCTATTTTCAGCTATTTGACTAAAAAAAAGTATTTTTCTAACTCATTTTGGTGTAATATTAGTCCTAATTGAAAATCTAGTATTTAAAACTTATTTATAGTGATAGAACATCAAAAGGCTTATTTATTTTTAAAGTTTTTATTTAAAAGGATATTCAGTTTTAATTATATTCAACCCTCAGATTTTTGGGTAAAGAAGGCATTAACAAATATGTTTGTCTCCTTTCACTCATTAAATTTTAAGATATTTAAAGCAATATTGCAGAAATGTTCTGATAGTGTATATGTTTTGAACACATTTTTTTTTCCATAGTATAATGACTTTGTACTGTGAATTTTTTTTTTTCCAATCTCAGGACTTGTATGGAAAAAAAAGAAATCTTAACTCCATTTTATAAAGCAACTGTCCATACCAAATTTAATTGCTCATCTGCACACACGTGTGCACGCACAGCGGGGTTTTTTTTTTTTAATGAAAAAAAAACTAATTTCTTTTTTTTTTTTCACCCATTAAATTTTGCTTGAGGGATAATTAGATTATTTGTTTTGTTTTGTGATTTTGGGTCATACCCCACATGGGGCTTACGTGCTACTTCCAGCACATTGCTCTGGGTTGTCTCAGGACTCTGCAGTGCCGGGGATTGAACCAGGCTTCCAGATATGAGACATATGCACTGGCCCTTCAGGATATCTTCCCTGCCCCATCATTTTGATTCTATTAAACACAGATATAATTGGGATGATAACCATAAGACTGTTAGTCGTTATTATCTGTATAAATTTAGAGTTTTTTTATTTTGAGATATTTATGATTTACGAATGCGACCTTATTATCCACCTGTGTAAATCTTTGGTGTTTGACAGTAAATTTCTCAAAGAGTTAATTTACTCTTTCATTTGATTAAGTCCCCTGGTTTGCAAAACACAGTAGACCAGGAGTCAAACATTTTCCACAAAGTATTTTTTGAATTTGTGGGCCAGATGGTTTCTGTAGCAAATCCTCATCTCTGCTATTTGTGTGAAAACAGTCACAATACTTTTTAAATGATGCATATGACTCTATTGGGTTTTCAGTTTGACCCTTACATTAGGCAGTGGTTTTTATACATTAAGGTGCTGATATCTTGTATTTATCACTGAAGTTAGGAGTTTAAATTGTGCCTAAAAATTTAAGCTCTGTTGAATGCATTATGAAATACTAATCAGTATTTCAATTGAGAAAATATTTTAAAATTTAGGTAATTGTTTATATAAAAAAGATGGGTCATTCTTCAAATACATTGATAAAATAGGATATGACTCAGCAAGAATTACAATGATCGTAATTTATTAAAACATTGATAGTAGAGCATTTCCTTATGGTAACATTTACAGTTTAAAGCATAAAGGTGGATCTATAAACCTGAATGTTTGAAACCTCTCTCTAGGTGTGCATTTATTTATTTCACATTTTCTATGTCAGAAAAATCATGGTAGTAGATCACATTGCTATTTTAATGCTTCATTTTTGACGTTAAAGAATCATTCTGAGAAGATTCCTTTCTCTAATACTAGTTTGGGTATGAGAGTGCTACAACCAAGCCATTCTTTTTTATCATCCTTGTATAATTTTTTTTAAACTTTGTTTACATCTGTCTTGTTCATCTATAAGGAATTAATTTTATGAAATATGTAATTTCTTTCTGTATAAAGAATAATTTTATTTTTGGGATTAATTGTATTAAATCATGTCAGCTTGCTATATTATCCTACTGTTAAATCTTTAAAATTAATCTTGGGAGAAGAGAAAATTAGTGTATTTACTTTGTAAAAAGTGGTAAGACTTACTTATCTGAAGAATTCATGTAAATTTATGTAAATGCTGCAAAAAATTGTATTTTATAAATCTTAAAGTTGATATTATAGGTCTTTATTTTTTTCTTGACTTTTCCTTTTGAATACTATGTCTTAGCAAGTGATCAGCTTAAGAATTTAAAAGCCTAATTGTTGGGAAATGATTGAGGCATAGATAAAAATATGAGCATCCACTGTTTACCACTATGTTATTTGAATTAGAAGTGACCATGTGTATACTATCTTGCTTGAAGAAGTCTTTTACAAAAAAAGCAGCATCTGTCATTTGTAAATTTTCTTGTTCTAAAGAAAGCAGTTATGTCCTATAAAGTATGTAAATAAAAGTTATTTTATACTACCTCTGTTTTGTTATTTTCAAATGACTGAATAAAGATATTAATGTTTAGTTAACCAAAACTAGTCAATTTTTCATCTATCATTTATGTTTGTTTTTCTTTCTTCTCTAAAAATGCAATATGATTCAAAGAATTTGTTTTTGTTGTTGTTGTTGTTTTGACTATGCTTCCTGCATGTAAGGCAAGTACATTCCTGTTGAGCCACTTCCTTGGCCCTTAATTTTTTTTATATGAATGCTGTGAAGGATTATATATTTGATCATACAAGAATAAAAAAATAGACTTTACCCCATCTTTAGAACATGTAAAGTTACTTTAAAAAAAATACTGCTTGGGGCTAGAGTGATAGCACAGCGGGGAGGGTGTGTGCCCTGCATGCGGCCAACCCAGGTTCGATTCCCAGCATCCCATATGGTCCCCTGAGTACCGCCAGGGGTAATTCCTGAGTGCAGAGCCAGGAAGAACCCCTGTGCATCGCCAGGTGTGACCCAAAAAGCAAAAAAATAAAAATAAATACTGCTTGTATAATGAGTTTTAAGGTGTAAAAATATAATCTCTTTTGGGGGTTATTGAGGGGTTGTTCCCAGTGTCCATAGCTCTAGGAGCAATGGGGGGGGGAGGGGAGGCATCCCACAGGTGAGTCTCAGCCAACTGGATTGACAAATAACCTTATCTCTTTACTCTTTATTTTTCTTCCCACTTATCACTATACTAACACAAATGGAAAAATTTACCCCTGGATAAACTAGGACTTCTGAAGTGAATACTGACAAAATCATGGTGATAAGTTTAGCCAAGAGACATACTTGTGTAAATTTTGATTTTTGTTTTGTTTTTGGGCCATATCTGGTGATGGGGGCTGGAGCTATAGCACAGCAGGTAGGGCGTTTGCCTTGCACGTGGCTGACCCAGGTTCAATTCCTCTGCCCCTCTTGGAGAGCCTGGCAAGCTACCGAGTGTATCTTGCCCACACAGCAAAGCCTAGCAAGCTAACCGTGACATATTCGATATGCCAAAAACAGCAACAACAAGTTTCACAATTTGTTGTGAGATGTTACTGGTACCCGCTTGAGCAAATCGATGAACAGCGGGAGGACAGTGCTATACAGTGCTATCTGGTGATGATCAGCAGTTACTCTTATCTCTGCACTTAGGGATCACACCTGGCAGTCTAAAGGGATCATAAGGGATGCCAGGATGGAACCTGAGTCAAGGGAAACACCCTAAGCTGCTGTATTATCACTCCAGTCCATTTTACTTAAAAGATAATAAATGTTTTTCCAAGATAGACATATTTTTGAGCTTAACTGTCTCTATGCCACTCAGGTCTGCCACAGGTTCAGTCACTCCATCCACTGCTTCTTGGTCTTCATGCTTGAGTCAACGGTGAATGGCCTGAGTCTTCCTGGGTGGGCTGTAAATCAAGGGGCTTGTACTTGCCCTTGTGGAATTTTCTGAGTTTTTCTTCTGAGTCTGGTTAATGACAGGTGATGGGTTTGTATGCAACTCTGATCTGGGACTCTGCTCTGCTTGTCCCTTTGGTTCTTTCTTTCTTTCTTTCTTTCTTTCTTTCTTTCTTTCTTTCTTTCTTTCTTTCTTTCTCTTTCTTTCTCTTTCTTTCTTTTTAATTTTTATTAGTGAAACACCATGAGGTACAGTTGTAGACTTACAAATTTTGTACTTGGGTTTCAGTGCCCATTCTCCACCACCACTGATCCAGTATCCCTCCCACCTCCCATCCCCCCCATCCCACCTTGCCTCTGTGGCAGGGCATTCCCTTTTATTCTCTCTCTCCTTTTGGGTGCTGTGGTTTGCAAAAGAGGCATTGAGTGGCAATCATGTTCGGTCTATAGTCTACTTTCAGCATGCATCTCCCATCCTGGGAGGATCCTCCCAACACCCTTTATTTGGTGCTCCCTTCTCTATCTGAGCTCCCTTTTCCCCTAGCATACACAGCTGGCCTCCAAGCCATGGAGTAAACCTACTGGTACTTATCTCAGCTATTCTTGGGTGTTAGTCTTCTATTTTGTTACTTTATATTCCCCAGATGAATGTAATCTTTCTATGTCCCTCTCTTTCTAGCTCATTTCGCTTAGTATGATATTTCCATGTAGTACCACTTGTATATAAATTTCATGACTTCATCTTTTTCTAACAGCTACATAGTACTCCATTGTGTAGATGTACCAAAGTTTCTTTAACCAGTCATCTGTTCTCAGGCACTCAGGTTTTTTCCAGATTCTGGCTATTGTAAAGAGTCCTGCAAAGAACAAACAAGTGCAGATGTCACTTCGACTATACTTTTTTGCCTCTCTGGGATATATTCCCAGGAGTGGCATTGCTGGGTCAAATGGGAGCTCAATTTCTATTTTTTGAGAATTGTCCATACTGTTTTCCAAAAGGGCTGAACCAGTCAGCATTCCCACCAGCAGTAAAGGAGGGTCCCTTTTTCACCACATCTGTGCCGACACTGGTTGCTTTTGTTCTTTTGGATGTGGGCCAGTCTCTGTGGTGTGAGATGATATCTCATTGTTGTTTTCATCTGCATCTTCCTGATGATTAATGATGTAGAGCATTTTCTCATTGTAGATAACGATGTAGAGCTTTTTAGCCATTCGGATTTCTTCTTTGAGAAAGTTTCTGTTCATTTCGTCACCCCATTTTTTGATGGAGTTGGATGTTTTCTTCTTGTGGAGTTCAACTAGTACTTTGTATATCCTTGATATCAGCCCCATGTATTGGTCAAATATCCTTTCCCATTCGGTAGACTGTCTTTGCATTCTGGTCACTGTTTCTTTTGAGGTGCAGAAGCTTCTTAGTTTGTTTGTTTTTTTCTATCACATACTCTTTTTCTTTATTTTTTAGAAGCTTCTTAGTTTAAGATAGTCCCATTTGTCTATTTCTGTTTTCACTTGCATGGCCTGTGGCATGACATCTTTGAAGATACCATTAACTTCAATGTCATGGAGGGTTTTGCCTACTTTGTCGTAAATGGATTCTGGTCTGATATTGAGGTCTTTAATCCATTTTGATCTTTTGTACATGGTGTTAGGCAGAGATCTGAGCCCATTTTTTTTTTTTTGCATGTAGCTGCCCAGTTTTGCCAGCACAATTTGTTAAATTGTGGAGCTTTCCTTGCTCCACTTCACATTTCTTGCTCCCTTATCAAAGATTAGATGATCATATGTTTGGGGGGAGATGTCAGTATATTCAACCCTGTTCCATTGGTCTGCAGCTTTGCCTTTGTTCCAGTACCATGCTGTTTTAATTATTACTGCTTTGTAGTAGAGTTTGAAGTTAGGGAGGTTGATTCCTTCCATTTTCTTTTTCCCAAGAATTGCTTTAGCTATCCGGGGGCCTAATTGTTCCATATGAATTTCAGGAGTGTTTGCTCCATTTCTTTGAAGAATGTCATGGGTATTGTTATAGGGATCACAATGAATTTGTACAATGCTTTGGGAAGTATTGCCATTTTGACAATGTTAATTCTTCCAATCCATGAGCAGGGGACATTTTTCCATTTCCTCGTGCCCTTTTATTTCCTGAAGTAGTGTTTTGTAGTTTTCTTTGTACGGGTCCTCTACTTCCTTAGTTAAGCTGATTCCTAGGTATTTGATTTTCTGGGGCACAATTATGAGCGGGGTTGTTTTTTTCATGTCACTTTTTTCTCTCTCACTATTTCAGTATAGGAAAGCCATGGACTTTGGGTATTGATTTTATAGCCTGCAATTTTACTATAGAAGTCTATTGTTTCTTGGAGTTTCCTGGTAGAGGTTACAGGGTTCTCTAAGTATAGTATCATATCATCTGCGAATAGTGAGAACTTGATTTATTCCTTTACTACCTGAATGGCCCTTAATATCTTTTTCTTGCCTAACCACTATTGCAAGTACTTCCAGTACTATATTGAACAGCAGTGGAGAGAGTGGGCATCCTTGTCTCGTCCCTGATCTTAGGCTCTCAGTTTTTCCCCCATTGAGGATGATGCTTGCTGTAGGCTTGTGGTAGATGGCTTTAACTATATTGAGGAAAGTCCCCTCTATACCCATTTTGGCGAGGGTTTTCATCATAAACGGGTGCTGGATCTTGTCAAATGCTTTCTCTGCATCTATTGATATGATCATATGTTTTTATCTTTTCTTTTGTTGATATGATGGATTATGTTGATTAATTTTTGAATGTTAAACCATCCTTGGATCCCCGGGATGAATACCACTTGGTCATGGTGTATGATCTTTTTGATGATTTGTTGAATTCTGGTTGCTAGTACCTTGTTGAGAATCTTCACATCCGTGTTCATCAGGGATATCGGCCTGTAGTTTTCTTTTCTTGTGATGTCTTTGTTTCCTTTTGGTATTAGAGAAATATGGGCTTCATAGAAACTGTTTGGGAGAGTTTCTGTTTTTTCAATTTCCTGGAAAAGCTTGAGAAGAACTGGCAATAGGTCCTCTTTAAATGTTTGGAAAAGTTTGCTACTGAATCCATCTGGACCTGGGCTTTTGTTTTTGGGAAGACTTTTGGTTACAGTTTCAATTTCCTTGATGTTAATAGGTCTATTCAGGTACTCTAGATCTTCTTGATTCAGCTTTGGGAGATTATAGGAATCAAGGAATTTATCCATTTCATCTAGGTTCTCTTGTTTCGTGGCATTACAGACTTTCAAAGTAGTTTCTGATGATCTTTTGAATTTCTTTGGTTTCTGTTGTGATATCCCCCTTATTATTTCTGATTTGGTTTATTAGGGTTCTCTATCTCTCTCTTTGTGAGTCTTGCTAGTGGTTTATCTATCTTATTTATTTTCTCGAAGAAGCAGCTCTTGTTTGTTGATCTTTCGGATTTTTTTTTTTTGGTTTCCATGTAGTTGATTTCTGCTCTAAGTTTTATGATATCTTTCCTTCTGCCTGATTTGGGTTCCTTTTGTTGATCCTTTTCTAAGATCTGGAGTTGTGAAGTCAAGTTGTTTATGTGGGCCCTTTCTTCTGTCCTGACAAATGCTTGCAGA